CCAACTTGTAGAAAATTCTACTGATTTTTATAAAAGCTGAAAACAAATTAACATAAATGTACAGATGCATACAAATGGAAAAATATACACAAACTATATATATATATATATATATATATATATATATATATATATATATATATATATATATATATATATATATATATATATATATATATATATATATATATATATATATATATATATATATTCGAAACCTTAATGCATTCTTTAAATCCTGGCATGAGAATAAAATAGATAAATTTATTTAATTTCAAATAGCACGATAATGTGTTTAAACAAAACAACCCTGTCTGTGTGCACCACTCCATAGCGTTAAATACCTCTAGCCCAAATGCTGCTGATATCTCAAAATTATACAGAATCCAAACGTTTCACTATATAATTTTGTTGTTAAATTAAATGTAGGCCTTGGCAATGGTATTTATGCAACAGAGCATGAAACACTGCAGTGGATAATGCAATTTTGTTTATGATCTTCCGCTATTTTAATAATCAAAATCTAGAACTTACGGATTTTGGCAGTCCTGAGTTTAAAACCAAACAACCGTAGTTTATAAGTATATAGCATTTCTCACAATGATTAATTAAAGCATTACCACACCTGAATTTTCTTCGGACATTGATCTTTGGTTCGCGGTCAGTTCGCAAATTTGCCATCAATGTAAAAAATAAAAAGCTTATCGCCCGTTGTCTAAGACTACGTTATTTTCTCAAACTGGCTAGCTAATATAAGAACTACAATGTTAATTTTAAGCTATCCAGACATTGGCCAAGCGCAGCAACTACGTCGCGAAATGGCCGGGAAGTTTGCGAAATGGTCACATCTTTGGCTTTGGTCTTCAAACTGAAATTTTATGACTGAAAAAATAACATTTTTTATTAACAAATTGTGATTTAGCCTTGACTCTTGATTTCAATACTCACAACTTAATGAATATAAACGGATAAAAAGATAGCTTCTCCCTTGCTGGTAAACTCCCGTTAAAATATCCCTCGTCCGGGACTTCACTGATTCACGAAAGATAACTTGTTTACAAACTAATTAACCTTGACCTATATTCACTTCAGTGGAATGAACCACACTTTATCCTGCATTCAGTACGGCTTATAAGCTGAGCTCACCAAATTTTTGTGTTATCTACATCCGTGTTGTCGTCTGCTATAAGAGCTCTCTGTTGTCATCTGGTTCTAGTACATATTCCGCTGCAACCCGGACTAGGTGGTCTGGGATTGAAAACGTATATAATTTTTTCCTTGAACTAGGTGAGTACATCTGTTTTACCTGGTGGGCACGTAGCTGTGACTATTGTCTATTTAGCGATAGTCTGAAGAATATGTGACTTGAATAAAGACTTTATAACACGTCTGAAGGCTAAATGTTATTTCTAGGACAAAAACACGTTGACTTAAAAATATTCTACTTGAAACCTATAACAGCTACGTTGCATTTATCATGGCTACCAAACATATCTAAAAGCTAATTCCCATTTTTACTTTCTCGTATATACGAAGTATAGAGAAAGTCTTGTAATCGTGCAAAAAACGTTTTACACCTCACTGATACGGAAAAACATATCTTGTCCGTATGTCTGTGTGTATGTGGGTGTGTCTGTCTGTCCGTGTGCAAACACGATAACTTGAATACCGTTACAGCTAGGTTGATGAAATTTCATATATAAGTATTCTATCAAAATCGTAGATCCATATAAACTTTTGAGCAATTTCCGATAACCAGAAGTGGTACTTTTTTTACTTTGAATTTTTCAAAAGCCTATAACTTGAGTACTATTTCAGATAGATAAATGAAATTTCACATGTAAGTAAAAGATCGTATTCTCTACCTTCTGTCAAATTTTGAGTAATTTCCGTTGACCGGAAGTACTTATTTACGCTATTTCCAAATTCTCAAAAAAAGCAAGTAAATTTATAAAGTACTAATAATATTGAGCACTATTATGCACATTTTCTTTCGGCGCTCGCTTGGTGCGCAATTCTTTTTTCTACGAGATTCTATTCTATTTTTACAAGCTTTTATTTAACTCACTTCCTCTGTCGTCAGTCGTCAGTCTGTCTGTCTAGATCGAAACGCTGGAGTGAAAATTCGGACAGTTGTACTTGACCGATACGATTCAAAGTTGGCACGTGGGTTAAGACATGAAGACAGTGCAATCTGAAATTAAATTTGGCTTAATTGAATGCCTAATTAATTTTTTATGAATTAATTAAAATTTGGACCGAATTAGTAGGCATGTCTATCCAACCACACCACACGCGTCATCACGTTCAATAGCTGCGCCATCACGTTCAATGGCTGCACCATCACGTTCAGTAGGCGCGCATTGGTTTTTAGTCATGTAACTCTATTGTAAATTAAACATGTAAAGTACTAAAAAAATGCATTAAAAACGTTTTAATAACAAGCTTTTATGTAATGATGCACTAAAAAGTAGAAAATAAATTATAGACTACTATTTAAATAGCTATAAAGAAAAGCGTGGGCGTCTTCTATAACATTAGTAAAGGTATCCAGTAGATACTAAAGTGGCCCACGCTTTTCTTTATAGTTATTTAAATAGTAGTCTATAATTTATTTTCTACTTTTTAGTGCATTAGTACATAAAAGCTTGTTATTAAAACGTTTTTTATGAATTTTTTTACAAGCTTTTATTTAACTCACTTCCTCGTCAGACTTTCTTGATCGAAACACCGAAGCAAAAATTCGGACACTTGTACTTGACCGATACGGTTCACACTTGGCACGTGGGTGAAGACAGGAAGACATTACAATCTGAAATTAAATTTGACTTAATCGGATGCCTAATTAATTTATTTTGAATTAATTGAAATTTGGACCGAATTAGTAGGCATGTCTATCCAACCACACCACGCGCGTCATCACGTTCAATAGCTGCGCCATCACGTTCAGTAAGCGCGCAATGGTTTTTAGTCATGTAACTCTATTGTAAATTAAACATGTAAAGTACTAAAAAAATGCATTAAAAACGTTTTAATAACAAGCTTTTATGTACTAATGCACTAAAAAGTAGAAAATAAATTATAGACTACTATTTAAATAGCTATAAAGAAAAGCGTGGGCGTCTTCGATAACATTAGTAAAGGTATCCAGTAGATACTAAATTGACCCACGCTTTTCTTTATAGTTATTTAAATAGTAGTCTATAATTTATTTTCTACTTTTTAGTTATATCAGAATATTCGAGAAAGTTTAGGGGAGATCACTTACGGTTTATTTCTACGAGACTTTATTCTATTTTAAAAAGTTTAAGTATTTAAAATGGATTAAAAATCATGTCTATATCCCGAGTTCCCATCCCCTGTTTTTTATATAAGAATATTCGAGAATGTTTAGGGGAGATCACTCCCGGTTTAAAGATTGCCGTAGCGATAAAAATAAAAGTAACTTTGTTACTATCACATAGGAAAACATAAAGCATCACATTTATTTTAGTATTAATACAGAATATCCGAGTGATGTTGTTATTAAAATAATTAATAACTTACTCTAATGAAAATTATTTATATTTGTTTTGTAGCCACCCACACAACTGACAAAGATGACGTCAACCACAGGCAGTAAGAATTTCACAACGGCCAGACACTTCTGTCTCCTGCTGTTGGTTGGTTTGATCTGCCTGGTGTATAAAGCTGATGCCGCAAGTTTTAAAATAAATATATCGAAACCACGAATCAGTGAGGTCAAAACGGTAGGAGGATTTGGAGATATACCCTGTTATTTTATTTAGCCTGTTTTTAAAAAGATAGTGCATATTAATGTATGTTAGGTATCGAAATTTAAGGAAGGAAAGGATATTAACATTAGACTATTTTTTAAAACAGCATCATTATCATGAATAGGTGCTATATTGTTTTCTAAAACTGAGTTATTTAAAATCTAAACAAAGCAGGCGGTGTATTTCTCGGATCATAGTTGTTTTGGGTGCGGGTTTATTCACACTACCATCCCGACCTCCTAGTGCGTGCATTGATTGTACGTTAATCAGCTTCCGTAATAGTTAGATAGGGAAGCCGGACGTTTTCCCATGAAAATACACTTGCCCGGATGCCGTTTGCCCGAAGGCAGATTTCTCGAATGGACACTTGCCCGAATGCGACAAACTCCCGAATGGACACTTGCCCGAATGCGACAAATGCCCGAAAGCCACTTTCCCGAATGCCTTTAGCCCAAAAAATGGAAATAATAAATTTAAAAAATTAGACATTCTTAATCAATTCCAGTTTGATAATCAATACAGTTCTAAACATAAAAACTAATTTGTTTATATTTTTAAAAATTAAGCTTTTATTTTTTTTTTAATTATGCGAAATTGCATTAAAAAACGTCTTTATTGTATAATAACTGTAAGGTGATATTGGCGGCGATGTCTAAACATTGTTTTGATGAAAGTTTTGAATACCTTGTTTAACCAACATGTTGCGAGGGTTAAATAGCGTTTGCCACATGGTGTGAGCGACGCAGCGTCTCGCAACATTGAACAGAGGCGCGTTTGTTTGATTCATCTTGTAATGCTTCACATGTGAGGTAATCATTTCAAACGGCGAATTTAAAAACTAAAAGTAGTCTATTATGTTTTGTCTCCAATTAATGCACCTTGTTCTAACAAGCGATTACTTAATAAAGAAAATGTTTCTTTTTAACGTTGTTTCATAGAAAGAAAAGAAAATGTGTGTGTACACTTGTTATATATCTAGCAAATAAAAATTAATTTAGAATTTCTGCGTGGTAATATATAATACTAATTATTTTCCCTTTATTTTTGTTTAGATATGTTTATTTTGTCAAGATTTTAAAATTAAAGTGATTACGAATAATTGTTTGGTAATATATAATATTAACATTTTTCGGGCAAATGGCTTAAGGGCAAGTCAATTTCGGGCAAGTCCCATTCGGAACTAGCTGTGAAAATCAATGGATACCGCTGAGATGACGAGAATCCTTCCTTCATAATGTTGACATGGAAACAATTATTTAAAAAAATATTTTGACATCAAAGCGGCCATAAAAATAATAAAAAGTTCAGAAATAAAATATTTTTAGAATCAATGTTATAAAAGTTTTTTAACACAAGAACTAACTTTTTGATTCACATATTTCATAACGAGTTTTTAAAAAAATAATTTCGATGTTAAATTCAACAAAATGGACCGGAATACACCCCCCCCCCCGAGTCAACACGCCATACGCGCAAACCAAAGAAACATTTTTGACTCCCCACCTATTGCGTGTGGACGCCATAAATGGATGTCCCCTAAAGCATGAAACCAAACCCACAAACAAACATACTTACATTTATATTTTGCATGCATATATATATATATATATATATATATATATATATATATATATATATATATATATATATATATATATATATATATATATATATATATATATGTATATATCATATAGGTATATAATGTGTATGCACATGTTAATATGTACGTTTTTTTTCAAAGTGTAAAGTGGACAAATCTATGGCCATAGACGTGTGCTTTATGCATCAAGAAAACGGTAAAGTAACACTTGTTGACTCATACAAGATGGCCGCTCTACCTGAGGGCACTCAGTGCAAGTTGAAACAGGAGGGAGGGAGTTTAACGGTGGTCCTGTGTGAGGACAATGACTGGAGGCTCACAGGTAATGTGACGTCATAGGACCACAGTTGAAATAACGCCACATGATCATATGTTACATGAAGGTATAGGCGGACATGAAGTATGCCATAATAGACGGAAAATTAACATAATATCATGTAGGGCATCGGCATTAGTATTTTTATGGTAAGGGTTGGTTGGGTCAGAACCAGCCCACGTCAATGCACCCTCAATGTAACAGCTCAAGTTACTTTCAATATTATGCTTTCCATGTCTATCGGTATCAAAGTCTATGTATGTTTCTGTGTTAGTGTTGGTGTGCATGTCCTTGTCTCTGTTCTCTGTCTTCATCAACGTCAACATCAACATAAACAACTAACATCAACATCAACATATGTATCATACACATACAATCGCAAATAGTTGACTCCACGTATCCAATCTATGTCTAATAGTTACAATTGTAATTTAATTTAATATTCTTTTACTTGACTCTCACCTTGGTGTCATCTACAACCTACTCCACACTCCTCATTCTTCCATACTTCAAAGTTTTTCTTCTTTTTTTACTTATCGTATATACGAAGTAAAGAGAAAGTCTTGTAATCGTGCAAAAAAAAAAATCGAGACTTTAACAAATCTCGACGTTTTAAACCTCGCTGATACGGAAAACATAATTTTGCAATCTTGTCCGTATTTCTCTCTCTGTGTGTGTGTGTATCTGTGTGTGTCTGTGTGTTTGTAAAAACGATAACTTCATTACCGTTACAGCTAGGTTGATGAAATTTCATATATAAGTATTTTATTAAAATCGTAGATCCGTATCACCTTTTGAGCTATTTCCGATAACCGGAAGTGGTACTTTTTTACTTTGAATTTTTCAAAGACCTATAACTTAAGTACTATTTCAGATAGATAAATAAAATGTAACATGTAAGTAAAAGATCTAATCCTCTACCTTCTGTCAAATTTTGAGTAATTTCCGTTGACCGGAAATAGTAATTTACACGCTATTGCGGATTTCTAAACAAAAAACGCATGTAAATTTATAAAGTACAACTAATATTGCGCTCTATTATGCACATTTTGTTTTAGCGTTCGCTTGGTGCGCAATTCTTTTTTCTACGAGATTCTATTCTATTTTTAAAAGTTTAAGTAATTAAAAATCATGTCTATATTCCGAGTTGCCATCCCACGTAGTGTTATATAAGAATATTCGAGAATGTTTAGGGGAGATTACGCCCGGTTTATTATACATCAAACCCTGTCATGAAACGTTTTAAATGCATTTTCCATAAGTAGTTTACATTTTTTAATCTAATAGTAACATCTAAATTTAAAGGCGTCATCTTTTGTAGAATAGAAAATATAATTAAACATCAAATGCAGAAACGACACAGACATAATAACGTCATTGATAATAGGCTTGAAAAGTCCATGTAAACATTCTAATTTTTTTTAATATCTAAAATAAATATGGCAAGCAATAAAATTATAGTTACATTTTTTAAAATCACAGGTGTTTGTGAACCATGGATTTCACATATTTGCATGTTTCGTATTGAATATAAGCCGCTGAAAAGCAGTTTTAAATTATTGTATCAATTTTATATGTGCAAGGCTCAAGGGTAAAATCTACTACTACATTTAACACGAATGAGCAGTAACTATGTGTAGATCAAGGTTACCAAATAATATATTGTGTTATTGTATGGGTTTAGCGTTTACAGACAAACAGTGTTCGCACTTGATATTTTCGGGGTGGGGGCGGGGAGGGTGTGAGTGCGGGCGGAAAACATTTTCCGGGAGGGGGGCGGACACTGGTAAAAGTATGTTTTCTAAATGAATTCCATTCGTTGAGGGGGGGGGGGGGGGGGACGGTAGAATTTCTTCAGGAGGGGAAAGAGATACCTGGAAGAAATTCTGTACCCGTCAGAGATGGGTGGACTCAGGGACTCGAGACTCTCGGGTTAGCAGTCTAGCTGTCTACCGCTAAGCCACGCCGTCTAATTCTACTATACAACTTAACATTACCCGGTTATTTAACTTTACAATTTAGATTTCATAGAAAATCAAGTAGTCCAGAAAACATAAACGTTTGCAGAATTAACTTTAAAGAATTTAATTAACATTTCCGATATCAAATTTTTAATTTAGTGTTGTTACGTTGCTTGATTTCTAAGATTTAAATCACTCAGGAGATTTCTTTGAGTTGATTTCAGTAATTTATTATTTGCAACAGACTGCTCAGACGACACGTCTTGTCTCCAGCTTAATCTTCTTTAACTTACCTATAACACACTAGATACACACAGACGGTAAACAAAGACTGCAAATTCAAAAGACAAAGCAATAACTAACAAGACCAAACTTAACAAGTGAATATCAGTAATTGGTTCTAAGTTTCGTGAATTAAACGTTTGTAACAGTAACATTGTTTAGTGGGTCGTTTAAAAATTTAAAATTTCTTCCAGTTCTTCACGGGAAGTCAACACAACCGCTGGAGCGACCGAAGAGATCGATAGGATTTGTCATTTTTTTCTATGTAATGATTCTGTGCATCATCTTTTGTAGACGTAAGTGGAATATTTTTTTGAACTAGATAAATGAACCAACCCTGTTCAAGAGACAATGTTGCAAGGTTTTCTATAATATTCTAAGAAGATTTTTAAAAATTTAAACACTGTTCAAGAGTCAGTTGTTTTATTTTTCAATTTTTAGTAGTTCTTATTTTATGAAGTTGACACTACATAGGCTAAGACTAAAAAAATTTGCTTTAAAACACAATCTGCAGCTTCCTGATATCTAAAAAATCCCTTCTTAACGCTCTCGTCAGTTCTCGAGCGGGAAAGCGACCGTCCTTGATCCCCAGTTCACAGCACACAGCAAGCTATTAAGCGATCGCTAGTTTTTAATCTTAGTTTTGAGTTCATTTAATTAACTTTAAATGACTAATGATAGATTAGTTGACACAATATAGACCATGGTTAAAAGTATTTGCGTTAAATCCAGACCAGTAGTTTGTGATCTCTAAAAGGTGGTTATCTTCGCCGTTTATTTTAAACTCACAGGCGAAAAATGTGTCAACCTTATTAAACATTTCGGTGCCTGGACCTTTGATCACAGGTGTTTTTAACATAGGGGCTTTGACCACAGCGGGGCTTTGACCATAACGAGCTTTTGACCACAGGTGTTTTCTCAACGGGTGTATGATCAAAAGCACTGTGTTCGGCTTTGATCACAGGTGTTTTGTCCATATAGGGTTTTTTATCATAATGCTGGCATTTGATAACAAGCGCTGTGTCCATATATGGTAAGGATTAATTTTTAAAGGTGTGTAATTATATTTTAAATTGCGACAGGATGTAATAGTATGTTAATTCATCTGTCATTTAGTTAACCAAACAAGTATTACCTCTTTGACTATACTGTTGGCATGTTTTTTTTATCCTTTATATATGCTATATATTTTCAAGTACGTCTACATTATTTATTTGTGACACTTGTTATATGTCGCATTATTTGTGTTCCAATTATGTGTAACACATATGGTTACCAGCCAAGGGGGGTAAGAATAAAGTTTTAATTCATTGGGTTGCGGCCCCTGTGGGACCGCAACTGAACTGTTGATGTAGTTTTTTTTTTCATGCTCTTGTGAGCGATGTTACCTGTGTCCCATGTCATGTGACATGGGACTGTGGGTAGTTTCGTGCCTAGCCGTGTCAGTCACACGCAAGGCTGCTGTCTGTGGACACGGTGACCAAGATCTAGACCTAAAGAAGGTAGTGTAGTTATATAAACTATGTTTATTGTTAGAATACTTATTTGTGTATTCCTGCTAGAGCTGCATGTGTCCACTAGTTAGGTTGAGTATTTATTTAAGTATTTATTTGTAGTACTACTTATTGGTACTTGTTGGCAGTACTGTGTACTGGCCGAAACATATTTTATTGTACCCGTGTATATTGTAGCCTACACGTGGTGTTGTCATGAATGTAACTTTTTATTTACATTTGTTTTAGGGCTACAGTTGTTTCTTTTTTGTCTTTCTTCGTTTTTTTCTCTCTGTTTTGAAAGCGTCGTACTACTGTGTTATGCATCGCCGTCATGGCTCGATACCGTGAATAAAGCCAGTACTTGACAACAACTGTCGGTGTCAGTGTGTTCTAAATCTCAGGGTCAGCCCGTCTTAACCACAACACCTCAGTGAGTAAAAGCATTCCCACTGAGTGAGGGTTACATATGTTTAAAATAAATCTATGAGGTCTAGCACCAGCCTTTATGTGGAGACTAAAATATTTGACTATTTTAGTACATGTTAATTTCTATTAATGGACTTTCGGGAAACATGTAGAAAAGGGTATTAATTTTATCATAAATTAAAATTAAAATAGCAGTTTATAATTTCTATTTTAAATTCTATATACTATGCCCCCCTGTGGTCAAACCCCCTGTGGTCAAAGCAACTGTGGTCAAACCCCCTATGGTGAAACCACCTATGGTCAAAACCATATGGGCACACCCCCTATGGTCAAACCCCTTGTGATCAAAGCACCTGTGGTCAAACCCCCTATGGACAAACCCTCTATGGTAAAACCCCTATGGTGAAAGCACCTGTGTTCATACCCCCTATGGTCAAAGCACCTATGGTCAAACCCCCTATGCTCAAAGCACCTTGGTCGAACCCCTATGGTTAAACCCCTTATGGTCAAACCCCCTATGGTCAAAGCACCTGTGGTCAAACGCCCTATGGTCAAAGCACTTATGATCAAACCCCCTATGGTCAAACCCCCTATGGTCAAAGCCCCTATGGTTTAAACACCTATTGCCAAACACCCTATGATCAAAGCACCTATGGTCAAACCCCTATTGTCGAACCCCTATGGTCAAAGCACTGTGGTCAAACCCCCTATGGTCAAAAGAACTATGGTCAAACCCCCTATGGTTAAACACACTATGGTCAAACCCCCTATGCTAAAAGCACCTTGGTCGAACCCCCAATGGTTAAACCCCGTATGGTCAAACCCCCTATGGTCGAACCCCTATGGTCAAAGCACCTGTGGTCAAACCCTCTATGGTCAAACACACTATGGTGAAACCCCCTATGGTCGAACCTCCTATGGTCGAATCCCCTATAGTCAAACCCCCTATGGACAAACCCCCTATGGTCAAACCCCCTATGGTCAAAGCAACTGTGGTCAAACCCCCTATGATTAAAGCACCAAGGAACAAACAGTTCACACACGACGACCCTCTGATAAGCGATCGCCAGTTAGTAGTTTATCGTATCTCGTAATTTCGTTGTTAAATATTGTAACTTTTAAAGTAAGTTGTCTCTCTAAATAAATGTAATAATTGATATGTGTGCATTTTCATCAAAGACAAATGTATCGGAGATATAAAAGAATATTAGAGAAAGTTTAGGGCAGATCACTCCCGTATCATTTACGCTAGGAGTTGTGTTAGTTATCAAAATTTAAAGTTCGGATTTAACAACAATGTCTACTTGGAAATGTATAATATTAACATTCTTGTGGGCAAACAGTCTTCGGGCAAGTGGCTTTCGGTCATTTGACACATTCGAGTGACTGTCCATTCGGAAAAAACATTTTAATCAGCAAATATCTTTCTTTTTACTTTCTCGTATATACGAAGTATAGAGAAAGTCTTGTAATCGTGCAAAAAAAAAATCGAGATTTTTTACAAATCTCGACGTTTTACTGATACGGAAAAACATAATTTTGAAATCTTGTCCGTATGTCTGTGTGTCTGTCTGTCTGTGTGTGTGTGTGTGTGTGTGTGTGTGTGTGTGTGTGTCCGTGTGTAAACACGATAACTTGAGTACCGTTACAGCTAGGTTGATGAAATTTCATATATATATATATATATATATATATATGTATTTTATCAAAATCGTAGATCCGTATCAACTTCTGTGCGATTTCTGATAACCGGAAGTGGTACTTTTTCTACTTTGAATTTTTCAAAAGCCTATAACTTGAGTATTATTTGAGATAGATAAATGAAATTTCACATGTAAGTAAAAATCTAATTCTCTACCTTCTGTTAAATTTTGAGTAATTTTCGTTGACCGGAAGTAGTAATTTACGCTACTTCCGATTTCTCAAAAAACTAATGTAAATTTTTAAAGTACTAATAATATTGCGCACTATTATGCACATTTTTATTTGGCGTTCACTTGGTGTGCAGTTCTTTTGTCTACGAGATTTTATTCTATTTTTAAAACTTTAAGTATTTTAAATGGATTAAAAATCATGTCTATAGCCCGAGTACCCATCCCCTGTTGTTTTATATAAGAATATTCGAGAAAGTTTAGGGGAGATCACTCCCGGTTTATTTAGGATGCTTTTTACTTTCTCGTATATACGAAGTAAAGAGAAAGTCTTGTAATCGTGCAAGAAAAATCGAGATTTTTGCAAATATCGACGTTTTACACCTCACTGATACGGAAAAACATAATTTTGCAATCTTGTCCGTATGTCACTGTGTGTGTGTGTGTCTGTCTGTCCGTGTGTGTGTAAACACGATAACTTGAGTACCGTTACAGCTAGGTTGATGAAATTTCATATATATATGTATTTTATCAAAATCGTAGATCCGTATCAACTTCTGAGCGATTTCCGATAACCGGAAGTGGTACTTTTTCTACTTTGAATTTTTCAAAAGCCTATAACTTGAGTACTATTTCAGATAGATAAATGAAATTTCACATGTAAGTAAAAGATCTGATTCTCTACCTTCTGTTAACGTTTGAGTAATTTCCGTTCACCGGAAGTCCTAATTTACGCTATTTCCGATTTCCCAACAAACGCATGTAAATTTATAAAGTACTAATAATATTGCGCAATATTATGAATATCTTTATTTGGCGTTCGCTTGGTGCGCAATTCTTTTTTCTACGAGATTCTATTCTATTTATTTATTTTTGCGTTTATTCATTATTTTCGTTCGTATATTTATTTGGGTTTCTTAATGCTTGTACCGAAATTTTTGTTTAAACAATCACTGTAGACATATTTTTTTTTACATTAATACGTATTTCGAATTTTTCCACACATTGAAGATTTTATTATCTCTTGACAGTGACGATTTAATAAATAAATAAACAAACTTATAAACATTGGGTAAAATTTAGTAGAATTTTAATAAGTTACACTTTAAGACATTTTGATATTTTGAAATATCAGCAAACCACAACCCACAACTGACATGTAAAACAATCAGAGATGTCACAGCAGACAAACATGAAACGAGTGCCATAGTGGCGTGGGAGACGCCGAAAGCATACGATCCTGAGGACGGTCAACTTTCGTGAGTTTTTGCTTTTTTGCAACAATTACATCTTTACTGAATGAATTTTTAATGACGTCTTTAGGGAACGTTTAATTGACATCCTGTGTTTATTTATATATATATACTAGCCACCCCTGGCAGGCCCTGCTCTGGCTTCTGTGAAAAACCTTTCTGTTAAGGACCATTACCTGTGTGTTTAGTAATCATCATATACCCAGCATTGCCCACCCTAACCACAACCAACCAAAACCAAAACAAAACAAAACTTAAACATAAGGTAAAAAATTGGTTAACAGTGTTCTCACAAAAGAGTCCAAATAAGGACATACATGTTATTAAAGTTAACAAAAAAATTGTAAGTTTTAATTTACAGATAATAAAATGAATACAAATGGAGGAGGGGTCATAATTGTCAATTTGTACGATGTGGACCAAAGTACCGTACATATAAGATACTAGTAAAATAGAGTCAAATGGTGTCTTTACAATGTTTGTTAGTAGGCTGTGTAAATAAAACAATACACAAATAAGCAACAATAGGAACCTTAATGACAAATAATAAATGATGCGAAACGAGGTGGGGACATGGGGGTTGTGGGGGTGGTAATCAAATTGATGTTGTTAGAAATTTATTTTGATAATGCATCATTCTCAGTATTTAACATAGTATTTCAACAAAGGGGTGGGGTCATAGGGACGAAAGAAATGCAGTTATGGGAGCAATATGATATGGTGATTCTGGGGTTTAGGGACGGGGGTTTGGAGGGTGTGATGAAAGTGGATGTGTCGGTTAGGATTGGGCGGACCAGGTAACCAATGCAGTGTAATATGTTCTTTACGTTGTGGTGTTGCTAATCATGTTATATGTGTTTGAATGCTGTCATTGTCGAGTTGTCTATCTACGATAAATCAAGTCTAGTACCTGTCCAGTCAACGTACCTTGTCGTGTTTTGCTCTTATTCTACTGTTCCAAATAGTCTGTCTAAAGATAGCTACCTTCCTTGCTTTTTGCTCTAGGTCCACCTTGTCTGTTTGTTAAGGGATTTGGATAAGAGTTATAACTATATCGATGTTGAAGGTCTCCTTTCTTGTTATTTAAGATTCTAGCGTCTTTTTCATGTTTTGTATGGCAGGGCATTCTACATAGATGTGCGTTTTGGTTTCGGGTGTGTTTTTTCTGAATAGTGGGCAATAGAGTTTCTGTTGTTTTACTAGGGGTGTTAAATTGTAAATAAGTCTGTATGTTATTTCCCTGGCTTTGGTTGTGATAGTTTTGAGGTGAAGGTGTCTGTTGTGTCTGTTAGAGAGTATTTCCTACACCATTGGATTCTTTTGTATAATGGGGTTGAGCGTTTTTGCACTAACGTTGTAAATGTTTTGTGATTTTTCGTGTACAAATTTTTCGTTGTTTTTACTTTCTCGTATATACGAAGTACAGAGAAAGTCTTGTAATCGTGCAAAAGATTTTTGCAAATCTCGACGTTTTACACCTCACTGATACGGAAAAACATAATTTTGCAATCTTGTCCGTATGTCTGTGTGTGTGTGTGTGTGTGTGTGTGTGTGTAAACACCATAACTTGAGTGCCGTTATAGCTAGGTTGATGAAATTTCATATATAAGTATTTTATCAAAATCGCAGATCCGTATCAACTTTTGAGCGATTTCCGATAACCGGAAGTGGTACTCTTTTTACCTTGAATTTTTCAAAAGCCTATAACTTGAGAACTATTTCAGATAGATAAATAAAATGAAACATGTAAGTAAAAGATCTAATCCTCTACTTTCAGTAAAAGTTTGAGTAAATTCCGTTGACCGGAAGTAGTAATTTACGCTTTTTTGTATTTCTCAAAAAACGCATGTAAATTTATAAAGTACTAATAATATTCCGCACTATTATGCACATTTTGTTTTGGCGTTTGCTTGGTGCGCAATTATTTTTTTCTACGAGATTGTATTATTTTTTGTTAAGTTTAAGTAATTAAAAATCATGTCTATATTCCGAGTTGCCGTCCCACGTAGTGTTATATAAGAATATTCGAGAAAGTTTATGAGAAATTACGCCCGGTTTATTTAATATTTGTAAGCATTCTGTTTAAAAGGGTCTATGTTTTTTTCCTATGTAATGTGGAGTTGTATTATTGATTTTTGTAAGTTTGTTGAGCTAAATGCCTATATAGTAGTGAGCTATAGTAGTGAGTTTGGTATGTCGATTATTGTCGATTCCTCTAAAGCTTCTAGTGTTTCTAATGCATTCTATTAGTAAAGGTATCCAATAGGTACTAAAGAACTAAAGTGAACCACGCTTTTCTTTATAGTAATTTAAATAGTAGTGTATAATTTATTTTCTACTTTTTAGTGCATCATTACATAAAAGTTTTTTATTAGAACGTTTTTTATGAATTTTTTTTCTTGGTCTAAACTGAGTATGCATGCTTGTGTGTTTTTCTCGTGTGTGTAGTGGGTGATGTCTCTAATTAAGTAATTGTGATTTTGTATGTTCCTACCTGTGATGTTGCATTGTTTACCTACATTTATAATTTTATGCAAGTGTGGTTCAATTTTGGAGACTAGAACTTTGGTTAGGATTTTGTAATCAGTGTTTAAGAGAGAAATAGGTCTATAGTTTTGGGTTAGTTTAGGATCGGTTTTGGGTTTGCGTATTAATGTAATGTATGATCTGTTGAAGGTTTCGTGGCATTGTTCTAGCAGGGGAGTTAGGTCGGCTGAAAGGGCTTTAAAAAATTCGCTTGTCAGGCCGTCTGGTCCTGGCGATTTGTTTGAATTTAATTTGAGTATGGCTTTGGTTATGTTGACTGACTGAAAGGGGGTGTCAATATTAATTTTTCGCTGTCCTATAAGGGTTTAATAAACTTAAGGTATTTGTCTTGTATGTCTGTGTTTGTCTCTTCGAACTTGTATAGTTGCGTATAATAGTCTCTAAATATTGATTGAATTTTTTTTTAGGGTCAGTCGTCTCTTGGTTATTGATGTCTATGAGATGTGTGATTTATTTTGCCCTCTGAAAGCTTTGCTATAAAATTAAAATGTGGTGTGTGGGATTTTCCGAACCTATTTGTTCTATTCTACTTCTAATTTGCGATCCTCTATATTTGTGCTCTTGTATGTTAGAAAATCCGTTTCTATTGAGTCTATTTGTTCTTTGTTGTTGTTGATTCCTTTAAGTATACTTAGTTGTTTTTCTGGTTTAGTTTCTATATGGGGCCTTACGCTATTAATGCTACATGCATATTGAATAGATACCCGCTTAATGTCTTGTTTTAAATCTTCCCAATGTTGGATTTTGTTAAATTTTGGTGATGACTGCGTGTAAAATTGTATTATGTCTTTTATAGTGTTGATGTAGCGTCTAGTAATAGTGTATTATTGAATTTTAAGTATGTGTTGTGTTTTGGTTTGTTTTGTGTTTGTTCATTTTTTAAAGTTGCCAGAACTGCTGTATGGTCGCTAAACTGTAGTGTTGAGAATAGGTGTTCTACTTTGTTGATTTTCATGTTCGATGGGGCGTAAATTCTGTGTAGACGGAGTCTATTCCCAGATGTGTTACATCCGTGGGTGGTTTGTATGGTGTGTGGGTATTGCGCTCTGTATGTGTCAACTAAATTGAAATATGTTCTAATGTTGTTGATTGAATCGGCATGTGGTTTGTCTGTGGTTAAGCGGTTTCGAATAATGTCTTTTGGTCCTACGATGTCTAATCTGTCTTCCACGAAATTGAAGTCCCCGGCCAAAATAATGTCATGTTGGTTTTATCTGTTATTTAATATTTTTTACAGGTTTTCATAAAATTTACTGTCTTTGGGTCTATGTGGTCCGTGTACATTGGCTATGCTTAGTTTCCCCCCTATTCCCTCGATTGTAACTATTGCTAATTTCCCTTCGGAGTCGGCGTGCGTGTCTGTTATGTTGAACTAGTTTGATGTGTTAAAAATTGTTGACCCGCTACCCGTGATACGTGAACTGTAGCTGTGGTGTGCTTGAGTTAACCCTAAGTTGTGAGTGAATTTGTCTGCTGTGAATTTATTTTTAAAGTTAGTTTCCTGTAATAAAATGAAGTCAGGTTTATGTTTGCCGATTAATTGCCTTACATACTTGTCTTTGTATATTGCACTTTGTAATATGAAGGTTATTATTGTAAGGTTACTAACACTGCTTTTAACCCTTTGAGCCCGCCAGGCCGGTAAACCGCCGGCTTCAACATTAGGCATATATGTCCGAAAAATCCAGTTTTCCGGCCCGATGATCTAGCGTCATATTCCTAGCGGCCGGTATACCATCTAATTAAATATAATTAGCAGAAGACTGACTAAAACTGCGCATTTGTCTTTTAAGTGCGGGATTATGTTTTTTAAAAATAGATTTTAGGAAAAGTGAAAGTGTTAACATTTCGTAGCCATGCCGCCGAAACGAAAAGTTGAGCCACAGCCATCGACTTCAGCACATAAAGTTGGTGCAAAAGATGAAGCAAAAGACCGAAATATCAACAAAAGAAGTAGAATGACTACATCTCAGGCAATACAACTACTTATTGATTCTGATCAAGAAGATAATATCCCTGGTCTATGTTGTGATGATAGTGACGTTGAATTTGAGACGGAGCACAGTGGCATTGAAATTTACAGACAATGCAACTGTTCAAGTACGTTATGATGCACGTGGTGCTGTAAAACTTCAGTCTCCTTGGCGTTTTGATAATAATTATGAGTTCGTTTTATATACTTTGTTATGTTCATACAGTGTTAAAAAAACGACTTTCAGAATCTTGCTGCATTGTTATTTGATCCCAAGTCTGGATACCAAATTTGGCTTGATTATCTCAAACGGTTCAAAAGTTATAGGCAAAGTCAGAAGCAGATAAGTGAAAATTGGTTGGGCCATGGGAGCTCAGGAAATGGGAGAAATTAGGTCAGGGAGGCCAGGGCTCAAAGGGTTAATACCTGGTCCGCATTAGTCTTTTTTGGGATCAGTGGAGGGGGTGTAAATGTTTTCCTTTTTGTCGTGGTTCTGTCCTTTAGGGCTGGGCGTGTTGGGGTTGGGGTTGGCCGTGTAGGGCTCTGGACAGTTTCGGTTTTAGTGATGTGTTCATTTTCTTTGCTTCGTAAACTATATTTTTAGCGCAATTTCCATTCTGGAGAATTGCGTTTATTAACCCGTCATTTCTGGATGTATGAATGTATGAATGAATGGATGGATGTGTGTCCGCAGCTTTAAGTCGTATCTCCTCCTCAACGAAGCAATATCGATGACTAGTTCCAAAAGCAATTATGTTAAGCAAGTTACGAGGATGAACATAGGCCATAAAAATTACGGGTTTCTTTCATGGATTTCCCGGAAAAGCCAAAAAACCTCGGAAAAATGCAGTTTTTGGCCCATATCTCGGCAACCAGACCACTTAGCGACTTGAAACATGTACCAATCGATTCCTGCCATAATTTAAAACAATATTGCCGAAGAAAGTTTTCAAAAATATCCTTTCGTTCGGTCACAAAATTTTTTTTGAATTAATTAAAATTTGGACCGAATTAGTAGGCATTTTTTCCAACCACACCACACGCGTCATCACGTTCAATAGCTGCGCCATCGCGTTCCATGGCTGCGCCATCACGTTCAGTAGGCGCGCAATGGTTTTTAGTCATGTAACTCTATTGTAAATAAAACGTAAAATACTGAAATTTTTTAAAATAAAAAACGTTTTAATAACTAACCAATGGTTTTACTAACCCTGCTCTTGATTTACGCTACGACAGAGCTATTTTTAGATAACATAAGGAAATTGCGCTAAAATTGTCACTAGACTTTTTAATTAACTTGTTTTTATTTTTCCGTGGAGGCTTGTTCTTTCTTCACGGAATTGTTGTCCATTCTCCTTCTGTGGTTGGGGCTATGACTGCGGCAGGTTCTTGGGCTGGGTCGATTTCTGTGGCGTCATTTGGTACGTATTCACTGTCGTCTATAAGTTGATCATTATCGAAGTAATTACCATCGTTGTCTAGTGATATATTGGTTGTGCCACACAGGGGGCATATAGATCTTCTGCCGTAATGGTGTAAATCCTTTAAAGGGGCGTTTGGACAGAAAGCGACAGCCCACTTATCACTCTTCCCGATCTTAAGAGTTGAAACTATTGTGTCTGGTTCTGATATTTCAATCATAATTTTATTTATCATGTTCTGGGTAATGGTAGGGGGTACCCATATTAAATGACCCCTCTGACCGTTTTTGTCCACATGCAGCAGCAAAATGCTGCTACAATAATCCGAATGTTCACCAGTGGCGGAACTAGAAAACAAGGCTCCCCCGCAAACAATTTATTTTGCCCTCCCCCACCTATATGTATATATATATATATATATATATATATATATATATATATATATATATATATATATATATATATATATATATATGTTAGTAGCCTGCTTCTCTAAATTTTAAATAGTCTATTACCTGAGTATTTTAATCTATTTCATTGCAATGTATAACCACTGTGAGATAACGAACCAGACAACAATAAGTCCGAACTTATTTCGGGCCGCAATATTCGTGTTTTACAAATGTTTGTATTATATTTTCATGATTACCGAAAAATTGTAAAAAATTTTTTTTTTAAAAAAATAGGCTAGCTGGTCAAAATTATATTAACACGTAAGCTTGATTTGCGCAATGATTTCCCGCGTTATGTTTATTTTTATGATTTTTTGTATATATATTATTAGTTTTGAATACATTTATTATTATAGCTATAGGATTCTTTAGTAAGCTTTACTTAAATAATAATTAAGTGAATAAATCGCTTTTTAATTTACATAGGACAAAACTATTTAAATGAGCTTTATGGGCTTCCGTGTTTCAATGAAGGGCAGTAAGTAATGGAAGTAGTCTGAACGTTGGCCTATCTTTCAAAGTACAGCTCTTGTGGATTTTATATTTTTCTACGAAACAGCGTGTGTTAGTTACTGTAGAACAATCACTGCTATAGTAGACCTGTTTTTTTTTTTTACAAAACCACTAACAAGGTGCACGAAAAACATTATTTATAAAAAGAAAATTCATTGTTTTTTGGCCGGAATTGGGCCCCTAAAAGTCGTGAATTTAGGAGCTGGCTTATTAACTTTCATTGATTAAAAAAGTAATTAGTAAACAGTACGTTTAGTGTATGGAATATATAAAAGGCAGTATTTAAAATACCTACAACAATGCACACAACAGGCGCGTCCACTGGCGTCCCGGCAGGGTCCAATTAGGCGCCCTGGGCTATCCTAAGAGCACTATAGTGCATAATTTTGCTTTAAACAGTGCGATAGACTATGGATAAGAAAAGTTACTATAGTCTTTAATTGAATCAAATCCGATCGTCTTCCCGCGACATGACAGGGTGCCATTTGGCGCCCCGGGCCTTCCCGTGTTCGCTTTGGCGCCTACGTTCGTTTAAGCGAGTGCATAAGACTATAAATAAGTTGGGGTACTGTAGTCGTTTACTAAGCTGAAACAGGCGGTTCTGCCGGCGCCTCAGCTTGGTGCGATTTGGCGCCCCAAGGTAGACTGTGAGCACTTTTATGTTTGCGTTTGTGTTTTCTTCGTGTTTGGGGTGGGTTTGCGTTTGTATATGCTTTGTTTTCGTTTGCTTTTATTTTCGTTTGTGTTTTCTTTTTTTTTTTGTATTTGTGTTTGCGTTATGTTTACGATTTTTTGTGCTTGGTTTATGTTGGTTGTGGTTAGGGTGTGCAATGCCAAGTATATACTGATTAGTTAACGCATATGTCATGGTCCTTTACAGAGGCCCGTGCAGGGTCTGGCCGGAACGGCTAGTATATATATATATATATATATATTTATATATATATATATATATATATATATATATATATATATATATATATATATATATATATATATATATATATATATATATATATATATATATATATATATATATATATATATATATATATAGAGAGAGAGAGAGAGAGAGAGAGAGAGAGAGAGAGAGATGCTTTTTTAAATACCTCCATAATTCTTAATAGAGGTAGCCTATATGTCTAATGTGAATGTTTAAAACAAAAATTTCTGTACAGGCATTAAAATACCCAAAGAAATACCAATTTTAAAACACTTATGTTTTTTTACTTAACGCCAGCGTGAGTATGTGTTATAAAACAAACAAAAAAAATTCTGCGTCAGCTTGGCTAAAGGCTGCTCCATCTTTCGTTACTCTCACAAACTGATGACTGAGCTCCTCCCACTAAGGGGTCATCCATAAATGACGTCACTCTTTTTTTAACGATTTTTGCCTACCCCCTCCCCTCCGTCACACGTTGTCACAAAAAGCCAGACCCCCTCCCCTAAAATGACGTCACACAAAATTGCAGTTGAATTTTTTTTAAAACATCGATATTTTTTTCAAAAATCTTGTCTGAAATATGTCATAAATAGAGGATTTTAATCAATTCCTATTACAAATTATTAAAAATGTTTTCTAAAACGCAAAATAAGTTCTAAAATTCGTTTTCTAACATTTCTTTTCTATAAAGCAAAAGTGTGACGTAGCACCATCTGACCCCCCCCCTCCCCCTCATCACACATCGTCACAAAATTTCCGACCCCCTCCCATCCCCCTACGAGTGTGACGTCATTTATGGACGACCCCTAACTCATACACCTCTTAACAGTTGTAGAAACACCGACCAATGAAAGAGTGGTTTGTAAAATATTCTTTAGCGTTATATACCTCTATGAACATTATACTAAACCTGCATATAAATTATTTCATATTTCTCTAAATATGTTTACGTTTTTTATTTAACAACCTTACACAGTTTATAATTCTTTTTAAATTTCCCGTAACTTTCCAACATATCTCACAGACCCACACGGACAAATGGCAACAGCCCAGGTTCTAGATTCTCCGAGGGGTATCACACAATCACGTACAAGGCTACGGACAATAGGGGGTTAACAACTACATGTCAAATGACATTTTATGTAGGAGGTCAGTAAAATTTGTGTTTAGCTGTCGATTTGTCATCGACGTGTTTTTAGGTCCTCCTCTCGTGTCATCGAAAAATTAATGTATAAAACTAGTTTTAATAGTTGACTAACAGGTATTAAAAATAAGACAACAACGAATAAAATTAAACAAATGGATCAAATGTGTAAGATATTATTATCCTCATATAGATCTAAATTGAAAAGTTGAAAAAAAAAATAACTGAACAGTTCGCAGGTGTTCTATGTCGAATACGAACAAAATAGAAAGCGGCACCACCACATGCAAGCCTGCTTCTCACCCCAACCTCTACGGCAGCGAGTGTTTCTACAACTGTTATGAAGGGTATGAGTTGGTGGGAGGAGATCCGTCATCAGTTTGTGATAGTAATGAGAGATGGAGTAGCCCTTGGCCAAGCTGTCGCAGTAAGTATTAGTTTTATAACACAAACATTGTCGTTTAAGTATGTCCTTCGTCGTATTTCCTTGTTCGAAACTTTGAGGATACGTTGGAGGGATCTTCTTTCAAAGCCTCTGAGGTATCTCTTTACTTTCTTGTTTAGTTTACATGACTCTGTAGCATAGAGGAGTACAGAACGTACATTAGACTCGTAGATCCCTATTTTGGTTCTCTGCTGCAGTGAGGATGATTTCCAGATCTTAGCAAGTCTGTTGAAAGCATGTGCTGCCATTGTTATTCTGGTTGTTATATATTTCTTGATGCTGCCATTTGCTGAGATATGGCTGCCGAGGTACTTAACATCTTCTAACCCTGCTCCATTAGCAAAGGTCTTTAGAACACTTTTATTTTTTTATTTTCACTAGCTTGGTTTCCCAGGAGTTTATCTTTACCCCAACGTTTTTAGCTATTTCCTCTATTTTTGTGTTTTTTTCTTGGAAGTCTTTTTGGGCTTGTGAGAGTAAAGCCAAGTCATCATCAAAGTCACAGTCCTCTAGGTGGTTGGTAAGTTCCCAAATAATTCCTCTTGGCTTATCCTCAGTGGCTCTTCTCAAAGTCCAGTCTATTACACCCAAAAAGATGACAGGTGAGATGACACAGCCCTGTCTGACTCCTGTTTTTACCTTGAACCATTCACTTTGCTGATTTTCATGTCGCAAACAGCATTAGTTGTCAGAGTACAGGTCCTTGAGAATGTTTGTGACGTTTCCTGGAAAGCCATATAGCTCTAGTATCTTCCATAATGATGGATGGTGGATGGTATCAAATGTCTTCTCGAAATCTATGTAGTTGACGTAGAGAGAGACGAATTCCACTCCAGGGACTGTTCCACTATAGTGCGCAAGATAAACATTTGGTCATTGCATGACCTGTTGGCCCTAAGCTAGCTTGCTCTTCACGACGGATTCCATCGATTTATTTCCTCATTCTTTTAATAAGACTCTGCAGAAGATTTGTCCTGGCACTGATAGAAGTTTAATGCCTCTCCAGTTCTCACAAACATTCAGGTCGCCCTTTTCGGAATTTGGTGATGATTCCCCATTTCCATGAGTCTGGCACATTCTCTTTGTTCCGTACTCTATTAAAAATCCCTGATACAGTTTGTGCACCTATGTTCGGTCCTTTTTCGGGATTTCCGCAGTGATTCTGTCAACTCCTGGAGCCTTAGTGCTTTTTTTTTTTAATAGCTTCTATTAATTCTTGTTCTGAGATTGGTCCTCTAGACATTTCAAAGTGTAGGTAAATGTCTGTGAAGTTAGCAGCTTCTTCTGGGTCTAGTCTGTTCAGAATCTCTTCAAAGTATTCTGCCCATCTTTTCAGTTGCTTTTTCTCCGTTGTGAGAGTTCTCCAATTTTTTCGTCTTGAAACTGGATGATTTGTTTGCTATCCCGCTTGTAAGAGTCCTGATTATCTCGTAGAGTATTTTGCTATCTCCCTTATCAGCTACAGCCTGTGTTTCTGTCGCCATGTTGGCTATATAGTCTCTCTTATCGTTCCTAGCATTCCTTTTTATCTCTTTTTGTAGTCTTCTATATTCTGCATCGTTTTTATGGTTTCTATGGTTCCAAATATTGTTTTTTTAATTAGGCTTCTCTTTTCTTTTCAATGGTATTCAAAATATCATTTGAGATCCATTCCTTCTTTTGTTTATTCCTATGTCCTAGTATACATTGACCTGTTTTCATGTACAGAGGCGAAACGACCCGTTTCGGCGCCTAGGGCGAACTATCAATTGTATGCTTCCTGCCCATTTATAAATATAGTTATTCAAGAATGAAAAAGCGGACCACCCCCCCCCCCCTCTGCTGGGAAGGCTAGTAAAAGGTTTTTCGTGTAAATCATTGAGTAAAGCCTTGTAGCCGTTTACTCTCTTAAATTTGGGTATAATTTAATACCCCAGCTTAAAATGATCATTTTAGTGAATTTTTTCACCTGTTTCACACCTTTAGGGTCGGCGCCCGAGGCGGCCGCCCAAACCCGCCCTCCCCTAGCTACGCCCCTTTTCGTGTATATATACTGGATCCTTTCGCTTTGTTATTGGTGTCCAGTTCTGATAAGTCCTCGAGTAGACTAAATCTATTTTGTAGTTAAAGTGAGAAGTTTGTTTTAATGGTGGGATCTTTTAGTTTAGCTGAGTCAAATAGCTGGTCTGTTCTGCTCTACTCTAATGTTGAGAGCATTGTTCTAGCCGAATGCACTTTAATTAACTTGTTTGATATATCTACTCCAACTGCACACAGAGATAATCTGCCCACTTCCAACAACACCCAAAGGAAAATTTAACTGCCCGCCAACCACCTATTACAATTTAACATGTACGCTGACATGTGTTGATGATTACGTGACAGCTGGCCTCACACAAGTCAAGTGCCATGCTGATAAAAGCTGGACTAAATACGAACCTTGTTTAGGTGAGTAATTCAAGATATTTTCTTTTTAAATCATGTTTACAGACGTTTAATTTAATTTATAGGAACAGCAGGTTTATAGTAAAGGAAAAAAAAAACTCCAATGATTGAGCACTGGCACTCTTTGTTTTATTATCCAAAGTCAAATGAAACAGATTCATCACTATTTACATTTTTACTATAGATAAAACAGCCCCGCGAATATCCTGTCCTAACAAAATTGAAGCTTTGGCTGGTCATAAGAGTAGCCCAGTCCCCGTGATGTGGGAAGCCCCATTTGTCAGTGACAACTCCGGTGTCAGTTTGAATGTGTCAAGTGATATAGCATCGGGCTACAAGTTCCACGTTGGACACACAAATGTGACGTTTACAGCCACAGATGACGCGAAGAACATAGCAACATGCACGATGGTGGTCATCGTCCAAAGTGAGGCTGATTTAATAAATTACATCCCCTTGTTAAAGTACATCAGTTTCTTTTTGTTACTGTCCGCGTGGAATACCTTCAGGACAATCGTTTGTCTCTGCCCTAGGGATTCACTGTCCTGAGTATCCACAACTCAACGATTCTGATATTTCCTGCCCACTGATACGGAACGAGTACGGATCTGTATGTGTAACAACGTGTCACCAAGGCTACGAGCTGGCCAACCCGGCAAGTGATAGACAAGAGTGCCAAAAAAACCGTACCTGGAGTGGTGATGAGCCAGTTTGTGTCCGTAAGTTGTATGTTTTTGTGATTGGTAGTAAACGCTAGTAGTACATCATACATCAATGAATAACCTAATATATATATATATATATATATATATATATATATATATATATATATATATACATATATATATATATATATATATATATATATATATATATATATATATATATATATATATATATATATATATATAGCTGCATACCCGTGCTCCGCCACGGTAAAACTTTTTTAAATGTACCAACTTGGGAACAGAACAAAACAAAGAAAAACACAACAAAAACACAAACGCAACTTAACCACAACACAACCACAACATAACCACAACACAACCACTACAACACCACAACACCCACAACACCCACAACAAACCACAACATTAGAATCACCACCGAACAACACGCTTTCCTAGGCGCCCGCGCCAAAATAGAGCCTGTCCAGCATAAAACAAACAAAAACACAACACAAACAAAAACAAAAAACAATTTAACACAACCACAACACAACCACAACACAACCGCAACACAACCACAACACAACCACAACACAACCACAACACAACCACAACACAACCACAACACAACCACAACACAACCACAACACAACCACAACACAACCACAACACAACCACAATACAACCACAATACAACAACTAGAACACCTCAACACCCACAACACAACCACAACATAACCACAACACAACCACAACACAAACACAACATTAGAATCACCACCGAACAACACGCTTTCCTAGGCGCCCGCGCCAAAATAGAGCCTGTCCAGCATAAAACAAACAAAAACACAACACAAACAAAACAAAACACAACACAACCACAACACAACACAACACAACCACAACACAACCACAAAAAAGTTAAGTCACATAAATAGATCCTACTCCATAACTTACAATAAAAAATGCGATGCAAATAAATGTACGGCAAGTGTTGTTTACTTTTATGGTTCTAAGAAAACACATTGGAATCACCACCGAAAAACAAGCTTTCCCTGGCGTCCGCACCCAGCATTCTCTATACTATAATTCTAAAATTTCAACATCTGTTAACACCAAAAAACAAAAACAAAAATTAGTGATTTTGAGAGATCATAGACTAGTTAGAAAATAATATGAATAATCTTAACATTTTTCTATTTTACTTGTGAACCTTAACATATAAAAATCAATGAACCCTGCCCGAGCACCGGCAGACGAGCCTGATTCAGTGAATGACTATAAAACCCCCAGCTTGTACGCAAACCGAAAGATAGAATAATAATTATTAAACAGTACGTTCAGTGTATACAATAAATAATAGGCAGCATTTAAAATATCCGTGTTTTACCTAAAGTATTGCACTTTATCAATTCACGCCTTTTTTTCAGTACTTTAAATTTTAAAAATTTACAATAGAGTTTCATAACTAAAACCATTGCGCACCCAATGAACGTGATGACGCGTCTATAATAGTTCAAATAGTTGATTAAAAATTATAAGTAGTAAATAAATAAAATATTGCCTTTTATTAATCCATGCTAATTTTTTTTTTCTAACAAAATTTCCTCTTACATATTCCGCATAATTTGCATTCACATTTTGCTAATAATATTATTGCAACACTAATTCCTTCTAAGACGTCCGTAGATTTGCATTCACAATTTGTTTATTAGCGTGAGTTTAATTTATTTTTAAATTACCTCCCTTGTCAAAATTTAAAAAAAAATATATCCACTTTTTCTAGGAATATAAACGAAAATGATATTTGACATCGATTATTTTAATATGTTTTAGGAATGTGCGTGTATTTAATATTTTCTTTACGTCATGCAAAAGAGTAAAAACAGTGGCAACTATAAAATAACTTTATCTGGTTATATAAACAAACCCTACTCTTTTACCTATAATAAGACACTGCGATGCCCTGAAAAGCGCTGCAAGGTGCGATGTTTACTTTTATGGTTCCAAAATCTATAGCGATGACGGAAGGACTGACGCACTACCTAGCCGCTTATATTATATACTAGCTGCATCCCGTGCTCCGCCACGGTAAATCTGTTTTAAAATTAAATGTTCTAACTTTGGAACAGAATAAAACAAACAAAAACACAACATAAACACAAACAAAACACAACCACAACCACAACACAACACAACACAACCACAACACAATCACAACACAACCACAACACAACACAACCACAATAGAACTACAACACAACCACAACACAACACAACCACAACACAACCACAACACAACCACAACACAACCACACAAAAAAATAAGAGATCATAGACTATTTAGAATAAAATATAAATAATCTTAACATTTTCTATTTTACTTATGAACCTTAACATATAATAATCAATGTGGAAGCGATAAAAAAAAATTAACTTAAATTATTGAGAGTGAGTTGAATATTAAAAACACGTTTTCCCCGGCGTCTGCGCACAGAGAGAGCCTTTCCATTATTCTCAAAAAGTCTAATTTCACCACCTGTTTTCATAACACCGAAAAACAAAAGAAAAAAGTAGTGATTTTGAGAAATCATAGACTAATTAGAAAATAATAATAAATAATATAAATAATCTTTTGTTTAAAAAAGGTTATACACTCAAGACACGATAGGAAACTAACCGTTGACTTTATCGAATCAGGCGCATCTTCCAGCCCCCCGGACAGTGGCGAAGCGAGGTCGGGTGTCACCCGGTGCGGCACTTAATGGTGTCACCCCCCAGAGGCGTTGCGACAAACTTTCAAGTTTTCGATTTACACCCCCCTCAAACTTTCGATTTGCACCCCCCCCTTCAAGTTTTCGATTTGCAACCCCCCCCCCTCAAACTTTCGATTTGCACCCCCCCCCCTCAATTTTTTCTCTCTATATTTTGCTATTTTTTGCCTTGGTGTCACCCCCCTAAATGGTGTCACCCGGTGCGGTCCGCACCCCCGCCCCCCCCCCCCCTCGCTACGCCTCTGGCCCCGGATGGGTTTTCTTCTAGTCCGCGGGACGGGCACACTATTATTTAATAAATGTGAAATTTATTATATGTCCAATAAAAGTTTTTAAAAATCGGGAGCTTTTCGGATATTCTAATATAACAATAATGTTTGGGGTGGTACGTTTTATGCTATCGGGCTATAGAAACAGCCTTTTTTTAAAAAACGTTTGCACGATTAAAATACTTCAATAACTTTCAATAACCACAAAAATAGATAGTAGCTTATATACAGCCTCGTGGCTAATTTTAAATAAACAAATGAACAAAAAAAATACATAACAAACGTTTTAATAACAAGCTTTTCTGTAATAATGCAATAAAAAAAGAGAAAAAAAAATGATTTTCTTTAAATATATAATAATACACTGTATTTAAATTACTATGTGCCAACTTTTAAAATGAATCTGTCATTTATAAGTGTCCGAAAATTTAACCGCCGATCTATGACGACAGCCAGACTGTCGACAGACTCACGGCAGACAGAAGAGGCAAGTTAAATAAAAGCTTGCAATAAACAGCATTTTTTAATCAAAATTAGCAGTTATAAGTTCGGGACTACTTTCAGATATACAAGTCTGAAAATATGTACAGTATTTTATGTATTTGTTCTTGATTTTACGATGTGGCTTTTGTTTTCTCCGTTAGTACGGTATGATTTTTTTTTAGTTTCTAATTGTTTGAGTTTTGAAAATCTTTTATTTCATAAAAGTAATATAAAAAAATGAGGGAAAATTCAAAAAGCAAATTAATCTTAAACTTCTAAAAAATTCTGCCATTTTTTAACAGCAAGTTCATGCGCCCCTCCTCCGCTTGTTCTACATGGAAATTTTGATTGTCCAGACAAGTTCGTCTTCAGAAGCGTCTGCCACCTAAAGTGTAATCATGGTTACCAAATTACCGGACCGGCAAACATTACCTGTGGCATTACTATTCAATGGTCACAGTACGGAAACTGTTTAGGTAAATTTTTATAAAAATAATGTTTTGTTTAAAAAAAATGAATCAGGCAACCAATTAAAGCGAATTCAATGTCATGTTGCATTGTCTTCATTTCTTAACCCATGGTCTAACTATGAACCGTATCTGTCAGTTATAAGAGCACGTATTTTCAATCGGGCGTTTCAATCTAGACTGACGACAGACAGAGACAGTGAGTTAAATAAAAGCTTGTAAAAAATGCATAAAAATGTTTTAATAACAAGATTTTATGTAGTAAAGCACTAAAAAGTTATTTAAATAGTAGTGTATAATTTATGATCTCCATTTTAGTGCATTAGTACATAAAAGCTTGTTATTTAAACGTTTTCTATGATTTTTTTTCCATACTTTAATTTTTTTAAATCAATAGAGTTGCATGACTAAAAACCATTGCGCACCTAATGAACGTGATGACGGGTGTATAATAGTGCGGAATAGTTTGATGAGACAGCCTACTTATTTGGACAAAATTTTAATTAATTCATAAAAAATTAATTAGGCAACCTATTAAGTCAAATTTAATGTCATGTTGCATTGTCTTCACGTCTTGAACTACGTACGAACTACGAACCTTATCTGTCAGTAATTTCGCTAGGCCGTTTCGATCTCGACAGACTGACGACAGACTGACGACAGACAGGGACAATGAGTTAAATAAAAGCTAGAAAAAATAAAAGTAACACAATATGTCATTTTTTTAAAAATACACATAAGCTACTCAATGCATTTTGATTGTCGCTGTAAATAATAAAACAATTTTACACACTTTTTAAAAATAAAGAACTACCCAGTCACATTAATTAAATAAATAATATTCCATACATCTGAGCGCCCCTTTGTAAGTAGATGAATGATCTCCCCTAGATTAGAGCACCCCTCTTAAATGAAAAATCTCCCCTAGATGTGAGCGCCCCTCTATAATTCAATAAATGATCTCCCCTAGATATGAGCGTCCCTCTATAATTCAATAAATTATCTCCCCTAGATGTGAGCGCCCCTCTATAATTCAATAAATTATCTCCCCTAGATGTGAGCACCCCTCTATAATTCAATAAATGATCTCCCCTAGATGTGAGCGCCCCCTACTTCCCCGCCGGCTGCACTGACCAGATGAAAGTGGAGGCTGCAAGTCTAGGAGAGCCGACCTACGTCATCTACCAGCTACCGGAAGTTGAGGACAACTCTGGGATGAAGGTCACAGTTACAGGTGACCCTGTGTCAGGGTCCAGCTTCAGTCTGGGCACAACGGAAGTGACCGTTACGGCCACTGACCTTGAGGGAAACAGCGGCAACTGCAGCTTCACTGTTCTTGTCGAGTGTAAGCTATGGGTCTTTTTTTTTTCTAAACAAACTCCAAAGCTTGCATTACGTTTAAAGAAAAGTTTATAGTTTTTTTAAGGAAAGGTCTTCTTTATAAGTCTGAAAAATTTAAAATTTCCAAGCCTTTTTAAACTGTTTAGAAATGCAGAGGGTTTTTATTTCATTATAAAGATTGTACATGCCTTATCTAGCTCTCTAATGTAAACAGTTTTTATAACCAAATTTAATTAAATGAACATATTTATTTCTAAAATATTGTTTTCTATTCCAGATGTGTATTGCGAGCCACCATCCATTGACCTATCCGGGAAGAATTTAATCCAGTACACCTGCCCTGACCGTCACGTGATGGGGGCCAGCTGTGGTCTGTCTTGTCAGGACGGGAACCCGGTCTTTGGTGCCAGCTCCATCAGGTGCCAGAGAGACACGGACGGAAATCTTACCTGGGCGTGGTCAGGTACAACCAGACCTTACTGTGACGGTAAGTGGGTCAAGAGGTCACGTGATATAAGGTAATGTATTTTTATGGTCTATTCATTTATATATATATATATATATATATATATATATATATATATATATATATATATATATATATATATATATATATATATATATATATATATAAACACGCTCCACCTGTGTCTAGAACTTTCTATCCATGAAGGGTGGTAAGCAAATATATAGAGCAGCGGTGGGGAAACAGATGTAGTGTTCTATTTCTTACAGTTTAATAACCACGATAAATATAATAAGTAAAACTATTTCACGTGTTTTAAACATTATTTAAATCGCAACGTCTGCTTGTTTATTTGATTGTTTGTTTGTTTGTTTGTGGCAAATCTTGTAACTCAATTTCGTCCCTCTCCTAATGCAGCGATTTCGTTCAAACTTTCCAGACACGTTTCACTTCGATGACAATAGAAGTCTATCAATTTTTAATTTAATTAGATGTTTAATTAGTCATTGAAAATGAATTAAATGGTTTCGAAACAAAATTAAATAACTCGATATATTACTATATTCATTGCTAGCAGGGGAGATAACTTATATTAACTAGCTAGACTCGATCACCCCAACAGTCTAGTGAGTTAGGGTTCACGAGAATGTTTACACTCGTAGAGCTGGTCGATCTAATGAAAGCTACTAGAAGCAGAAAATAAAGATTTTAAACGATTTGAAACATGATTTAGAACTTTCTGTCGCCTGTAAAATATTATCACAGACAAAATAAAGATCTATAGAGGTTAATTGTCGAGCGTGAAACGCGTGAGTGCCGAGTGACCTGCGTTATCTCTAACGTCGAGTGACGGTGCTGAGGCTGACATGTGATCATAGGACTCTCGAGTAATTATAATGAGTGAGTAAACTACGGCTATTTAAAGCGTTCGGAATTTGTCACTCAGGATAGAACGACAGTTGCTCAGGTTATCAACGTTTGTGGTAATGGAATCTATGAGTCGCAAGATCCCGCAATGTGGGGTGGAGGAGGGGGGGGGGGGCTGACAGACTATTAAGGGGTAAAAAAAACTCCGATAAAAAATCATTTTTAAAAAATAAATTATGGTTTTCGTGCGCCTTGATAGCTTTTTAGTTAAAACTAAACAGGTCAACTCTAGTAACACTGATTGTTCTACAGTAAAACTGATACACACTGTTGAGTAGAATTTTTTAAAAAAATCAGGATGGATATACTTAGATCTGAATTAGGTTAAATGACTCAATAAGTAAAGAGATTAAATAATTTAAAATTTAGTGTGGCAGGCTCTATAATATATATATATATATATATATATATATATATATATATATATATATATATATATATATATATATATACGAGAAAAATGGCCCGTTGAGGAAGGATACAACAGGCGCTAGGCTGATAGTGCTGTCTCTTTTCTCTAAACTAAAACCACCCCCCCCACACACACCACCCCCCCCCCCACCACCCCCCCCCCCCCAAATATGTCTACCGTCCCATTCAACGAAATATAATTATATACTTTTTCCAGTGTCCGCCCCCTCCCAGAAAATTCTAACCCCGCCCCCGAAAATTTCAAGTACCCCCACCCCTCTCCGGGGAGGAAAAAGTCTAAATTAAAACCACCACGCCCCCTCACCCCCACCCCCCCCCCCCCACACACCACCCCCCACCCCCCACCCACCCCACCCCCCCCCCTAAAAAAACATGTCTACCGTCCCATTCAACGAAATATAATTATATACTTTTTCCAGTGTCCGCCCCCTCCCAGAAAATTCTAACCCCGCCCCCGAAAATTTCAAGTACCCCCACCCCTCTCCGGGGAGGAAAAAGTCTAAATTAAAACCACCACGCCCCCTCACCCCCACCCCCCCACACACCACCCCCACCCCCCACCCACCCCACCCACCCCCCCCCCCCCCCTAAAAAAACATGTCTACCGTCCCATTCAACGAAATATAATTATATACTTTTTCCAGTGTCCGCCCCCTCCCAGAAAATTCTAACCCCGCCCCCGAAAATTTCAAGTACCCCCCACCCCTCTCCGGGGTGGAAAAAGTCTAAATTAAAACCATCCCCCCCACTCACCCCCACCCCCCCCCCCACCCCCTCCCACACACCCCACCCCCCACCCCCCCTAAAAAAAACATGTCTACCGTCCCATTCAACGAAATATAATTATATACTTTTTCCAGTGTCCGCCCCCTCCCCGAAAATTCTGCACCCGCCCCCGAAAATTTCAAGTACCCCCACCCCTCCCCGGGAAGGAAAAAGTCTGAAAGAAACACTAGTGTCGCGCTTAGCCACTACCCGAAGAATTGCATTAAAGAAATTGCAAGAAAACCACTTTTTAGATTAGACACATTAATTAGGCGGTAATTTTATTATAGAGTATCGATGAAGAAATTTCTTTTGAGTTGGGGAGGGGGGGGGGGCTCAGACGTTCTTACGCGGAGGGGGGGGGGGGGCTTCGCCCCTACCCGAAGAATTGTATGCAAGAAACTCTTCACGAAAACCATTTAGATTAGACAAAATGTTTACTCGAGAATCAATGACGTCATATTACTGTGTGCACTCTCCGGCTTGAGATGCTAAATGTGGCGAAGTCATACTTCGTTTTTCGAATTACTATGCATGTTTTTATTTTGCTTGTGTTTTCTCTAGAGCGTTCTTGTCAGACAGAGCGTTCTTGTCAGATACATAGACAGACAGCGAAACTATTAGTATTAATATATATATATATATATATATATATATATATATATATATATATATATATATATATATATATATATATATATATATATATATATATATATATATATATATATATATATATTGAGAGAGAGAAAGAGAGAGAGAGAGAGAGAGAGATAGTGCGCAATTCGTACAATCAGAAACAAACCCGGAGTGACCTCCCTTAATCTTTCTCAAATATTCTATATAACACTACGGGGAATGGCAACTCGGGTTATAGACATGATTTTTAATTAATTTTTAATTACTTTTTTAAAAATAGAATAGAATCTCGTATAAAAAAATAAGAATTGTGCACCAAGTGAATGGCAAACAATATGTGTATAGTTGTGCGGAATATTATTAGTACTTTATAAATTCCTATGCGTTTTTTTTTGATAATTCGGAAATATCGTAAATACTACTACTTGTCAAGAAAAAGTACTCTAAATTTAACAGAAGGCAGTAAATTACTTTTTAATTATATGTGAAATTTCTTTTATCTATATGAAACATTACTCAAGTTATAGACTTTTGAAAAACTAAAAGTAGAACAAGTCCAACTTCCGGTTATCTGAATTCCTGAAAATTAATACCTAACTACAAATTTGATAGAATACTTAATTGAAAAAAATTTCATCAACTTAGCTGTAACGATACTCAAAGTTATTGTGTTTACAGACACACATACACACATACACACACATAGAATTGCAAAGCCCAGTTTTTCCGACTCGATTACGCATAAAACGACGAAATTTTAATAAATCTGGAATTATAATTTTTGCCCGATTAAAATAAATCTCCTATACTCCGTGCATGATGAAGTACTAAGAATTACGGGATGAACTGAACAGGCTATACAGTATAAACAATATTCACTCCCATTCAACCGCCGTCATTCAGTGACTACCATATCTATTATATATATATATATATATATATATATATATATATATATATATATATATATATATATATATATATATATATATATATATTTAGCTAAAGCTTGCACTAAGCTTCCAGAACCCAGAAACGGGGCTCTGGTCTGTGACAGTCTGACAACAGGCGAGATGTGTTTCCTGACCTGCAATGCCAACACCACTTACCCTGCCAATGCTCCAGACTCCTACAGGTGTGTCGCTTCCACGGGAGAGTGGATGCCTCGAAAAGATGTCCCTAGCTGTACGGGTGAGTTGAGTCAAGCTTGTTTGCTGTTCATTTCGAACAATAGTATACAAGCTTATATATATATATATATATATATATATATATATATATATATATATATATATATATATATATATATATATATATATATATATATATATATATATATATATATATATACATCTAATAAGTGGCGTAGCGAGGTTGGGTGTCACCCGGTGCGGCACTTAATGGTGTCACCCCCCAGAGGCGTAGATACCTTTCCCGGGGACAAACATTCCGTTTCCGATTTGCACCCCCCCCCCCCTCTCAAACTTTCGATTTCCACCCCCTTAGACTTTCGATTCGCACCCCCCACCCCTCAAAATTACGATTTGCACCCACCCTCAAATTTTTTTCTATATATTTTGCTATTATTTGCCTTGGTGTCACCTCCTAAATGGTGTCACCCAGTGCGGTCCGCAATGCCCGCCCCCCCCCTCGCTACGCCTCTGCATCTAATCAAGACTGTGTCTCTATAGATCAGTGGTTCCCAAACTTTTTCGAGTGGCGACCCCCTTTTATAAAATGTTAGTGACCCGCTACCCCCATAGAATTAAAAGGTCGATATTAGTAAGGAAATTAATACGCACTAAAATAAGATTTTCTAGTAGACTTTCAATATGAATTATTTTTTATAACTGTTTTAGTACGATAAGTGAAATTGCATGCATTTGCCGTTGAGTTTTGCTAACGGCAACCTCATGTCATTCTCAGCATTTTACTTATTTCTTTGTTTTGTTTTTAATTGGGGAAGTTTGAAAATCTATTCTCCCGAAGATATTTAGACACAAAAGGAACTAAAATTCGAAAGGCAATCAATTTCACGTTGGGGCATGAATGGTGTATATTACACCAAAATTGTGTGTAATACTGTACGTGATGCGGATTCATTTCGCAAATCCAAGATTTCATCTATCAATTCATCGGGAATGCTTGCAACCTCAAGGGATGCTGAGAGTGGGTCGATGCAGATTCTTCTTCTTTCAGTTCAGAGGAAAATAACGTCGCAGTTCGTTTTCAAGAGATTCAAATAATACCCAGAATCTTCTTTCAAATTTTTATTTAGTTCACATTCTGATTTATCTACCACACTGTAGAGTTTCTCAAACATGGCAATATTTCCTAGATTTATTTTTCTTCGCCAATTTAGCAACTTTGATAAAAATGCCCACGATTATCATTTATTTTCCCTGAAGCTTCAGGTTAAGCTTATGTTGATGTTCGAATATAATATCTGCTAGGTATGCTACTCTCTCCAACCACAATTTGTCGTTAAAGTCTATCTAAAGGTCCTGTTTCTCTTGCACTGACATTACAATAACCGGATTCACAACATTTCCTTATGGCAGCCAGATTGGCAGCCAGATTACTGTTGTGTAGAAAAGCAAAAGCTCGTGATCGTTATTCGTGTCTTTGCACAATTTTTTAAACAGATTCCCCTTTGTTAGGGAGCTAAATCTTTTACTTTTTCTGAAAGCCTTACTTTGACCCTAACATAGATGACGCACCATCCGTAAAAGCACCACAGCCATTTTCCCATTTTAATCATCCAGTTTCAAAAAATGTATTTATTTTCTCCATTATGTCTTCACAAAGTAGCAACTCTTCTTTCCTAACATATGAATAAATATATTTCACAAAGACAAGCAACTGCGAACACGAACTCACGTCTGTTGATTCATTAACTTGAAAAGCAAACAATGATGAAAACTTGATTTCATTCAAAATGTGCTCTTTAACATCTACGTACAAGACTATTATAACCCGCTGACTAGTACTATTAGGCAGAGATATTTGTTGCATCTTTACTGCACTGGAATCCCCAAGAAGTAATTTCACCATCTTCATCATGCAAGGTTTGGTGAGATTTTATCCTACTGTGTGTGAGGTGTTTTTTTTTTTATTATTTTTTTTCTGGCTATTACTAATGCGATGCGGCGCCATATGATGCTTGTAATAATGCCGTGTTTCCTTGGTGAAAACTTCTTGTTCCATCAAATCTCTGACGTTTGCAACTAGCTTCATGCCGACGAAAGAACTTCATACCTTTGTAGGTGTGTTCAGAATGACTCGTCTCATAATGACGTTTTAGGTTTGAAGATTTAATAGACTCATGACTGAGAACAACTTTGCACAGTAAGCATTGTTTCTTCTCTATTCCATAAATCCGAATTTCAGATATTCTTCAAATTATTTATATCTTTTTTTTTCAATGCTAAGGATTAGTCTACCAGTTGGCGACCCCCCAGAAAGCCCTTCGCGACCCCCAGGGGGTCGCGACCTCCAGGTTGGGAACCCATGCTCTAGATAATAATATGTTGGTGAAAGACATGCATATATTAATAAACTCGAGATAAAAATCTTTCACAAGCATACAAAATTATGTGAAATAAAACTATGGAGAAATAATCGTATCAGGTCAGAAGAAACGAAACTTATAAAGTTTAAACTCGCGAGAAGTACAAAAAAAAAGAATGACGTCCATTTTTGTAGATAAAAATACAATTGATATTCAAATTTCGAAAGATACAAAGTAATAATGACGTCATTTTAAATTGACAATAAGGACATTAACATTGCCACATAATTTATTTATCTAATATTAAAAGAGTATTTATAAGAACCAAACGGCTAAAAATAATAACGCAGAAGCAAAATAAATAGCAATGCAATATTTAAAAGATAACAAAAAAGTAGGTATAATAAAGACAACTGTTATAAAATATATTTAAATATCAAAAAGTAAACGCTTAATATTTATTAATATATGCGTTTGTGTTTGCGTCTGGTTTTTTTTTAGTCTTGGTTGTGGTTGGTTTTTGTTAGGGTTAAGTTTAGTGTTAGTTTTTTGGGTTATTTGTGATTTTCTCTATTTGCATAGATACATTTAATTGCATGTTGTTTTTTTTTTAAATATTCCCTACGAGCCGACCCGAGGTATATCATACGCCGCTATTTAGTTGTTTTATTTTCTACTTTTCAGTAATTCATAACTTGTGAATACGACAGTACCAATGCTGCCACTGAAAATATTTGCTTTAAAACACTATCAGTAGGTCGTTAAGGACGATACTACCCACACCCTCCCAGAAGAGAATTATATATAGAGAGATATCCGTTATATATATATATGCTGCTAGTTAAAAATAAATATAATGCTTTTGTAATTGTACTTGAGCTTGTGTTTGCTTAAACATTTCATTTACAGTTGGAAATTCTTATTCCGATGTGAAGATGGAGACGGAGTTCAGGTACTTCACGAGTTCATGTGACGTCACTAACGAGGAGATCAAACAACTTTTTCTCTCACGTCTCAACAAGAGCGGGCTGATGAGCGAGTGTGCCGAGTCTGGCTGTAAGTTGTCTGGCATCCGGGTCACGTGTGGTCCCGTCACTCGCAGGAACAGGGGGAGGAGAGATGCCACAACTGTCATGTACCAGGTGAGTGCACATTCGTTCTACTTTGTAAACTCACAATTTAAAAAAACATTTTATTTTAAAATATTCAGTGAATTTCAAAGGAAATCTTAGAATTTCTAAAAAAAATAATAATTCATATGTATTAAAACATTACATATATAACCAACAGATATATAATTGACCATAATCTATGTAGCCCACATTACTGTAATTGAGTGTATTTACTTAGTATGTAATAGACTATAATCAATTAACGTGCAATTCGCCATTTGTATCCAACAGTAATTTGCATTATATAACCATCATGTAATAGACCATATGTAATTAACATTTAATTGATCATATGAAACCAATATGTTATTATCCATATGTAAACAACAGATAACTTTAACGATCGACCTCGGACATTCAGGAAAGGAAAAAAAACATACAGAAACATTGAATCATTACCAAAACTTGGCTAATTCACTAGACGACAAATTATATGATCTAGAAGACTCGGGCCAGTTCCAGATCCCAGAGATAGGAGAGTTCCAGAGTTTTGCCTCCAGTGGCGTCACGTACGTCTGCCAACAGCCGGGTACAAAGTTCATCTACTCTACGTTGTTTTGTGGTAATTTTAAATTTATTTTTCATCCTTTATTCCTCAATACTTTGACGTATGATGATAATATTAATTATGTCTTCTACATAGACTTACTCGAGCAATATTCTAGAGTGAGAATGTCATAAACAGAAAGAAAGCCGACCTTAATATTGCCATGAAGCAGCCACTAGGTGTTATTAAAGACCTGTACTCATTTGTACAGTCATCTTTTGATTTTCGTTAAACATTTTTTTATTCTAGTTTAAACATGTGTCCTCACAGAAAACTTTAGTCTGTTTTTTTCCCGTTTCCTTTCAGCTGGGTGTGGTCCTGGCCACATGTACGACAACACAACCAACAGCTGTAGAGTTTGTCCTAAGGACACATACCAGGACCAGGACATTTCCTTCAGCTGTACACCATGTCCTAACAATACAGTGACACAAGCTGCGATGGCCACGTCAGGAGCTCTGTGTTTGGGTACGTTGTGCATGCTGTGTCATACACACTGGCACAGAAACACGTTTGAGTACGATCAATGATAACGAGGACCCAGACTAATTGTAATTATCCTTGTCTGGTTACAGACCTCTGCAGACCTGGCCAGTTTTCTCACAATGGAATCCAGCCGTGTGACCCTTGCCCAGTTGGCTCCCACCAATCCAAATATGGGATGAAGTCATGTGACCTCTGTCCGTACAGCATGTCCACCGTTGTTACGGGAACGACCAGCATTGATGATTGTCTTTGTAAGTATTTGAATAGAAAAAAACAATTTTTCTATTTCTCTTCCTCTCTATTTCTCTTTCTATCGATCTATCTTCTCTTGTATTTAGTATTTATCAGCCCAAGCAATGCTCCTTAGACAGACAGACCGGAACTAGATTTAAAAACGAGCATTTTCTTAACAAATGTTGCCAGAAGTTAAATCTGTTTCCGCCTAGCTTTTGCCTCATTCCCCCATGGGTTGGGGAGGGTCTAGTTTATTTGAGAGATGCCTGGTAAGTAATGATAACTTTCTACCACTAGTTCATATCGTCTCTATCTCTAAGATCAGGCTATATTTTTCGTATCGTGTACGTATCACCTTTTAATAATAACCAAAAAATGAATATTTTTTCTGAAGTTTTCAACACCCGACTTAGCGAGACCACCTCCCAGGCAGCCATACAAATATTTGACAAAATACCAACAACCTTCACCTTTATGACCTGGGTCACCTCGGCCTCAACACTTGTGACGTCATCATTGACCTTCTCACTGGGGTCGGACCAGGACAACTCTAATGCAGCATTATTAGCCCTGGACAAAATAGTTCTCGCCATACGAGAACAGGAGGATATTGAATGGATGAACTTCATAAGGTCAGAAGTTACATAATCTATCTATCTATCTATATACTACTAAAACTCAAGTTTGTTAACATGTTTGAATATTTATTTGTTTTTTTTTTGTTTGTTTTTTTGTTTGTCCGTTTGGTTACAGGAGAGAATCTGCACTATGTGTAGAGCTGTAAAATAGTATGTAGGTAGAGAACAAGTTTTGTTCTCAGACAGACTGTCAATCACAAATTTATTTAAAGACGTTAATTAATTGATTTATTCATAGGTAGATTAACCACATTAATTTTAAAAGTTTCAAACAATAACTTTGCTTTGAGTGAATAGTGACGTCACATTATTTGTTTTTACTTTTTAGTACAATAAATGGCTGCTTCAATACAAGATTTCGTTGCCCATTCAGATCTTTAACGCGTCATAAAGCTAATTTCTGTCGGCTATAACTAATCATTGTCTCTCCAGTAGCCAATCAGACGAACGAAAAAACAAACAAAAAAATAAACCGGGAGTAATCTCGCCTAAAATTTCTCAAATATTCTTATACTAGACGTCGGTACCCGTTAAACGTGAATTATAGGTCTATATATTTTTAATGTTATACTTTTTTTAGAAGAATATTTTATAAAATAGTTAATGGTCAAAACGCAACGTGCATTACTACAGGTTTAACGATATTAGTGACACAGCAAATAAATAACGAAATAGCTAAAAGCCGAACACATTTAAAATAACGCTACTAATACCTATTAGAAAAAATAAAACCAAATTATATACATAACTAGCCGTCCCGGCCAGGCCCTGCTCTGGCTTCTGTGAAAAACCTTTCTGTTAAAGACCATTACCAGTGTGTTTAGTAATCATCATAAACCCGGCATTGCTCACCCAAACCACGACCAACCAAAACCAAAACAACAAAACGCAAACATAACGCTAACACAATTACAAATACAAACGAAAACAAAAACCTAGCAACAAACCCAACCACAACCACAAACACCAATACAAACACAAAGAAAAAACAAACAAAAAAGCAAACGAAAACAAAAACCTAACAACAAACCCAACCACAAACACCAATACCAAAAAAAAAAAAAACAACGAAAAAGCAAACGAAAACAAACCAAATCCAAACGCAAAACCAACCAAAAACACAAATACAAACCCAAACAAAAAAAACACAAACAAAAACGAAAAAAGAAAGAACAAAAACGAACCAAATCAAAACGCAACCACTAACGCAAACCCACCTAAACACAAAGAAAACACTAACGCGAACATAAACGCCCGGGGCAGAATCGCCTGTTTTAGCTTAATAAACGACTATAGTACCCCAACTTATTCAAAGTTTTTGCACTCACTTAAACGAACGCGCCTGTTTCAATTTAATGAACAATTATAATACTCCAAGCTTATCTGTAAAATACCTACAACATTTGCACTTGATCAATCCCCGCTAATTATGTAATTATTTTTTCCCCAACACCAAAACAAAGTAATTAAAAAGTAAATGCTTTTCAACTAATGCAATGGTTTTATAAAGGGAAGTAATTGTGTTTTGCCTAATTTATCAAAGGGAAGTAAGCGCTATAGGACTAAATAAAGACATAATTAGAATTTTTGTAAAAGATGATAGTTTTTTAAAACTTGTGTTTAATGGACATGCCGACAATTATTACTATAATTTGAAAAATGAAAATGATTTCCCAACACTTTTAATAGTAATTTTTTAACTTATAAATTTAGACAAATGCGCACGATAATTTTCTAACACTTAAATCCATCGATAACCAGCGACAAACAAACATATGCGTTACAGAATTGAGCTTTATATATTAGATTAGTCAACATAACACCATATTAAATGCACACATTGATTAAACAGACTTAAATGATTCCGTAAAAAAAGCAGGCTTTTCGATGGTATTTATGTGTATTAGTTTTGGCCGAGGAAATTGCATAAATTACCTCTCGATAAGTAAATCGATAGATCTATATCAAATTTTAATGAAATAGTTCATTTCTTCGTATTCTAAAATTTGAAGATGACGCCATTGGTTTTGTGTACTTTCCGTACTTCAACCATAATTATGATATGTGACGTTATCCATTTCGGCGTTCTTGTCCCAACTATATACAGTTTTCCTGTTGTATAATTAAAACTGTTTTTCCACATTCGAATATGCCTTTATTTTTTATTTTCTTCTTTAAATAAAATTGTGTTTATACATTTAAAACATCTACCATATTATTTTCAACAAAATTCCGTATCAAGTTCTCCATATATCGCAAATGATTCTAATGTGATATCCTGCGAAAATATTTTGCGGACAGAGAGTGAGAAGTGCTCACATGGGCATATATATTAGGATAAAACAATAGGGATGGGAACTCGGGATATAGTTATGATTTTTAATCCATTTTAAATACTTAAACATTTTAAAATAGAATAGAATCTCATAGAAAAAAGAATTGCGCACCAAGCGAACGCCAATTAAAGATGTTCATAATAGTGCGCAATATTATTAGTACTATATAAATTTACATGCGGTTTTTTTTAGAAATCGGAAATAGCGTAAATTAGTACTTCCGGTCAACGGAAATTACTGAAAATTTAAAAGAAGGTAGAAGATTAGATCTTTTACTTACATGTGAAATTTCATTTATCTATCTGAAATAGTACTCAAGATATAGGCTTTTGAAAATTTCAAAGTAGAAAAAGTACCCTTTCCGTTTATTGGAAATCGCTCAAAAGTTGATACTGATCTACGATTTTGATAAAATACTTATACATGAAATTTCATCAACCTAGCTGTAACGGTACTCCAGTTATCGTGTTTACACACAGACAGACAGACAGACAGACACACACACACACACAGACATACGGACAAGATTGCAAAATTATGTTTTTCCGTATCAGTGAGGTGTAAAACGTCGAGATTTGCAAAAAAACTCGATTTTTTTTCACAATTACAAGACTTTCTCTATACTTCGTATATACGAGAAAGTAAAAACAAATATTCAAACATGTAAATAAATTTGAGTTTTAGTAATATAGAGATAGGTAGTTGCATATTACAAGTAATTAAAAAAATGGTAATATAGTCGATAAGTTATATAACCGCAATCAACCGCGCAAAGGAAAATATAGTTTTTTGATAAGTTTAATTACTTCTTAGTAGAAGAGAAAACAATAAGCATTTCTAACCTAGGTTTAATTTTATCGTGTCGTAAAAGCAAAAGTTACTCTAATACTTTGCTACTGTAATATCAATGAGAGTGGAATTTTCTTATGCAGTATACACAGTTTTGATTCTGTATATTCGGTCATTTTTACCCCAAATAAATACTATACTGTTTTATCCTCATTTGTTATTTAATAATCTATAATCAGTTATAAATTACTAATTAACTATAATTTAAATAGTTTAACATGTTCCCCAAATGTAATGAAGGTGTTCTTATATTTAATATTTGATAGAAATATATATGTGTCAAAATGTCCTAACATTGCTACACATATACAGCTTCTAAAACATAACAGAAATAACCATATGATAAAAAATTACATCTGTATTTCCTAAACAATATTTTAAAATAAAAACACTCCAAAGAAAATGGAACCACATAGCCCTAAGTTACAAGTCTGGCAACGTGTCTCTGTATGTCAATGGTTTTTTGACCGAAGAACGTTCGGGTTTACAAGTGGAGGATTTATCACAGAAATATGTCACATTTCGCAAGTCTGAGGAGAATGATGTTAACGGTAGGTTTTAAGAGAATGTCCTTGGAAATTATTTAAAATATTTGTAGTAGGCATTCTCAAAGTGTTGTTCTGTTGAATACAACATTTCATTAAAAGTGAGGAGGTTTCTGCATATGGTGGCGGTTATTAGTTGTTGTTGTTTTTTTAACTTTAAAAATATTATGTTGCAATAATGTAAAAATCTGTACTCTAATTTCATAACACAAGATTTAAAATTGTCTAATGTAAACATAATTTTGAAAACCCCCTGCTATTTTCGCTTGTGTCCACAGCTGTGGTAGTGAGTGGCCTCCAGCTGACCACCAGCTTCTACACAGAGCTCCAGCTCCGAGAGTTTGCCACTTCCTGTCACAAGAAGGTCAAGACAAATCTACTGGCCAGAAAACCTTGGGAGTTTCTTGCCCTTTCTCCCAGCACGTGCAACGGTACTCATGTAACTTTGTATAAGTTTAGCGCTAAATCAGACTGTTAATATGTTACTTCAACAACAATAAGCAGATTGATACAATTCTTCTTATTTATATAAAACCATTTGACTTTCAAATAAAGTTCGACCCGGGGCATAATTTTGTAAACAAACTTAACTGATGTAGTTTTTATTCACCTCACACCATAGCACTCATGCCCAGTGGCGTAACGAGGTCGGATGTCACCCGGTGCGGCGTAGCGACCCTTCCCGGGGATAAACTTTCAAGTTTTCGATTCCCCCCGTCAAACTTTCGCTTTGCACCCCTCCCTCAAGTTTTCGATTTGCACCCCCCCCCCCTCAATCTTTCGATTTGCACCCCTCCCTTAAGTTTTTCTCTATATATTTTGCTATTTTTTGCCTTGGTGTCACCCCCCTAAATGGTGTCACCCGGTGCGGTCCGCACCCCCCGCCCTCTCTACGCCCCTGCTCATGCCTCTCTCATCACCCTCGAGACTGAATTATTCCTGCATTTTCTTTCGTCCTTAACCTTTCCGGATTCCATTCGTCTACATCTGAATTTGGTATTAAGCAATTTAAAGCACGTCTTGTTTTGCTACTGCTAAATTGGGTGTAGATATGCACTTCCGTTTTTGTATTCTGTAGTTTCTCACAATATTTTGTTGAGTTAAGCCCCTTGGTATTGTTTTGAATAGAATTGTTGAAAAAGCAATAAACATTTATTGAAGATGCTTTATTTTTAAACTGCTTTCTTGAATGCCATTGAAAATCGACAAAATACGCATAAAATAAAGAGTTCATAAAACCGCATTTTAATTAATATGAACGCTCTTTTCCAAAACTTGCAAGTTTCTAAGTTTAAGACCAAAAACGTTTTAAAATATCCTTAGTAATTTACTGGGTATAGTGATATCTTTTTAATTATCTTTTAATTATCTTTTTAGTCGATTTACCATTTTTCTAAATGTATAATGCTGCTGGTGAAACCCTAAATTCGCTTGAAAAGTGCATAATAATACTTTTTGAAAATTCCAGTGGGAGTTGATTTTCGGTTTCAGTTAGTTGATTTAACTTCTTGAAAAATTTCTTAAGCGAGCCGCAACGCATAGGCCCCCTATCTGGTTTTTCTAACTGCAAGCTTACTTGAGAGTCTTCAAAATATTTCTATTTTCTACAATAATTACGCACGAAATATTTTTACAACGCAGGCGACATTTACCTACCCAGCAACCTATTATTCATTAATGAAACACCTTTCTATCTCTAATACGATTGTGTTTTTAAGAATTATGCAAATTCATTTATGTACTGCATTTCGTCTTACTATGACCTTAAACTTACCTCTCTAGTTTTTGGTTTGTTAGTTTTTGTTCCTTCTTTTTTGGTTTGTTTGTATTAATCATCGGTATCAACTGCAGCTTCACAGTGACGTTTAAACATTATTCAGACACAGTATTTCAAATAAGCCTCACCGATATAAATAAAAAAAAGATGAAGCACAATTAAACAAGTGAATAAAAAGTCTAGTGACAATTTAAGTGCAATTTCCTTATGTTATCAATACAATTTTAAATCGAGATAAATCATATATTCAGCAAATAAATAATGCAACACAAGTAGTTTTAATAATTCAAAACGAAATAGAAAAAAAATTTATTAACGAGATTGAAAAAAAAATTTCTTTATAGTTATGGGCCAAAAACTGCATTTTTTCAAAGTTTTTTGGCTTTTCCGGGAAATCCATGAAAGAAACCTGGAATTTTTATGGCCTATGTTCATCCTCGTAACCTGCTTAACATAATTGCTTTTGGAAAATTTCCTTATGTTATCTAAAAATAGCTCTGTCGTAGCGTAAATCAAGAGCAGGGTTAGTAAAACCATTGGTTAGTTATTAAAACGTTTTTTATTTTAAAAAAAATTCAGTATTTTACATGTTTTATTTACAATAGAGTTACATGACTAAAAACCATTGCGCGCCTAGCTACCGAACGTGATGTCGCAGCCATTGAACGTGATGGCGCAGCTATTGAACGTGATGACGCGTGTGGTGTGGTTGGATAAAAATGCCTACTAATTCGGTCCAAATTTTAATTAATTCAAAAAAACTTTTGTGACCGAACGAAAGGATATTTTTGAAAACTTTCTACAGCAATATTGTTCTAAATTATGACAGAAATCGATTGAGACACGTTTCAAGTCGCTAAGTGGTCTGGTTGCCGAGATATGGGCCAAAAACTGCATTTTTTCGAGGTTTTTTGGCTTTTTCGGGAAATCCACGAAAGAAACCCGGAATTTTTATGGCCTATGTTCATCCTCGTAACTTGCTTAACATAATTGCTTTTGGAACTAGTCCTCGATATTGCTTCGTTGAGGAGGAGATACGACTTAAAGCTGCGGACACACATCCATCCATCCATGCATACATCCAGAAATGACGGGTTAATAAACGCAATTCTCCAGAATGGAAATTGCGCTAAAAAGTGATACAAGTTTTAAACGTATTTATGAACACAGTATTTTGTTTTATCTTTCTTAACCTTTGAACCCCCCCACCCCAACAAATATTGCCAGACGTGAACATGTGTGAGAAAGAGCCGTGTGGCAAACATGGTACCTGTATCTCTGGTCTGGACACGCTTCAGTGCTTGTGTCACACGCCGTGGTCCGGGGATCGGTGCCAGGTGGCTCCAGACTTTTGTGCAGACAACTTGTGTGCTAACGGCGCCACCTGTGTCATCATGCAAGAGGACAGCACGTACAGGTGTCAATGTGCACCTGGATATTATGGCACCCTATGCAAGCAATGGCGTGGTATGTTTTGGTTTTTTCAAAATACAAAACTTGCACTTATAAAACGTATCACACATAATTGTTATAGCATACATTAAAAACAAAATACTGAAAGGAAAGTTTACTAAACTTAATGTTAATAATTTACCATTATGAGAGAATTATCTTCGAATATTAAAATGTAGTAAACTAATTTAACCAATCATTTCAGCTTTGTGTGGTACTCTCTAACTACAACAGGAACTTTCCAACTTTCCACCCTAATGAATATTCTGATCTAGAAATCTCCATAACATCAAGAAATATCCCTAACATTGAGTTTAAATATTCTATTTGTTGATTTATTTGTATTTGTTAATATTTCTTATTTATTTGCTTTTGACACAATGAATTAATTAATTAATTAAGGTTTGTTTGTTTGATTGATGTATTTTTTAGTTTGTCCCAAACTCAAGATCAGAAAATGGGCAGTATGTGTAGAATGTAGTAATGCGTACTTATATATACCCCCACCGTAGACATGCGTATGTGCTAGGGTTCAAGGTTTGTGGGGTATGACTACGACTTTATTTAGTACCAATGTGCAGTAAGTACGTGCAGATCAAGGTTACCAGATAAAGTAATGTGGAAATGTCCACTTTCATCGTCTAAGCACAAAATAGAATGGCGTCATTGATTGTTGAATGAAAAATGAAATTAAGAATCGAAAACAGAAAACGATAAACAATAACACTATTGAAGCGTAAACTCCTCTAATTTAAGAGTCCGTCACTATTTTATCTATTGATTAGTTTTTCTAATATTTAGGAAGAGACCCACGCTTTTCTTTATAGTAATTTAAATAGTAGTGTATCATATCTTTAAAGAAAATCATTTATTTAGTGCATTATTACATAAAAGCTTGTTATTGAAAAGTTTTTTCATTAATTTTATTTAATACAACGAGAAAAATGGCCCGTTTAGGAAGGATATAACGGGCGCTAGGCTGATAGTGCTGTCTCTTTTCTCTAAACTAAAACCAACCCACCCCCCCCCCACACCACCCCCACCCCACCCCCACCCCCACCCCACCCCCACCCCCACCCCCCACCACACACCACCCCCACCCCCACCCCTCACCCCCACACACCACCCCCTCCACACACCGGCCCCCACCCCCCACCCCCCCCCCAAAAAAAAAACATGTCTACCGTCCCATTCAACGAAATATAATTATATACTTTTTCCAGTGTCCGCCCCCTCCCAGAAAATTCTACCCCCGCCCCCGAAAATTTCAAGTACCCCCACCCCTCTCCGGGGAGGAAAAAGTCTGAAAGAAACACTGAAACCAACCCACCCCCCCCCACACACCACCCCCCACACACCACCCCCCACCCCCCCCCCACACACCCCCCACCCCCCCCCCCCCCACCCCACACACCACCCCCCCACCCCTCCACCACCCCCCACCCCCAAAAAAACATGTCTACTGTCCCATTCAACGAAATATAATTATATACTTTTTCCAGTGTCCGCCCCCTCCCAGAAAATTCTACCCCCGCCCCCGAAAATTTCAAGTACCCCCACCCCTCTCCGGGGAGGAAAAAGTCCCCCACCCCCCACCCCCACACACCACCCCTCCACCCCCCCCCCCCCCCCCCCCCAAAAAAAAACATGTCTACCGTCCCATTGCAAGAAAACCACTTTTTAGATTAGACACATTAATTAAGCGGTAATTTTATTATAGAGTATCGATGAGGAAATTTCTTTTGAGTTGGGGAGGGGGGGGGGGGCTCAGACGTTCTTACGCGGGGGGTGGGGCTTCGCCCCTACCCGAAGAATTGTATGCAAGAAACTCTTCACGCAAACCATTTAGATTAGACAACATTTCCTTTTTTTCAATGTTTACGCGATAATCAATGACGTCATTACATTACTGTGTGCACTCTCTGGTTAGAGATTATGTTCTACTCTACGCTAAATGTGTCGACGTCATATTTCGTTTTTCGAATTACTGTGCATGTTTTTAAATTGCTTGTGTTTTCTCTAGAGCGTTCTTGTCAGACAGAGCGTTCTTGTCAGATAGACAGACAGCGAAACTATTATTATAGATACAGGTGCATGACTAAAATAAATTGCGCACCAAATGAACATTATAACACGTGTATAATAGTGCGGAAAGAGAAGCACAAGCCTGCCTATGTCAGAAAACTTTAATTAATTCATAAAAACTCAATTAGCAATCCAATAAAGTTATATTAGATGTCAGACTGCATTGTTTTCAAGTCTTGACCCGTGTGCCAACTTTGAAACGAATCTGTCAACTAGAAGTGTCATAAATTTCGCTCGCCCGTTTCGATCTATGACGACAGATTTAAATAAAAGCTTGTAAAACTATCTTTATTTTACGACTACACAGAAATAATACACGGTAGCTGGGGACGTTGGGGCGAGTGGTCAGAATGTTCCGTCACGTGTGGGTCAGGACAGAGGTCAAGGACGAGAGTGTGCGACAGCCCTGCTCCCCGGGGAGGCGGAGAAGATTGTATTGGTGTAGATCATGAGAAAAACGTTTGCACAATTTTCTGCCAGGGTAGGTACTTTTTAAAAGAAAAAAAAAACTTTCTCGATACTGTCGTAAATAACTGTTTTACAAAATACGTTCAACTGTAGCTTTATGTTATTTTAATAGCTAGAAAGTCAGATGTTGTGTCGTAGCAACAAATAACCCTCGCCTGTTTCAGATTGTCAGTGGGGAGCTTGGTCTGCTTGGACGAACGACGTGACCTGTGGGAGTGGAGTTCAAGGCCGTGTCAGAAACAAAACGGATGCTGTCAATGGCGGGTCAAAGTGCGATGGTCATACACATGAATATCAAACGTTGAACTTAACAGACTGTCCAGGTATTTTAGAGTTTGCTTCATTCATTTTATTTTTGTTTAGAAACTTTACTCTGTGCATGACCCTAGATATGGCTGTAACCATAATATATCCCAAACTCTGAAGCTATCACTAGTCAGGAAATCTTGCCCTGACAAAACTCATGCACCTAAAACTGACTGATATACTAACACACCACACAACACAATGTAATACATATTGATTATAAAAAAACATTTGTTTGATAATACATGATTCAATTCTTATCTACTGACGGTACTTATAAGTACCACTTAAATTAAGCGCCTGTATTATTTTTAATTTAAGACGAATTTTAAAAATTATTGATGTAATTGATAGTATTATCTCCCTTGAGTCACAGGTAGGTGGAGGGAACGATGATTTTTTAAAATTACTGGTGTGGCGCCATTTTCAATCTCTACCTGTATCGATAGTTCACAATTATTCTGTACATATCTCACATGTGTTCCTGATTTCCCTTTGTTTTACCATATTCTTCACGTTTTCAACACCGAGTATTTTGTATTGGCATCTTTAATAGTCATGAAAATGCGTTTAACTTCTAGTTATACAATTTTTATCAAATTGTCTTTGTAATAGATCGATGTCTACAAGTAGACTAATAAGTACCGTCAGGGCACACGGACATTTTTTAAGGATTTCTTGGAAATTGCTGATTTTCGATGTGGAGTGACATACATATTATTTTGATAATTAATTATAGAAATGTACTTAAAAAAATATATTTATGCATTTATAAGAAGGTTAGCATAAGGTTTTCCTCATAAATATTGTAATTAATTGCAGATTTCTAGTAGTAAAAGAATAACAAGTATAGAGGTGGCAGTTGCAGGCTCGTTTACTAGGTTTAGTATACGTTATTTGTATACCCAAGTCTAGTTCTAGAAGTAAGATTTGTAAGTTATATTTGTTGCAAAAAACTGTCTTGCATACAATAGCTAGCGTGTACGTAATGTATACATGTAGACTAGTAATAGTCCATACATCTGCATGCAGTATAGATGGTTTTGTAATTTTGAATCAGTAAACACAAAACAGTAGGCCACTACGGCTATTCCAAACACATTGAGCTCACTTCTATTTATGAACTTTACACTGTAGTGTAGACTTGTCATAACATTCTAGTAGGCTACAATTATACTGGCATTACTACTAGTAGTGTACTGAATGACTAGGATTTCGTTTTCAAAATAATTGTTTATGCGGTTCATTGTAATGGCTATTGGAAGCCTCCAGCAAAAGCAGGTTCTTTCGGGCAACTGTTGTCACACCAGAAAGACGATAGACAAAAATGTCTCAGGAATGAGGAATGAGGGAGCATGACATGTCAGCACCTTTTGCTGTGTTTGTGGTCTAAGATGTGTTCCGATAGAAAATCGAGTAAAAATCGTACTCAAAATATACTTTTGTGCTGTATTTATGTGTGAAAATTACAAAAATGATTGTTATAATGATTGCCATGTTATTAGTTAAAAAATTGTATCGTTTTTTCCTGTTTTGTAAATTTTTTAATTTTTGGAAAAAATGTCCTACATTCCTGACGGTACCTATAAGTACCAATACATTTTTGGGCCCTTAAAAATTTATGAAACAAAATTTCCTTCGACATATGCTTTAAATGTGCCAAAAGCAATATGATGACACATTGTTTAAGAAAAAATGTCATTCGGAACCTAATTCCGTAAATAAAGGGTTAAATCATTCAACGCAGAACTTACAATACATGTTATGTCTGTGTTCCAACTTTCTGTATTAGTGAATGGTCAGTTCGGCCACTGGTCACCGTGGTCCGAGTGCTCAGCGTCGTGTGGTGGGGGCGTATCCTCTAGGTCACGTGCATGTGACAACCCTCCTCCCAAAAATGGCGGACTGCCGTGTACTCACTCACTGGCCAGGGAGAGCCGGACGTGCAATGAGCAGACGTGTAGAGGTAAAAATAAATTTCCAAAACGTTATTTACTGTGTTGGGTCAAGTTATGACCTCTATTGTGTCCTGTAAGTCACGTGATGTCGACCCGTGTGTCCTGTCAGTCACGTGATGTCCCTCAGTGTGTCCTGTCAGTCACATGATGTCCTCTAATATGTCCTGTCAGTCACGTGATGTCCTCTACTGTGTCCTGTCAGTCACGTGATGTCCACCAGTGTGTCCTGTCAGTCAAATGATGTCCTCTGTCCTGTCAGTCACGTGATGTCCCCTAGTGATGTCCTGTGAGTCACATGATGTCCTCTAGTGTGTCCTGTCAGTCACGTGATCTCTGTCCACCAGTGTGTCCAGTACCAGAGCCTAGAACCAACTGGAAGTCCTGGAACTGTACCGACCAAGACGGCGACATGATCAGCTGCAACATCGTGTGCAAGCCTGGCATGGCTATCGTGGAGGACGTCGACAACATCTTCATCTGTGGGTTCGCCACCAACTACACCTGGTCACAGCAGACGGTGGTCAACCCGGTGGGAATTCTGCCAGACTGCACAGGTAGGGGGCGTGTCTTGCAGGGTAACTGTCAGACTGTACAGGTAAGGGGCGTGTCTTGCAGGGTATCTGTCAGACTGTACAGGTAATGGGCGTGTCTTGCAGGGTACCTATGAGACTGCACAGGTAAGGGGCTTGTCTTGCGAAGTACCTGCCAGATTGTTCAGGTAAGGGGCGTGTCTTGCAGGGTACTTGTCAGAGTTTACAGGTAGGGGCGTGTCTTGCAGGGTACCTGTCAGAGTTTACAGGTAAGGGGCGTGTCTTGCAGGGTACCTGTCAGAGTTTACAGGTAAGGGGCGTGTTTTGCAGGGTACCTGCCAGATTGTTCAGGTAGGGGGCGTGTCTTGCAGGGTAATTGTCAGAGTTTACAGATAAGGGGCGTGTCTTGCAGGGTACCTGTCAGACTATATAGGGAGGGGGCGTATCTTTCAGGGTACGTGTCAGACTGTACATAATTATATGATCAACATATATATATATATGTAAAGTTTTGAACTTTCGAACAAAAGGCTATTCAAGATGGCCTGATGCGTTCAAATATTTTTTAAGTACCCTAACTTAGATACACACAAATAAAGAAGACTTGTTAGTTAAGAAGTTATTTTTTTTTTCCGGAGCTTACCCCCTTAACCAAACCATTGTGCACGACGTCCAGCATTTATTTAAAGAGATTATTATTGTTCGTCGCGATAAGTTACTTTAGTCAGAGTGTTTACAAAAAAAAAATACGATGCTGTATAACTGAAATGATAAAGAAAATAAACACAAATAATACAAAAAATACTCACAGTATCCGAAGTGCAAAAAAAAAAATAACGTAAACTAGCCACTTAGTAAAGGCCTGTTGGCAGAAAATCATAAATTACTTGAGTAACACCTAAATCCACAATATTCCAATCCACGCCTTTAAATACCTGACAGGACAAATGATATCAGAGAACACTTTCTCAGACAAAATTTCCCAGACAAAATATCTCACGGACAAATAAATCAGGACAACGATTCCTAGTATTTTCTTCTTTTATTTAGACCGTAAAATCCCCCAGTCGATCAAGCCACAGATAACTGTGACCATTGACGTTAACTGTAACGACAGCCCTACCCCAGAACGGTTTGAGGAGGCAATGAGTAATCGAATAGGTGGCCTGGAGTGTAGGAGGGAGAACAAATGTGGTTACGTCATCAAGTCTGAGAGAAGGTGTGGCAGGAAGCGATCAACAGGTATACATTTTTTTATCACCGCGAGTTTGATGGTGTGACTGTTTATACCACTTGCCCATACCTAGGTTCACTTCCACGAAGATTGCAATGGTTAGTGGTCAGTGAAATATCTCCACTGACCAATAGTACGCTCAAAACAATAGCCATTGTGTACGCGTTGTTGTGATTGAGAGCGGTGCACACATAGAGTGTCTATGAGAGTGCTTGAGTGTGTCTATGAGAGTGCTTGAGTGTGTCTATAAGAGTGCTTGAGTGTGTCTACGAGAGTGTATGCCTAGAACTCTGGGTGTAGGTGTATAGATGTATCAATGATGTTTTTGTTATATCTCCAGGTGTTTTAGTCATGACTGTTGACCTTGAGGTGCTGGGATTTGATGATGTCAAGGCCGACTATTTTAGCCAACTGTCAGGTAGCTGCTCTTGACTTTATCTTCACTTTATCTTCGTACGTGCATTCCTGGATGCATACTGTTTTCATTAGATAAGTACCACCAACACGGGCATATTCGATGCTCTCTATTAGTTATGCCGTATAGTGTGGTGTGTGGGTTATACCGTATAGTGTGGTGTGTGAGTTATACCGTATAGTGTGGTGTGTCAGTTATACCGTATATTGCAACGCTTTGACAATGGAATAAAGATGATGTAATTCCAAAATAAAGGTGTCATTACAAACGGCAACAGCTACCTATGTTAATCATAATTACATGAGACAGGTAAGTGTGCAGGAACCTGTGTATCCAGGGCGACTAGATGATCAAGCCATCGATTCCGCCAGAACAGTCTTAAAACGGATTTTACTATTCCACTATTTAACTTTGTACAACGGTCATTCAAGTAGAAAAGCGGAAAACAGTCGACCCCCCCACCCAAAAAAAAGAAAGCTACCGAAATTCAGGGCATAAATGATTTGATAAAATTGAATAAATATAAGGTTTTCCAGACAAAGAACATTGGTTTAAAAAAACAAACACATGTTTTAATGAAGACACATCAAGCTTGTATATACATGGTGTCATTCAAAGTAAATGATCCTATTTTATTTCATCCGTAGTGGCTGTTGCATTACGTTTCTTTACATTAAAACAAAAAATTAAAAACTCCACAGAAGAAGAAGCAGAACGCCAGATGGAGCACCTGTACACGCTGGAGAAGATGGTCAAGGAGATCTCGGACAAGAACGAGACTTTGTTCTCGCCTGTCGTGGACGGGGTCGAGTTCAAAGGTCACGTGGAGACCTTTCAGGCGGTGGTGGCATGTCAAGAAGGATCGGGGTTTTTACATGGATTCTGTGGTGTGTGGGTTTGTGTGGTGTGTATGTTTGTGTGGTGTGTGGGTTTGTGTGGTGTGTGGGTTTGTGTGGTGTGTGGGGTTGTATGATGTGTGGGTTTGTGTGGTGTGTGGGTTTGTGTGGTGTGTGGGTTTGTGTGGTGTGTGGGTTTGTGTGGTGTGTGGGTTTGTGTGGTGTGTGGGGTTGTATGATGTGTGGGTTTGTGTGGTGTGTGGGTTTGTGTGGTGTGTGGGTTTGTGTGGTGTGTGGGTTTGTGTGGTGTGTGGGTTTGTGTGGTGTGTGGGTTTGTGTGGTGTGTGGGTTTGTGTGGTGTGTATGTTTGTGTGGTGTGTGGGTTTGTGTGGTGTGTGAGTTTGTGTGGTGTGTGGGTTTGTGTGGTGTGTGGGGTTGTATGATGTGTGGGTTTGTGTGGTGTGTGGGTTTGTGTGGTGTGTGGGTTTGTGTGGTGTGTGGGTTTGTGTGGTGTGTGGGTTTGTGTGGTGTGTGGGTTTGTGTGGTGTGTGGGGTTGTATGATGTGTGGGTTTGTGTGGTGTGTGAGTTTGTGTGGTGTGTGAGTTTGTGTGGTGTGTGGGTTTGTGTGGTGTGTGGGGTTGTATGATGTGTGGGTTTGTGTGGTGTGTGGGTTTGTGTGGTGTGTGGGTTTGTGTGGTGTGTGGGTTTGTGTGGTGTGTGGGTTTGTGTGGTGTGTGGGTTTGTGTGGTGTGTGGGTTTGTGTGGTGTGGGGGTTTGTGTGGTGTGTGAGTGTGTGTGGTGTTTGGGTTTGTGTGGTGTGTGGGTTTGTGTGGTGTGTGGGTTTGTGTGGTGTGTTGGTTTGTGTGGTGTGGGGGTTTGTGTGGTGTGGGGGTTTGTGTGGTGTGTTGGTTTGTGTGGTGTGGGGGTTTGTGTGGTGTGTGTGGTGTGTGAATGTGTGTGGTGTTTGGGTTTGTGTTGTGTGTGGGTTTGTGTGAGTTTGTGTGGTGTGTGGGTTTGTGTGGTGTGGGGGTTTGTGTGGTGTGGGGGTTTGTGTGGTGTGGGGGTTTGTGTGGTGTTTGGGTTTGTGTGGTTATTGGGTTTGTGTGGTTATTGGGTTTGTGTGGTTATTGGGTTTGTGTGGGTTTGTGTAGTGTGTGGGTTTGTGTGGTGTGGGGGTTTGTGTGGTGTGTGGGTTTGTGTGGTGTGTGTGGTGTGTGGGTTTGTGTGGGCTGTGGGTTTGTGTGGTGTATGGGTTTGTTTGGGTTTGTGTGGTGTGTGGGTTTGTGTGGTGTGGGGGTTTGTGTGGTGTGTGAGTTTGTGTGAGTTTGTGTGGTGTTTGGGTTTGTGTGGTGTATGGGTTATGTGGTGTGGGGTGTGTGGCTTGATGTAGCGTGTGGATTAATGTTATGTGTTATGTGATGTATGTGTTTTGTGTGGCGTACCTTTATGTGTGAATTCACTAACTTGTGTCCTCAGTTGACTGCCCAGCCGGAAGTTACTCCACCGGAAACGGCTCATGTCTGCTGTGTGAGAAAGGTTTTTACCAGGACCAGGCCAAGATGTCCGAGTGTTTGCCGTGTCCAAACGGTCAGTATTGGTCAGTTGTAGATGTGTTTGTGTAACAACATGTATTTGTAGATTAGACAATACGGTGTTATTGTGAGTTCTTCAACGAATACGAATAACAACGAATTTCAACATAATACTTTATTCACATTAATATAAAATAAATCCATAGGAATTAATTATGAAAATCCATAGTGGAATAACAGCAATCAAAATACAACCCAGAAACAGAGTGACGTGGTGACAGCTTACAACATTCTTCTATACAGGCACTATACAGGCACTATACAGGCACTATACAGGCACTATACAGGCACTATACAGGCACTACACAGGCACTATACAGGCACACTTAGCCCACCTTACGCTCCCCTTTTATACCCTACATTCTCTCCCCTAACGTCGGTGAGCGATCGAACAAAAAGCATGGAAAAACATGACTAGTCGCTCACACAGTCATTCCGTTGGCCAGTTACTCTACTTTTATACAACTTCATGCTAATTACAATATAATAAATCATACCCAAAAATACAATCTGTCGAGGGTTTGGCTATTTAATTGTGTTTAGTTGAACATAAAGAGCGATGCTCAAAATGCGTAATTATGAAATATGAAATTCTAATCAGAAATGCAAATGCATTTTTCCCTATGTGGACAAAATTTGTTGTTGTTGTTTTTTTTTTTTTTTTGCTCTGAATGTTTATTTATTTTAATCGTTAATACCAGACACGACCACTTCTGGTGTCGGCGCCTACTCCATGAATGAGTGCACTACAACACCTGTACGCTACGAAGACGTATTTCCTCTAGCATTTGAGAGCGAGTTGACAACAGCGTCTGAAAATTTGACGACCACAGAGAACAAATCAGGTAATAAAACCAGGATTACAAAACGTTATAATAAGAGTACATTACACAAATAACAAGTCTGTTGTACATGTTCTTTTACGTTAATAGTAAATATAAAAGCGTTCGTCCTCTTTTTTTTACCACTCTCCTGAAATCTTAAAAAAAAGATTTACAATCTCAGCTTGTTTATATAACCTAGTTATCAATTACTTAGTTGGATATAGTATTCATAAAATTAATTTTGAAGACTATAACAGATTGCAGAAGTAAAATAATTTCTTACGTTGTCATCGAAAATATTTTAAAATTAGAAATAGGTAAAAATATGAAACAGGATTTAACAAGACAGATAGACACCAAAACCCTTCATTTGACATTCTAGTATTTTTGCTACAAAGTAAGAAATAACCCCAAATGAATCTACACACATGTAAAAGCTCGTGAGCCTCACTCCTGCTAGTAGCGAGATCCCGTTTGACCCCGGGTCACACCCAACACAGGTGTGTTTCGATTCACTCAGTCTGAATTTTATTTCCGTTTGTTTACACTGGCCGGATAGCTGTGATTGAGGCGGTTTTTTGTTTGTTGTGAAAATAATTTAAATTCACTGGCCGTGTTTTTCTTCAAGACAATATTTGTCACAACATTAGGTGAGTAACTTTATCAAAAATTAAGTTGTCTGTATACTGTTTTGCTATATTTGTGCTGATGATATCTTATAACAGTATGTAGCAATTTAGATACATTATGCAACAGTACGATCATGGCATCAGCTTGCACTACTATAAAGTGACTTTTCTGTACTATAATAACTAGTTGATTGAACGATTTCTAACGTTTAGTAGGTAGACTCTAGTCATCTGTTGGTTCTTACGCTAGCTTAGTTTTTCATTCCATTATAATAATAATATGTACACTTTCGGCTGGGCAGAGAGCTGACCACGATATCCTCCCATATGCCGAGGTCATTGAAACAGAGAAACTAGATTTAGATTCCTACTCTATGTGTCTGGGACACAAACGGGAAAAGATAATGAATATGTAAATTATATTTTTTAAAAGTGTTAAAATATGTAACAATAGTAATGTAGTCGGGATTTTAGCTAGTATTTACTAATTTTAGTTAGATTTAGCACTTACAAAGTAATCTATGCATACAGATAAGCTTACAATAAAGGGAGTACATTTTAGCTCTAATTACTGTTGAAGAAAAAAGTGTCATAATGTTTATAAATGATAATATAACATTAGACTAATATTTACTAATTATTCCTTTCGAATAACGTACATACATTTTTTATTCATACTTATTCTTACATATCAACAGTGTTGGGATCAAATAAGTTTAGAAAGGAGTATGGTAAGTATTATTGAAGAAAGATAATAATACTATTAGGCATATAGCTACATACTTAGCCTTCATATTATTTACAAATGCACTTATAAAGGTAGCAGTGGTTTACTTATTTTAATAATAGTAATTAAAAATGTAATTAATAAAACCATGGTTAGAGATTATTTTAGTGTAGACATTGTTTTATTTATTTTTACAGGATTTGTGTGTCTAGAATGACTGATTCAGATGTCGAGGACAGTTCTGACTGAATTGATCTGGTAGCCTTCAAGGTGAATCTAAATGAAAGTGATATAGTTGTAATATTTTATTATTTATCTTAAGAAGTTAAAACCTAGTAACTATAGTTGATAGTGCACTGGTAATTATTGTTGAAGAAAAACCATGGTAAAATAATTTTTTACTTTCATTCTTACATAGTACTTCACACATCCAAATAAAATCAGAATCCTCTAGTACAGGGGTTCCCAACCCCGTGCCCGTGGGCGCCATGGCGCCCGCCGAACGATTCGTATGTGCCCGCCTCTCACTATTCGACAGAGACAGAATTTTTTTCATAAACATTATTGAAAGGTTGAAGGGGATGGAAATCGAAGGTTTGAGGGGGGGGTGTGCAAATCGAAAATTTGAGGGGGGGGATGCAAATCGAAAGTTTGAGGGGGGGGGGTTACAAATCGAAAGTTTTGTCCCCGGGTGACGGTAAGGGTCGCTACGCCTCTGGAAGGAGTTTGTCGATTTAAAATAGGTGGTGTCCGCCACCCTACCGATATTTTAGAATGTGCTCTAGAGTAAAAAAAGGTTGGGAACCCCTGCTCTAGTATAATAAAAGTAGCAGTGATACATTGTTTTTATTTCAATTATAATTTAATTAGTGCATGTGTGAAGATAAAGTTAATAGATCAAGATATAATTCATCGCTTGTTTCAGTGGTGAAATCATTTTGTTTACAGGATGCTTAAAATGAGCAAAGTTTCTCGCAGAGCAATTCTGTATGAAAAAGAGATGGCATATTTCTTAGTCCACTAATGTCTACTATCCATCTATTGATTCATCTGATGGTGAAGGTGTTACTGTTACTGGACTCAATATAAAGTGATATAGATAGAATGATTGTATTAGTTCGGACCAAGTAAAAAGGCATATTTTATTCTAAGAGTTCTACATTTATAAGATGTACGATAATAAGACGTTGCTAGTCTAGCAAGTGGTAAACTATAACATATGAATGTTCTCTAGTATTTGAAATGAAGGAAATATAAGAATTGATAAAAAAAAATTAAGCTCAAGGCCTTGTGGCTTTTGAAGATTGTTTTATTTCACACTATGTAATATTTTCCAAAATTACATTCATAGAGACTGTTAGTATAATATGCGAACAGAAGTCTATAACAGATGTAAATCAATTCAATGGCATTTAACGGTTCATGCTTCGAGTTTGTTTGCTCAAGAAAAGTTCTGTTCAGGACAAGATATCAGCATTGTAGAGAGTTTAATTTCTTTCCTATAAAACGTTTGAATGGTTGAAAACCACTTGAAAACGATAACAAGTTCAAATTATACTAGACAGAGGTCCTGCTGAGCACACTGAGGCTACTTATTGACTGACCCAATACAAACTTGCGTGATTTTAAAGAAATATTACCTAAATTGTGATAGAGATGTGAATTTTTATTTAGTAAATAAATTTCTAATGCTCCGAAGGTAAAATAAATATCTGTTTTTACTGAAACCAATAATTACTCAACTAATTTATCAATGTGTATCTTTATTTAATTTTTCCAATTGTTAAAAAAATGTAGCAAAATTGCTACATAATGTTGTTTTTTTTTTTTTGGAAAATAAAGATTATTTAATAAAGTCAAATCATTTAAAACGTTACGTTTAATAACAAGCTCTTATATAATTTTGTACTTAAATGGAAAAAAAATACATTCATTAAATGTTTAATAATGCGCCACTATTTGAATAACTATAAAGAAAAGCAATAATGCAACTTCCTCATTATTTATGCTCTTTACACACAACAGCCTGTCAAATAATCTTTTCTGAAAAAGCTTTCACGCAATTAATTCATGAAACGAAGGTCGCCATTCAATATCAACCCCTTAAAAAGTTGTGTCTTTGAAACTTAAGATGTTTTAAGAGTTTCTCTACCACTGAACATACCTACAAGTAAAACAAAACCGTTTCTCTGTGCTTACTAGATACATTTGAAATAATGAGATCAACAGAAAGCTGGGCAATATCGACACGTGTGGACACGAGTTTGGCAGAAGATGTGACAGAAAATGTGACAGAAATTGTGACAGAATATGTGATATCATGGAGCAACAAGTGTGGCTATGATTGTGGCACAACGTGTGGAGCAAGATGTGGCGTGACATGTGGCAGTAAGGAGGACAATTTTTGGGGCACCTTGTATGGGACACGGTGTGGAACCACGTGTGGTAGGAGGTGTGGTATTAAGTGTGGCATAAAGTGTGGCACCACATGGGACAAAGTGTGGGACACCAAATGTGGCGTCTGGTGTGGCATTAAGTGTGGCGCAAGATGTGGGGACAAATGTGGCACCAACCGGTACATCAAACGGCGCGCCAAATGTGGCATTACCTGTGGCACACAATGTGGCACAATCTGTGGCAATAAATGTGGTAAGAACGTTGCGGACATAGTTACAGCGGATGTGTCACGAAATGTGACATCTAGTGCACCAATTGCACGATCAAGTCCGGCGTCAACTCAACGCAAACTGCAGAAGACTACACCAAAGGACGTTAAGTCGGGTAACTAGACAACAGCTGCCGTCTTGGTTGGTTGAACCCAGGTGTATCTCTGGTTACTATCAAATGAAATTGATATAGTGTGCGAGAAAAGAGATTGGATACACATTCAAATTAAATGAAGGCTACTTAAGTGAAAAATTTTAAACTGTTTGTAATTATAACTTTTTTTTAAAGAATTAATGAAAATATTTATCATATATTATCAATAAAATAAATATTTGTTTTTCCTTTATCTTATGAATTTGAAAAAAAAATATGTATAGGCTACTCACTACACTAAGAAGATGCAATGTTTCAGTATTGATAATATTTAAATTTTTCATAACATTACTTGTCTGACAAAGGGAGATATTCAAAATCAAGTTTGATCTTTATATTTAAAAATAATTTTACGTTATTGAAGATATGGTGATATCATCTCCTGTGCCTAAATGTTCTAAAAATCTTTTAAATTTTATTCCAGTGTATGAAATTTTAGAAACTATGTAACGGTATACTGTTTTTGTTTCACTTGCTAATAAACACTATGTTTGCAAATATATTAAACACATTGTTTAATTTGCACAGAAGTATAACCTTGATATTGATGCTTCTAGTGTTCCCCTGCACTAGTGGCATTTAAACACTGCATGTTATCAATAAAACTATGGGCACTTGTTAATATTTTTTTATGTTATTAGCTGTATTTTCAGTTAAAAATGAATGTAGAACACCCAGAATTAAAAAACAAAATGTATCCAAACAAAATCTTTTGCTTTATATCAATCCAATAACTATTTCTTCATCACTTGAATGAACATTTTATGAAACGATTTTCACAGGTAGATATGCCAGTATATGGTCAACATTTCAAAATACATTTTAATATCCTTAATGATTCTAATTTTTCTTGTGAACCTATCGTAGAGTTAAGGACTCACCTATTCATCGTGGAAGTACGGAATAAACACCTATTTATCGTACTCTGACTTGTTTCCATTAGTCTCCATTACATTCTACCTGCTAGAGCTTCAAAGACAACTGATACAACCATGTTTGTTTTGGCGTACTCACTCCGTCTTTCTGGGATACCAGTCTAATGCCTGTCTAGCTAATCTGTTCGATAGTTTCAACCAAACGTCAAATGAAGCCTTTCTCAAGCGTACTCTGCCTCTGATGTTCGGTATCACAGGAGAGCAACTTATGGATTGAACGGAATCAAACACTTGCCACACAACGTTAGTTACATTATAAAAAGTAATTGAACTGTCAGTAATAAACTGGTCAATTAATTGTTAATTAAAATAAAGCGGAAGTGATCTCCAATAAATTTTCTCAAATATTCTTATGTAAAACTAGTGAGGATATAGAAACAGTTTTTAATCCATTTTTTAATAACTTATACTTTTAAAATAGAATAGAATCTTGTAGAAAAAAGAATTGCGCATCAAATGGACGACAAATAATGTGGGCATAATAGCGCCCCCCCCCCCCGAACAAAATGGAATTCATATAAAAAACATATACTTTTACCCCCCTCCCCCGCCTCCCGGAAAGTGTTTTCCGCCCCCCCCCCCCCCTCCCCCGGTGAAAAAAAGTCGGGAATAAACACGGTTAGTATTCTTTAAATTTAAATGCGTTTTTTTTTTTTTTTGTGAGAAGTCAGAAATAGCATAAATTACTGCTTTCTGTCACCAGAAATTACTCAAGATTCGACAGGAGACAGAGAATTGATCTTTTAAATCTTATTGAAATGTCATTTATCTATCAGAAACAGTACTCAAGTTATTGGCTTTTGAAAAACAGAAAGTAGAATAAATTCCACTTTTGGTTACCGGAAATCTCTGAAAAGTTGATACAGAACTATGAATTGGATGTAATACTTATATATGATGTTTTACCAACCTACTCAAATTATCGTGTGCACAGACATACATACAGACAAATGGGCAAAATTGCAAAACTAAGTTTTTTCGACTCAGAGAGGTGTGAAACGTCGAGATTTGTAAAAATCTTGATTTCAGGTTTTGTTATGTAAGATTAGAATACTTCCTCTATGCTTCGTAGATGAGAAAGTAAAAATAAAGCATTCAGTATGCACAGACTGGCCCTATATTTGACACACGTGTGTTGGCCTATATCTTGAACCTTCTTGTTGTAGTAAATTTCTTTTTGTTATGTGATTAAAAAAACTTTTATGGACACAGGAATTGGCCAGCTGTTCTCTTAGCCCCACACCTGGGTACAATATGCTTTTTACAGCTTCATCTAATTTGATTACTAGCAATTCTACCATAGAATGACCGGTATTTTCTAGCTTTTTTTGTTCAAAACTTAATAATTTAAAAAATTAATTATGTGCCCAATTTATATAGAGTCATAACTTAACAATATGGGCGATTGCAGTCTTGCACATTGGATAGCAAGGCACAAACAAAACCCTGAAGTCCAGAAGAGAATAGGCCATGCGTCAGGTCCTTTCTCTGTATACAGCTGATGTTCTCAAAGTTATCTGCTCCTACTTAGACAACCGAGTTCGTGGTCAACGCAAGGGTGAGAATTCAGCCAACCGTGACAAGAAGTTCACCTTCGACTTCGTTATAAGCGAGCAATCTATATATATAATTCTCTTCTTCGAGCCGTTAGAAAACAAGCTGCAAACGCTCTCCCTACCTCCCCACCCCTACATGGTTTTAGTGAGCTGTGTTCACTCTAAATGTTTACAAGCAGAGCCAACGATTTTAAACGTAGGGGGGGAGGGGGGGAAGGAATGGGGGGGGGGGGGGGGTTATGGTCCTTAACGAGCTACTTATAGTGTTTTAAAGAAATATTTTCAGTGTCAGCGTTGGTACTGTCGAATTCACAAATTATGAATTATTGAAAATTAGAAACAACTAAATAGCGGCGTATGTTATGCCGCGGGCCGGCTCGTAGCATTTAATCTTGTTACCTCCCCTTTTATAATTTAATTTTGTTACCTACCTATTTTTTATTTGATAGTTTACCTCCCCCTTTTATTTGTTAATACAATAATTTTTACATGTTTTAAAGAATAACCTAATGTTTAAATAGATTTAAAATATATATCCTTGCATTGTGATCAAAGAAGAACGTATCTAGAGAGCGTGAACTAAATCGATGCATTATTAAACTGTTTGTAATTGACTAACAAGTAAAAGCTTTTAGAAACAAGGTAATTAAAAAGTCTAGTGACAATTTTAGCGCAATTTCCTTATGTTATCTAAAAATAGCTCTGTCGTAGCGTAAATCAAGAGCAGGGTTAGTAAAACCATTGGTTAGTTATTAAAACGTTTTTTTATTTAAAAAAATTTCAGTATTTTACATGTTTTATTTACAATAGAGTTCCATGGCTAAAAACCATTGCGCGCCTAGCTACTGAACGTGATGACGCAGCCATTGAAAGTGATGGCGCAGCTATTGAACGTGATGACGCGTGTGGTGTGGTTGGATAATTCGGTCCAAATTTTAATTAATTAAAAAAATTGTTTGTGACCGAACGAAAGGATATTTTTGAAAACTTTCTTAAGCAATATTGTTCTAAATTATGGCAGGAATCGATTGGTACATGTTTCAAGTCGCTAAGTGGTCTGGTTGCCGAGATATGGGCCAAAAACTGCATTTTTTCGAGGTTTTTTGGATTTTCCGGGAAATCCATGAAAGAAACCCGGAATTTTTATGGCCTATGTTCATCATCGTAACTTGCTTAACATAATTGCTTTTGGAACTAGTCATCGATATTGCTTCGTTGAGGAGGTGATACGACTTAAAGCTGCGGACACCCATTCATACATTCATCCTTCCATCCATTCATCCATTCATCCATCCAGAAATGACGGGTTAATAAACGCAATTCTCCAGAATGGAAATTGCGCTAAAAAAATTTAGTTTGACGTAACCTTGCTATAGCTATACGTTGGTATATCTAAAAATAAAAGTCTGAGGCTTCACGTATGTTCACTGATAGGTTTATATTCTATAACAAAACCTAAAACCAATGGTTTATATTTTTATCATTAAACGACTAGACACTTAGACATACACCAAAAACCACTTCGTTTCGCCACTGGGACTGTTTTATCACCGCTATGTGTTCAACATCTCCATATGTTAGACATCGATTAATTTGAGCGTTTCAAAAACAAGGGACTGTGCTTATAGTGCACATAGGATAATTAATATAAACTATTTAACTAACATAGAAACTATATTTGTTTTCACAATTTAAAAGAATTTAATACCAAAGATCATGCAGATAAAATCAGAGATAATGTTGACATAATATTTGATTTTGAAAAAAAAAATAACCCCTATCAAATGACCGCTAAATAAAGTTTAAATATTCTCATGTATTCATATAAAATAAATTAAAGTTTCTTGTCTAAAATAAAATTAGCTGATATATTTTTGTAAATCTTAATTTTAATTAATTTACGTGAAAAAAATTGACAGAAACACTCTAAAATGTACATGTCATGCTTTGAGGGATTTTACGTTTTCAATTTAAGTAAAAAATCTAAACTTTGTTAAGGATAAACATAAAGCCTACATATATGGGACTATTCACACGGAAAATAACATACACATTTCGTGTCCTCTTTCGTAAAAGAAAGTAACATAACGAATAGGTATCATTTTTGTATTTATTTTGTTTTTAATTTACACTTACCATAATGACATATTTTGATTATTTTCAATATTAGCAATAATCAATGACGAAATGTTAAAAAAACTTAGAATAGTTGGAATAGAATAATTATAATGTACACAGTCAGATCTGTCACAAATTACTTTATTTGACAACGCATAGCAAATTCTTACTGTACGACTTGGCAGCATACACACCAAAGCAGTCCTAACAGATATTTACTGTAAGACTTAGCAGATACACCAAAGCAGTCCTAACAAATCCTTACTGTAAGACTTAGCAGATACACCAAAGCAGTCCTAACAAATCCTTACTGTAAGACTTAGCAGATACACCAAAGCAGTCCTAACAAATATTTACTGTAAGACTTAGCATACACACCAAAGCAGTCCTAACAAATCCTTACTGTAAGGCTTACCAGCATACACACCAAAGCAGTACTAACAAATTCTTACTGTAAGACTTGGTAGCATATACATCAAAGCAGTACTAACAAATTCTTACTGTAAGACTTGGTAGCATATACACCAAAGCTGTCCTAACAAATTCTTACTGTAAGACTTAGCATACACACTAAAGCAGTCCTAACAAATCCTTACTGTAAGACTTGGTAGCATACACAACAAAGCAGTCCTAACAAATCTTTACTGTAAGACTTAGCAGCATACACACTAAAGCAGTCCTAACAAATCCTTACTGTAAGGCTTAGCATACACACTAAAGCAGTCCTAGCAAATCCTTACTGTAAGACTTGGCAGCATACACACCAAAGCAATCATAACATATATTTACTGTTAGACGTGGCAGCATCAAAGAGCGCTGGACTGGTCAGGTTCTTCTAGTGTCCCTAAGGTGACCTTAGGGTTGTTGGTGCTGGTTGTGTGGGCTGGCGCCGGGTTGTCCACAACCACGTTTCTCACAGATTCTTTCGGCCTACATGTGGCATACAACCTGTAGGTAAAAACACAGGTAGTGTCAACCTAAGTATGACATGGAACCTACAGGTAAAAATCCAGGTACTATCAACCTAAGTGTGCCGTGGAACCTGCAGGTAACAACACTGACATTTTTTTTATTATGTGTAAATCGGATACAAAAGTTTTACTTATGCTTTATTAAAATATGTACATTCCAAAATTACACCCCGATCTAGTAAAAAAAAATTCAATGATGTAAAACACACTCACAAGAATACTACAAACAGCATCAGAGCCAGGAAAAGAGCGCTTAGAATGGGAAACAGCCAGTTAAATTTTGTTTCTGAAACAAGCAATCAAACAACACCATACTTAAATATTTTTAATGAATTAAAGCAATCAAGCAATACCACAGTTAAACAAATGTAACTTAATCATTCAAACCCCGGCAGTTAAATGCTGTAGATTTGATAATCAATCACCCCACGCTAAATTTGAATACTGTAACTTAAAACAACCAATCAATCCAACTGTCACAGATCAGCTGATACAACAAACCAATCAATCTGTCACCGATTAGCCAATACAAAACGTCCTCGTGTACCATGGCATGTCTCCCACATATCTGGAGACCCAATGCAGGCCTCATCTACTGGAGGGTAGGGCGCAGAACAGTGTCTAATCCTCTTTCTCTGTAGAACACTATCCATGTTCATACACTCCGCCCACTGTAGCCAAGGTTCCCAGGTGATGATTTCTAAATCAGCCAAAATATTTCAATGATCACATTTTTTAATTTCAATTTATTTGTGCATAAAAGTTTTTAAAACTGTGGCTAACCAAATCCAAGTAACCTTCCACATGGCCTTATCAAAACACAATAACATTCCATACAGCTTTGCTATAAACAACAGGACAACAGCACTGTACGAATACAACAGCTTACTTCTGCACTCTGCATCAGTACAGGAGACAGCCTTACAATCGGACAACAGCACTGTACGAATACAACAGCTTACTTCTGCACTCTGCATCAGTACAGGAGACAGCCTTATGACCAGCACCCTCACAGTGCAAGCCCCTCTCCCCCCTGTCTCCCACGCACTCTCTCCGCCTCAGCATAGTCCCAGGTCCACACGACACAGAACATCCGGTCCAGTTGTACCAGTCGCCCCAAGTTCCATCAACAAGCGGTCTGTCTGGACACGTTTAACATATGGTTAGTTGGTAAGTACTACTTACTCTAGTCTAACATCTATAGAATATCAACATACATTCACAAATTTCTACTCATAATATATATATATATATATATATATATATATATATATATATATATATATATATATATATATATATATATATATATATATATATCTGATATATATATATATATATATATATATATATATATATATATATATATATATATATATATATATATATATATATATATATATATATCAGATATAAGATAGTAGAGTCTACCATGGTATGACTAACCTGGGCACGTAGAGTCACATCTAAGGGTTTCATAGCTTTGACCAGCACAGAATGTTCCATAATACTCGGGTCTGGGGTTCTCACAGACACGTGACCTCACGTGTAGGCCCGAGCACGGACCAGAGCACGCAGACCACTCACCCCACACCAACCATGTTGAGGCAACCAGCTGATCTGTACAAATAGCAATTCATTGATACATTGATCTTGTCCAGCTAATCTGTACAAATAGCAATTCATTAAAACATTGATCTTGTCCAGCTGATCTGTACAAATAGCAATTCATTGATACATTGATCTTGTCCAGCTGATCTGTACAAATAGCAATTCATTGATACATTGATCTTAAACCAGCCAAACCTATCACAACAAATCTCTTTAATGGCCTTAAACATCAAATCTCTTTAATGGCCAAACACAAGGGTGTAGCCACAATCGTCTGACCGGAAGGGGGGGGGTCTGTATTTTTCCATTATATATATATATATATATATATATATATATATATATATATATATATATATATATATATATATATACTAGCTGTATGTCATTGCTTTGCTATGATGTAAAATAAATTTAAAGTAGTACTCTGAAGAAATAAAAAAAAAACACTCGATGTAGGCCGACAAAACAAAACAATGTATCAATGTAAACAAAAAACAAACACAATATACACATAATACAACCAGAAACACTGAAAGCAACTCAAACTGTTTTGTAATCCTTGTAAAAAACAATTTGACAATGATTCCTAGTATATTAATTAAGACAAGACTAGTGGAAATAATCACTTTCGTCATATAAATATGTATATTCCTGCAAATTTAATTGTAAATGTCAAAACAGATCAATAATTACTTGTGTATGTAATGTGGTAGCTTAACACTATTCGTTTTTACAAAAATATTTTGTCGAAAATCAGAATTAAATATATTGTCATCATGAATGCTAAAATGTTACAGAATAATGAAAGTTTTTTAAATCAGAGTTGGTATGTGTAATAGAAAAACTAAATTTAATAGGTGGAACATTCTGAAGAATATCTTACATATAACTAAAATATTGGTCTTGCAGTTCACATCATTCATTTTTACTTTTTCTTATATACGAAGTATAGAGAAAGTCTAATCGTGCAACAAAAAAAAAAGATGTTTGCAAATCTCGACGTTTTAGGGCTCCTTGAGTCGAAAAAACAGTTTTGCAATCTTGTCCGTATGTCTGTGTGTATGTGTGTCTGTTTGTCTCTGTGTGTGTGTAAACACGATTACTTGAGTACCGTTACAGCTAGGTTGATGAAATTACATATATAACTATTATATCAAAATCGTAGATCCGTATCAAATTTTGAGCGATTTCCGATAACTGAAAGTGGAACGTTTTCTACTTTGAATTTTTCAAAAGCCTATAACTTGAGTACTATTTCAGATAGATAAATTAAATTTTATTTGTAAGTAAAAGTTCTAATTCTCTACCTTCCACCAAATTTTGAGTAATTTCCATCGACCGGAAGTAGTGATTTACGCTATTTCAGATTTCTCAAAAAAACGCATGTAAATTTATAAAGTGCTAATAATATCCCGCACTATTATGCACATTTTATTTGGCGTTCATATGTTGTGCAATTTTTTTACGAGATTCTATTCTATTTTAAAGTTTAAGTATTTAAAATGGATTAAAAATCATGTCTATATCCCGAGTTGCCATTCCCGTTTGTTTTAAATAAGAATATTCGAGAAAGTTTAGGGGAGATCACTCACGGTTTATTTAATTAGCTACTGTTTTTTTTGTGTTCTTTAAAGATCATTTTTTAACATAATGATAAGGTATTCGTTAGATCACTGTATTGGTCACACAACTCTTTCCTGGTAATTGCAAAAACAATATTTACAAAGTTTTACATGATTCAAAAACTATGATTCTGACGGCATGGTACCTAACAGATCAGATGGGGATGGGTTGGGGGTGGGAGGGGTTCTTTTTATTCACCAATCTCCGGTCACTTTGGGTCAATTATCCAATCCAGCGTATATCTAGGTGTGACATTAATGTCGCTCTACACAATTACGGCCTGTCCCGTTTTAGGTGGTGAGGAGGGGGGGGGGTAGAATAACCAACTCAGAGTGAACATAGCGTCAATTATAAGATGAATGTTCTAAACATATATATACAATTATAAATATATACTGATTCAGTAATATATTTAAATAAATAACTGTGTTATTATGACAGTAATCTTTTTTAACAGAGAGGTCCATGGGGGGAAGTGTCCCCCCCCCCCCCCCCGCCTACATACTGGCCAAACACATTAGCTTTCTATAAAGGTTAATGTGCCGGGACTGGCTAAAGAAGAATCTATAATGACGTAATATCAAGTTAATCTTTTTCTTAAACTATTGAAACGTTACACAAAGATACGACTAAATATGGAGAAAAGGAAATGTAAATGTAAGACATTATGCATTAAAATTAGGTAAATTTTAAACAATCTTAATTTTACTTTTTTTCATTCATTCTGTGTTTCAAAACAATAAGAGAAGTATAATGTTTAGCAACTTGTTCTTGCAACTAAACTTCTATCAAAGATCTAATTACAGCCGCATCTAGAAAATGACAACAAAGTTACACCAAAAACCTAAGTAAAGCAGCATCTAGAAAATGCCAACAAAGTTCCACCAAAGATCTATTTACAGCCGCATCTAGAAAGTGCCAAAAAAGTTCCACCAAAGACCTAAGTCCAGCCGCATCTATAAAATGCATCTAAATTTCACCAAAGACCTCAGTAAAGCCGCATCTAGAAAATCCCAACAAAGTTCCACCAAAGATCTATTTACAGCCGCATCTAGAAAATCCCAAAAAAGTTCCACCAATGACTTAAATACAGCCGCATCTAGAAAATCCCAAAAAAGTTCCACCAATGACCTAAATACAGCCGCATCTAGACAATGCCAACAAAGTTCCACCAAAGACCTAAGTAAAGCCGCATCTAGAAAATGTCAATAAAATTCCACAAAGACCTAATTACAGCCACATCAAGAAAATGCCAACAAAGTTCCACCAAAGACCTAATTACAGCCGCATCTAGAAAATGACAACAAAGCTCCACCAAAGACCTAAGTACAGCCGCAGCCATAACATGCCAACAAAGTTCCACCAAAGACCTAAGTAAAGCCGCAGCCATAACATACCAACCTTTATTGCAGTCCCTGTAGTACGTGTCCTCTCCCACACTGCCCTCGACTGGACCACCCCCCGGGGGTTCGCACAGCTCTGGTGAACCGAAGCTGAAGCACCGTCTGGTTCTTCGTCTTCTGCACGAGCCACATCGTCTGCACTCATCTGACCATTGTCCCCACCATCCCCAGGCATATTCAACAGCTACAGGAGACGTAAGTATATACAGCGTCAATAAACACAGCATCAATAAATATATGCATACCTACATACTGACAGCCATAGGTTATACATGTACTCTAGATTCTGAATATGCTATACATTTAATGTAAGCATGTAGTTTAAAATTAGTTTTAAAATAAATACCACACACTTGGCAATCTAACAATGTCGCACACACACACACACACACACACATACATACGCACGCGCACACGCAAGCTCGCACACACACACACACACACACACATATAGCCTGTACGCGGAAGACGAGGGCGGGCGTGAACTCTGACCCCGAAATCTACTAATCGACCCCTGGTCCCATAACAACAAGGACTATTATTATTCGCTTATAGTGGTCAACCAAAGCAGTTGTATGTTAGTAAAAGTGTTTACACGTCTGACTTGATGCATGAACGGCGAGGCGAATTTATGCCGCTTGGTGTGGTAGATTCGGGTCCCACTTGTTGAAAATTGCTCTATTTTACTCGGACTATATTCTGTACCAGTACCTACCTCTGTGTTGAAATAGAAATATCTGTTAACATTGATTTTTTTATAGCCACAAACCTTGTACACATAAATGACTGATCGGACTCGGTAATTCACAATCAGGGCCTGTCCTAGGGGCTTCACACTTGCAGACATAGCCTTCAATATCAGAGTAGCAGATCCTATTGGGGCCACAAGGCTTGTCAGCGCACCAGTTTTTTGCTGTAGATAGATCGAAACCGTTGATGGCCCCACGTTTAAGGCTGTGATTACTAGCACTACACCATGGATGCCTACAACATGTTTAAATCTTTCATAGATAGTGGGCTATGATCATACTTTGACTTTGTAGTGACTGCACGCTAAATATGAATAATATATTAATTAAATACAGGAATTAGAACCATAGTATGCTGTCTCATATTAGGACCGCGGCTTAACATACTCCGCTATTAAGTTGTTTTATCTTCTCCTTTCCAGTAATTCATAATTACCAATGCTGCGACGGAAAATGTGTTGCTTTGAAACGCTATCAGTAGCTAGTGAAGGACGATTATCCACACCCTCCTTCCCTTATCCCCCCCCCCCCCAAGCAGCCGTCCTTGACGACAGTTTACAGACGACAATAAAAAGATCAAGCAGAACTTGTTATCTCCTCTCAGTTTCAAATCGTTTAAAAACTAAATTATCTGCCCCTTATAGCCGTCACTAATTCGACCCGGCTCTACGGTTGTAAACAATCGGCGTAAACCACAGCTCACCAGACTCGATGATGTGGGGTGATAGCGCTAGGGTTTGTTCAGCATGCCTGGAGAGTAAGGGAGGGGGCGGTTCGGTGCGCGTACGGGGTATCCCGCATGGTCCCCATGCAGAGAATCAAATATATAGGTACTACAAACTAACAGTCATATCACACCGGCTAACCACAAAGAGAGATTTATATAAACAAAATTAACCACAATTGTATAATAATCATAGACATGTTGCTATGTGTTTCATGCAGTCTTTTTATGCTAGGTTGTAACATGAGTAGGATGCTAGGTTGTAACATCACTTGGATGCTAGGTTGTAACATGAGTTGAATGCTAGGTTGTAACATCACTTGGATGCTAGGTTGTAACATCACTTGGATGCTAAGTTGTAACATCACCAACTGCATACCACCAGCAGTGGATACAATAATTGGTAAAGTTTTACCTGACCTTTTAGAAACACCTATATGTACATGACCTAGATCTAGATGACAACAGTGTCACTTACCTCAGTAAATGTCACCTGAACTTCAAAAAACCACCTACCTGTACATGACCTTGAACTCAACACTGCCACAGAGCCAGAGGTCAACACATTTTTATTCAATGTTTTCTCGCAGGATGAAACAAAATCTGTTAACTCTTGCTGGGTCAAAACTTTCGAAGTCATTTGCATACCACTTGCCCAAATAGCTGCATCATTTTAAGAACTATTATAAAGCATATTAAGTGTACTCATCAAATTAAAAACTAGATATTGATATTTTCTAATAAATTTAATTAATTAAAACTAGATATTGATATTTTCTATTAAATTTAATTAATTAAAAACTAAATATTGATATTTTCTAATACAATTTAATAAATTAAAAACAAGATATTCATATTTTCTATTACAATAAACTGTAAAAAGCAACATGAAAAATCCATCTAAATTCATGATGAATCTTTAATCACAATAATATTAACATAGATGTATAAGATCATAAAAAATGGGGCGCAGAGAAGGGGGGGGGGAGTGTATACATTTGTTTTTTTTTTTTTTACTGTTGTAATCATAAAATGTAAATTCTTCATCAAATTAATACACTCCAAGTAAATCGAGCATATTTTGTTTTGGTGCTGTTACATGTCATAGCACTTTGAGAAAAGCAAAGCGCTTTTTACTAAGTCCATTATTCAGAAATGTATAACAGCTGTGTTGATTGTTTTCAATAAGTCAATCTTAGGTAACAATTAATATAGAGTACATTGAATTACTATGACAAACTACATAGCTTGAAGACCTAAAGTAACGAATTCAAAACGGCTTTACATTTGATACTGTCGGATCCCTTAAAGAGAATTTTTTTGTAGTCTAAGCTGTCGAACGGATCCTGATGTAGGTTAGTCGTGGTTTCTAACTGCCCATTCACATAAAGGGTCGCAACATTCTCAGCATAGAGGATGGCAACATGGTTCCATTTTCTGCCAGAGATTGAAACGAAAATCAATTTGTCAGGAAAACAACGAATACCATTTACAAAACAATTATTACCCATCAGACACACTACACAGCATCGCCATCACACTAAACAGCCAACGTACATGACACATAAAATAACTGTTATAAATCAGACATACAGCAACCATGATCTTATAAAACCGACTACAACCATGAATCTTATAAAACAGCCATCAACATTGCCTCTTAAAAAACAGACATACGATATAACTTTTGCTCTGTTGACAACATAAGCAAGACAAAAGTTCTTAAAGTACGCTGTACTGGAATATGACAAACCTAACCACTAGTGTTAATATCCCTGTTGACAACATAAGCAAGCCAAAAGTTCTTAAAGTACGATGTACTGGGACATGACATACCTAACAACTGGTGTTAACATCCCGGTCTTAATGATCATAACGAGCTTGTCTATAGTTATGTAAGCATCCCCAGGGTCGGGGCGGACCGGTGCAACACTCAAAGAAAACTTGAACGTGACGGTGTGGTACGACCACACGTGTGCTATCCACACCATCCACGTGAATTTAATAGGTAGAACTTCCAAATTGTCTATGACCGGCGCGGGTCCTAAGTCTGACAGTCTGACGTCAAAAACTGGGATTAAGAGATGTCTTGGATTAGTGGTTTGTTCATTTTGTTTTTAAAATTTAAATAATTGATTGTCAATGACAGCACAATAATATATAAATAATAATGCGCAATGCGCTGTATATATAATTATTGATAAAAAATGAACAGTATATTTTAAATGGTAATCTTTTATCATCCTTTAACTACCACAAAAGTGTGTATTGATGTGCGTTTAATTAATCCAAAGTTGATGGTTGTTGTTTTTTTGTGTGTTGTCGTCTCATATATTTTCTGCCTTTATCTAGATCTACATTCTTTTACTAGTTCAGCTGTTGTTTGACATCAAAGATACAACTCCCTTTTCAGAACCCTTGATGCTTCTACAACTCTCAATAATTCTTGTAAACAACTCATTAATATTTTCTACGAGTAAATAAACTTCTCGTGAAGTATGTGACACTTACAAACACAACCGTCAATGGATGATTGGCCAGGTGCAAGCGTGGACATGCCAAATGGGCAGGCGACACATTGAGTGGCCCCACCCTCGGGCTGGTAGGTCCCTACAGGACACGGCTTGCAGGGTTTAGCCCCATCCAATGACCACTGGCCAGGGGGGCACAACTCTGGAGAGAACATTTTTTTACAGAATTTACAAAACATTTTCCAAGTTTCCAAGTGACAGTTTACAACATAAATAAACAAAACACATTATTTATATCAGTCATCTCGTAAAAGTCATTAGATACATCAACAACACAGTGAAGAACACAACTAATCTAAGCATTGATCGAGATCTGAATGTACAAGCCCCACTTGATCTTTTCAATATATCTAGCATATAATTAGCTAATTAGCATATTAGCCTATTATATTTTCATTAAAATCAATTATTTAAAATTAGAAAATATAAGAATGCTTAGTACACTATTTCTGTATGTTATGTGTATTATATATATATATATATATATATATATATATATATATATACGTTCCGTAATGAATATATAATCTATTCTAGTTCGGGGATTTATCTATCTATAGCCTGACACAATTTATGAAATCAAATCACAAGATCAATGTATGATGTATTCTAGTTTCATTTTTTTTACATATCAATATCTTAGTCCCCCCCTGCTGTACTATACACTAGTTCTACTGTCTTAACTCTACCCTAATTAATCTCCAAATCCAATTGAACTCTACCCTAATTAATCTCCAAATCCAATGGAACTCTTTCCTAACAATGTCTAGCCTAAGTCGCCTCTCTAACACATGAAGCTCCGCTACAAGCTCCAATGACCAACTGTTCACGCTGTCATCTCCTAACTCCCAACTGACCCTTCATGGTCACCTGACCGTCTCACGTGACCGGTCATCTTCTTGCATCTCATTAGTTCCTACCTATTCATCTACCTAACCCGTCAGCTTGACCTTTGGCTAGTCGACATTTTCTTCTTTCTGTTTGACCTTTGGCTAGTTGACATTTTCTTCTTTTTGTTTGACCTTTGGCTAGTTGACATTTTCTCCTGTTTGACCTGTTTAAACCTGCGTCATGTCACTTTATAGGGCATGACTTAACCAATCCTCAACCAACAAACAGTTTACTAACCGACACAGTCCATCAAGGCAACAAATCCCTAAAACAACAAACGGTTTACTAACCGACACAGTCCAACAAGGCAACAAATCCCTAAAACTACAAACGGTTTACTAACCGTCACAGTCCAACAAGGCAACAAATCCTCAAACAACAAACGGTTTACTAACCGACACAATCCAACAAGGCAACACATCCCTAAAACAACAAACGGTTTACTAACCGACACAGTCCAACAAGGCAACGAATCCCTAAAACAACAAACGGTTTACTAACCGACACAGTCCAACAACAAACGGTTTACTAACCGACACAGTCCAACAAGGCAACAAATCCCTAAAACAACAAACGGTTTACTAACCGACACAGTCCAACAACAAACGGTTTACTAACCGACACAGTCCAACAACAAACGGTTTACTAACCGACACAGTCCAACAAGGCAACTGCCTTTTCTGCTAGTGTGGTGGCAGGGGGTGGGCATGGCTTACAGCTAGTAGCTGCGTCTTGGTCCTGGTAGGTACCTTTCGGGCATGGTAGACACAATGTCTGTGCTACATTTAACCACATTCCCAGGCCACACCCATCTGGCGAACACACATTTATGGATTCATGTTTGAGCTAAATATTAAACCCACGTGTATTTAAGCATCAACAGCAGATATAGGGATATGGAATACCAAAAGTACATATTTTTAAAAACTAAGTTTCTTGGAACACCAATAAAATTCGCGCCTGATTATTTGTTAAATGATATAATTTGGCACACTTTAACAAATTAAAATTGTTTTCAATTGCCATAAGTTATTCGTCTAACTTAACCGCAATAAAAAATGTGAAGTTTTTATCAAACATCACTAATATATATATTTAAGTTAAACTAATTAAAAAATTGTGTGCGTTTAGCTTACATTGCTAATATTACTTTGTCAAAATAAAATAAAATATTTTTGAAAATAAAACCCAGAAGAACAAATGTTTAAGTAATAATTAATATTTGACTTGATAAGTAGGTCTTTAATTATTATAATTGTATGAATATGACATAATATACCCCATGTTTATGTTAGTTTGCATGTCAAAAGATTACTGCATTAAACTAAGATCAAACTAAAAATGACCTTTACAATCTGAAAGCGATGAGCCGACTCTATTTATAGTAACGGTAGCTCCTGGGCAGGGGGTGCAAGCCAATCCTATCTCCTGGCCCTGGTACGTGTTGGGCGGGCACTTGTCGCATCCACCAAATCTATAAATGTCTTGCACGTAACCTTGGCCACAACCAACTGGAAAAAGTTAAATAGAATGAGATGTGGCTACACGACTAGTAAAAAACGTCATTAGTGTGTTCACTAATTGTATGGAGGACTTAAAGATACGGGCTTTAGTTGAAAATATGATGGTGGATGTTATAAATATATAAACTAATTTTTTTTTAAAGACGGAAAATAAAAAATAAAGACATATGCGAATGTAGAAACACATTTCTAACTAAAGTGTTTATTGTTTATAGATTATGCTGTATGTGTACAACGCTCTATTACATTTTCTTACATTGTATATGCTATTACTGAGTAAGCAGCTACACAAGCCTACTCTTACATGATAACCCTAACCCTACTCTTACATGATACTATTCCGTTTTTTTATTTTTGTTTATTTTAATTGTATCAGGAGAGCCTATATAATGTTTCTAAAACATTTTGTAATCAAACATACACCCGCACGTCTGCGCTCATCTTTACATTTGGACATGGCTATAAATGGATGGAACAACGCCTGGCCAGTAACGGAATGAGAAGTCAGAATACGAACCGTCAACATTCACGAAGAAATAGTTGAACATACTAAATCTAGATTTACAATTGTCTAATAAATGTAAGAGTCCTTCTATTTTAATAACAATTATAAAGATGTGAACTCACAGTTTAAATTAAGAATGATGATTGTATAGTTACTAAAAATAGACTCAAACACTTCCTAATGAAATATAAATTAAACACCAAATTAGATCTTTCTGTTTTCAATTAGTGGTTAATGTAAAAGTCAGGGCAATTAAGGGCGCGGTCGAATAGTAGAGCGTTCGACTGCTAACCCGAGAGTCTCGAGTTCGTGTCCTTATCTAGAGTCATAGAGCGTCCCTGAGTCCACCCAACTCTGATAAGTCCCTGACTTAGGTTAGGGGAAGTAAAGGCGACTAGGAATAGTTTCTGCCGAGGTTGCAGAAATAGGTTAACTCACCAGCCCCGTGGGCCGTCAAAAAGTTTCCCTTTCAAACTTGAAAGGGTCTATGGGGCAAGTGAAGTAGAGTTCACTTGTTTCTGTGACCTCGGCATAAGAGATAGTGTGGTCAGCACTATGCCCAGCCGCCTTTACTTTCCCTAACGTGAGTTAGCACCCATCAGAGTTGGGTGGACTCAGGGACGGTCAACTGACTTTAATCCGGTTTCTAACTCGAGACTTAAGGGTTAGCAGTCCGGCTTTCTACCGCTAGACCACTCCGTCCCATCGTGAGGTTCAAAAGAAAACATTTTATTTTACATTAAGTTATTTCGTTAAAAGAAAACTTACCGCATGCATCGGAATTAAATACCGGGTTAGTCCCAGGAATTGAGCAGGTTGTATAAACGTCACAGTAGATACTAAACGTAGCGGTATGCTCGGCACTGAGTACAGGGAGAGTGATTGTAGCTTGATGATTTCTTATGTAAGCACAGAAGTACTGACTGATAGCGTAATAAGATTTGATTTGTGCATAGTCGTTGTTGTAATGTTTGATCGTCTTGACCATTACGTCAAGGATATACTGAGAACACAGACAGCTTCTGTCAGCCTAGATTTAACCTGGTGACTTGGTATGGCATACAATCTAAGCCTATACAGTAATCAATAGAGTCCTTTCATATGACGTCACGTCCGTTCGTGATACCTACGCCCGCCGCCACAGTGGTGTACACCAGACGTAAACACAATCAGCTGTTCACCAGCGCAGGACGCGTTCACTAGCGCTGGACGTGTTCACCGTATGTAAAGAACCGCACCCGCGGAAAGGGAGAAATATGTTAAAAAACTTGAACTCTTAGGAATTGAAGATCCTTATACTGTTATTGACAGTTTCGTAGATATTATAAATATGTGGCCAAAATTTCTAAATAAAAATACTGTTAGTAATACTGTTTGCGTTTAGAGTTTAAGTAGACGAATCTGATCAAATGCAGTTTTCGATACTTTGTTTCAGGTAAGGACAGTAAAATAATAAACTCCATTTTAATTATAAAAGATAACTATTAATAAAAGACAAAGTCAAAAGTAATAATAAGAAGAATAAGATCTAATAGTAGGTCTAATAATAGTGTTTTAATATCTAGATCTAGAATCTAGCTCTAAACATGGCGTAAACAAAATTCGGACCACAGATCTAGATTCTGGATTTAGGGTGACTGACTCCGCTGGGTAGACATAGAATCTAGAATCTACTTCTTTACTTAAATTTAATTACAAAATTTAGATCTACATTCGATTCAAAACACACCCATAATAAATCAAAAGTAGTCATAATAGGCCTAATAAAGCATTTAATTGTCTCTAAGATCTAAAATCTCGCTCTATAATCTAATCATTTTTTTAGCAAACGAAATTTTCTGAAATTGAAATAGATTGTATGACTAGACTTAGATCTAGAATCTGCTACTTAAATTAAATTTTAAATTTTTTTATACAAGCATGTAATTGATATTATTGTAGTAGAAGGCTTTAATAAATTACTAAGGACTACCTACTTTGTGTCTTTTTACAGCAATGTGTATCTGATACTGGACTGAGTTTAATTAAATTCAAATTCATATCTAGTAATTGGTCTACTAAGTTTTTGTAGCCTAGTAGTACAATCTAGATCATTCCAGCCAACAACAAATAACCACGTTATTATTATTTGGTTAATGATAAGGCTAATTTTTTTTTTAAATCCACTGTTAATAAAAGAAACAAATCAAGCTAGAAACATTATAAGCGAGATGGTTTAGAATAATAACATTGGACCCAGTCTACAATTGATACAATTGCAGGTCTACATAGGGCCTACAGTCTAGTAGTTTACAGTAGGCACCTAGTGTGTAGCTAGTATACTAGTGTTTAGCTGTCCAGAGTTAAGATTCTTAATGCTTTCCCCTGATAAGCCGTGTGTGCTATAAATGACATAACATGACATCGAGGTGAGAAATGTTGAGGGGAGAGCAGTGGAACTTTCCCCTTTGTTCTCCCTGCTGGGCCCTGAGGGTATCAAGGAGGTGAGAAATTTTCAGGGGAGGGCAGATAAACACTAGTATACTAGCTACACACTAGATGCCTACTGTAAACTACTAGACTGTAGGCCCTATGTAGACCTGCAATTGTATCAATTGTAGACTGGGTCTATTGTTATTATTCTAAACCATCTCAGTCTTATAATGTTTCTAGCTTGATTTGTTTCTTTTATAAACAGTGGATTAAAAAAAATTAGCCTAATCATTAACCAATTAATAATAATTTGGTTATTTGTTGTTGGCTGGTATGATCTAGATTCTACTACTAGGCTACATAAACTTAATAGACTAATTACTAGATATGCATTTTAATTTAATTAAACTCAGTCCAGTATCAGATACACATTGCTGTAAAAAGACACAAAGTAGGTAGTCCTTAGTAATTTATTAAAGCCTTCTACTACAATAATATCAATTACATGCTTGTATAAAAAAATTTAAAATTTAATTTAAGTAGCAGATTCTAGATCTAAGTCTAGTCATACAATCTATTTCAATTTCAGAAAATTTCGTTTGCTAAAAAAATGATTAGATTATAGAGCGAGATTTTAGATCTTAGAGACAATTAAATGCTTTATTAGGCCTATTATGACTACTTTTGATTTATTATGGGTGTGTTTTGAATCGAATGTAGATCTAAATTTTGTAATTAAATTTAAGTAAAGAAGTAGATTCTAGATTCTATGTCTACCCAGCGGAGTCAGTCACCCTAAATCCAGAATCTAGATCTGTGGTCCGAATTTTGTTTACGCCATGTTTAGAGCTAGATTCTAGATCTAGATATTAAAACACTATTATTAGGCCTACTATTAGATCTTATTATTCTTATTATTACTTTTGACTTTGTCTTTTACTATTAGTATTTGTGAAGGTCGAGCATATTTGTTTTATTAATCGTTATCTTTTATAATTAAAATGAAGTTTATTATTTTACTGTCCTTACCTGAAACAAAGTATCGAGAACTGCATTTGATCAGATTCGTCTACTTAAACTCTAAACGCAAACAGTATTACTAACAGTATTTTTATTTAGAAATTTTGGCCACATATTTATATTATCTACGAAACTGTCAATAACAGTATAAGGATCTTCAATTCCTAAGAGTATTTTAACGCATTTTTCCTTTTCACCGGGTGCGGTTCTTTACATACAGTGAACACGTCCAGCGCTGGTGAACAGCTGATTGTGTTTACGTCTGGTGTACACCAGCGTGGCGGCGGACGTAGGTATCGCGAACGGACGTGACGTCATATGAAAGGACTCTATAGATGGAGCCATGTTGAAACTAACATTGTCAGAAAACACGTGATGCCTCTAACTTAATGGGATAAAGTGGGTCAGTTCCGATAGGGTGGGTCAGTTTTAATATGGTGGGTCAGTTCCGATAGGGTGGGTCAGTTTTAATAGGGTTGGTCAGTTCCGATAGGGTGAATCAGCTTCGATAGGGTGGGTCAGTTTTAATAGGGTTGGTCAGTTCCAATAGGTTGAATCAGCTTCGATAGGGTGAGTCACTTCTTGATGAACTGTGAAACTAGAACTAAGCTTTGGAGAGACTAACCTCGATATTAACACCGTTAACTCCATCAAGGCATTTTGAACTACTAAAGGTGGCTACACAGGGAGTATTGTTGCAGGCGCCTGTGAAGTTAATGCTGGGTAGCATTGCTGACCATTTTAGTTGGGCTTCAGCCATTTTCTCCTCATTGCACACCGGAACTTTGTTGTAGATTTTCACCTCAATATATAGACCACTGGACCTAAGGCGCGCTAAATTCATTGAACAAATAAAATTTCAAATAATTCAGTATACCATTCATTCAATGTATAAATTCATTCAATGTCAAGTTTGACTGTCTGTCAGCTTAGACTGACTGTCAACTTAGACTGACTGTCAACTTAGACTTCTTTCTTCTTCTTCGTTCTTAATTATTAGTGTTGAAGGGGATCGAGATTTATCTGCCAGCGGGTTTGAACTCGAGACTTTGTTCGAATTTATCAACCAGTGTTTCTTCCAGACTTTTTTCTCCGGGGGGGGGGGGCACTTGAAATTTTCGGGGGGGCGGTAGACTTTCTTCGGGAGGGCGGACACTGTTAAAAGTATATATTTTCTATATGAATTATATAAATTTGATTTCGTTCGGGAGGGGGGGGGGGCGGTAAAAAAATTTCGGGGGGGCCGACCCCTCAACTTTGACTGTCAACTTAGACTGACTGTCAAATTTGACTGTCAACGTTAAGTGACTGTCAACTTAGACTGACTGTCAAATTTGACTGTCAACGTTAAGTGACTGTCAACTTAGACTGACTGTCAGTTTAGACAGACTCCCACAATTTCGGCTCTTTCAGTCGTTCTGCTAACATTTTACCAATGTAGCAACCATTTGCTGTCCTGTCTTAATAAAGTTTTACCAATGTAGCAACCAGTTGCTGTCCTGACTTGCTAACATTTTAACAATGTTGCAACCATTTGCTGTCCTGTCTTGCTAACATTTTATGTATGTAGCAACCAGTTGCTGTCCTGTCTTGCTAACATTTCACCTATGTAGCAACCATTTGCTGTCCTGTCTTGCTAACATTTTAACAATGTAGCAATCATTTGCTGTCCTGTCTTGCTAACATTTTAACAATGTAGCAATCATTTGCTGTCCTGTCTTGCTAACATTTCACCAATGTAGCAATCATTTGCTGTCCTGTCTTGCTAACATTTTAACAATGTAGCAATCATTTGCTGTCCTGTCTTGCTAACATTTCACCAATGTAGCAATCATTTGCTGTCCTGTCTTGCTAACATTTTACCAATGTAGCAATCATTTGCTGTCCTGTCTTGCTAACATTTCACCAATGTAGCAATCATTTGCTGTCCTGTCTTGCTAACATTTTAACAATGTAGCAATCATTTGCTGTCCTGTCTTGCTAACATTTCACCAATGTAGCAATCATTTGCTGTCCTGTCTTGCTAACATTTTACCAATGTAGCAATCATTTGCTGTCCTGTCTTGCTAACATTTCACCAAGGTAGCAATCATTTGCTGTCCTGTCTTGCTAACATTTTACCAATGTAGCAATCATTTGCTGTCCTGTCTTGCTAACATTTTACCAATGTAGCAATAATTTGCTGTCCTGTCTTGCTAACATTTTACCAATGTAGCAATCATTTGCTGTCCTGTCTTGATGATGTTTTACCAATGTAGCAATCATTTGCTGTCCTGTCTTGATGATGTTTTACCAATGTAGCAATCATTTGCTGTCCTGTCTTGATGATGTTTTACCAATGTAGCAACCATTTGCTGTCCTGTCTTGATGATGTTCTACCAATGTAGCAACCATTTACTGTCCTGTCTTGCTAATATTTTACCAATGTAGCAACCATTTGCTGTCTTGTCTTGCTAAAGTTTTACCAATGTTGCAACCAGTTGCTGTCCTGTCTTGCTAAAGTTTTACCAATGTAGCAACCTGTTGCTGTCCTGTCTTGATAATGTTTTACCAATGTAGCAACCAGTTGCTGTCCTGTCTTGATGACGTTTTACCAATGTAGCAACCAGTTGCTGTCCTGTCTTGCTAATATTTTACCAATGTAGCAACTAGTTGCTGTCCTGTCTTAATGATGTTTTACCAATGTAGCAACCAGTTGCTGTCCTGTCTTGATAAAGTTTTACCAATGTAGCAACTAGTTGCTGTCTTGTCTTGATGATGTTTTACCAATGTAGCAACCAGTTGCTGGGATACTAGATTAAAGATCTGTTTCAGCCAGCACGATTACATGTAATTATGACACGCCAATGTGACATGACACATTATAATGGCAAGTCAACATGACACGCTAATGTGACATGACACATTATAATGGCAAGTCAACATGACACACAATACGACACGCTAATACGACATGATTTGCCAATATGGCACGACACGCCAATATGACACGGCAATGTAGAATTTAAAACTTTAATAATACACCTCATAATACACCTCTTAATACACCTCATAATACACCTCATAATACATCACAGGTAGTCTTAGCTCAGCAGATGTAACATGTAGGTGAATTTATTTTAATACAGCTTACCTATGCAGTCTGGGATAAAGCTAAATGGATCCCATTCTATATCCCTGCCAGTCAGGTACCCAAATGGTTTCCATTTACCATCTAAACACGTAGCATCTGTAGGTGCTGTAGGCTTGATCAATGTGGCACCGCATTTTAAAGTGCATTCTACACCTCCGTCTTCTCGTCTACCACAGTCAACATCTCCTTTTTTTGGCTTCCTTGGTGGTAAACAGTCTGTAATAAGTTATTTTAAAATACATACTATAGGAATAGCCTGCTCAAACTATACATGTGTAGATAAGTCTACACAAACTATAAATATGTGGATAAGCCTTCACAAACTATAAATGTGTGGATAAGCCTACACAAACTATAAATGTGTAGATAAGCCTACACAAACTATAAATGTGTGGATAAGCCTACACAAACTATAAATGTGTGGATAAGCCTACTCAAACTATAAATGTGTAGATAAGCCTACTCAAATTATAAATGCGTAGATAAGCCTACACAAACTATAAATGTGGGGATAACCTTACACAAACTATAAATGTGTGGATAAGTCTACTCAAACTATAAATGTGAAGATAAGCCTACAAAAACAATAAATGTGTTGATCCAAGGCGGGACAAGTTGCCTCCCTTATATAAAATTAATATGTTCATGTAGGCCTATATCCGAGTCCTACATCAAGTTAAACGTTTTATTTGGGATTGATTTCAAATCTTCTTCTTCTTCTTCTTCGTTCTTAATTATTAGTGTTGAAGGGGATCGAGATTTATCTGCCAGTGGGTTTGAACTCGAGACTTTTGTTCGAATTTATCAACCATGAGCTTTTTTGCCGACTCGACCACGCCTCTAACACAATTAAGCGTTACTTGTCAACTGGTTATGCGCCATTGAGGCCATTGACTCCGATTTCAGCCTGCTTTTCTTTTTGGATTTGCTTCCATAGCCTTTGTCCAACCAAGAACAAACTACAAGGCAGCAGTTGTTTAATTTTGGAGTTGTCTCTCCTAGAAGAGTGGCTGTCCCCAGCTAACGAGCCTCATCTGCCCGAGGGTTCGAACTCGAGACTTTTCGGTTTAGCAACCATGAGCTTTACCGACTCGACCACGCCGACCCTTGATTTCAAATGAAAGAAACTTTTTTTATATGTGAAATAAAAAATATAAAAATGTTTCAAACCATGTTTTTTAAATACATTTTAAAATCGTGAAAATGTATATATTTTCAGTAATTATTTATAGTGTTTTTTTTGTGACGCTACGCACAGTTACGGTGTACCGGCACCTTTATCCGTGTGGGGGGGGGGGATTATTACTTTTCTTGTATTTTAACCTCAATTATATTAATTTGTTAAAATTGATTTTTTTTTAATTGCACACAATACGATTTTAAATATAAAATGCGAAACTGCTTTCCGCACACAGTCAAATTTGAATGTAATAATTAAGACTTAAAGAAATTAAAATGAGCGTAGTTCCGGCTGGGACTTTGCCGGTATATCAGAAAACCAGACTGACTTACGAAATAACGGCAGAAGCAAATGTCACAGAAGAAATCCTAATGGAACTATCGGAACCGTCAGATATCGCTGCTGATAACTCTGTTACTTTTGGACAGCTGCATGTGATGGAGCAGCTGTAATGTTGGGAAGCAAAAGTGGCCTCAAGACAAAAGTTTCCATCGGTTATGGTTTGGTATTGTGCTAACCAAAAGTGGCCTCAAGACAAAAGTTTCCATTGGTTCTGGTTTGGTATTGTGCTAACCACAAGTGGCCTCAAGACAAAAGTTTCCATCGGTTATGGTTTGGTATTGTGCTAACCAAAAGTGGCCTCAAGACAAAAGTTTCCATCGGTTATGGTTTGGTATTGTGCTAACCAAAAGTGGCCTCAAGACAAAAGTTTCCATCGGTTATGGTTTGGTATTGTGCTAACCAAAAGTGGCCTCAAGACAAAAGTTTCCATCGGTTATGGTTTGGTATTGTGCTAACCACAAGTGGCCTCAAGACAAAAGTTTCCAACAGTTCTGGTTTGGTATTGTGCTAACCACAAGTGGCCTCAAGACAAAAGTTTCCAACAGTTCTGGTTTGGTATTGTGCTAACCACAAGTGGCCTCAAGACAAAAGTTTCCATCGGTTCTGGTTTGGTATTGTGCTAACCACAAATGGCCTCAAGACAAAAGTTTCCATCGGTTCTGGTTTGGTATTGTGCTAACCACAAGTGGACTCAAGACAAAAGTTTCCAACAGTTCTGGTTTGGTATTGTGCTAACCAAAAGTGGCCTCAAGACAAAAGTTTCCATCGGTTATGGTTTGGTATTGTGCTAACCACAAGTGGCCTCAAGACAAAAGTTTCCATCGGTTCTGGTTTGGTATTGTGCTAACCACAAGTGGACTCAAGACAAAAGTTTCCATCGGTTCTGGTTTGGTATTGTGCTAACCACAAGTGGCCTCAAGACAAAAGTTTCCAACAGTTCTGGTTTGGTATTGTGCTAACCACAAATGGCCTCAAGACAAAAGTTTCCATCAGTTCTGGTTTGGTATTGTGCTAACCACAAGTGGCCTCAAGACAAAAGTTTCCAACAGTTCTGGTTTGGTATTGTGCTAACCACAAGTGGCCTCAAGACAAAAGTTTCCAACAGTTCTGGTTTGGTATTGTGCTAACCACAAGTGGCCTCAAGACAAAAGTTTCCAACAGCTCTGGTTTGGTATTGTGCTAACCACAAATGGCCTCAAGACAAAAGTTTCCATCGGTTCTGGTTTGGTATTGTGCTAACCACAAGTGGCCTCAAGACAAAAGTTTCCATCGGTTCTGGTTTGGTATTGTGCTAACCACAAGTGGACTCAAGACAAAAGTTTCCATCAGTTCTGGTTTGGTATTGTGCTAACCACAAGTGGCCTCAAGACAAAAGTTTCCAACAGTTCTGGTTTGGTATTGTGCTAACCACAAGTGGCCTCAAGACAAAAGTTTCCATCAGTTCTGGTTTGGTATTGTGCTAACCACAAGTGGCCTCAAGACAAAAGTTTCCAACAGTTCTGGTTTGGTATTGTGCTAACCACAAGTGGCCTCAAGACAAAAGTTTCCATCAGTTCTGGTTTGGTATTGTGCTAACCACAAGTGGCCTCAAGACAAAAGTTTCCATCGGTTCTGGTTTGGCTTTGTGTAAAACACCGACTGGAACTTTCCGTTGGGGATGTCGTAAAACAAGTTCCAGAGATCAACAGATTTAAGGCATTCAGTGATAAACTGTATGTAGTTTATCATTCTTTACACAAAAATTGCAGGGAATTGCATATATGTGCTCGTTTGTGAGAGGCTGAGTTGTTAAAAATTGGAAGAATGTTAAGCACGCGATGGGTGGCATCAAGCTTCCGTTCTGTTTTAGCAGTTTGGGAAGATTATGAAATTTTAGTACAACATTTTGAAGAAGCAAAACTTGACTCAGCCAGAGACAAAATAGATCAATGCAAGTATGGAGGTTTGCAGCGAAAGTTTACTTTTACTGAATGTGTACTAGACATCGGATGATGTGCGATGCGCTCCAAGAATTGTCAGAGTTAAGTTTGGATTTGCAAGAGCGCAGCATAGACATCTACAGAGCAGATCAAATAATCAAGGCTGTTATACAGATTTTTTAAGAAAGGCAAATTATTCCAGGCCCTTATTATAAAAATTACGGCCTCTGCTGTAGATCGTAAACTTTTCAAAGGAGTTTCACTTCACACCAAAAACTGTACCTGTGATCCACTAATTGACGTAAAAATATTTACAAAAAACTAAAAGAATCAATTGAACAAAGATTGCTTTCTAGTGAAGATGCTGAGTTGCATATTGTGCTCGAGTGCTCTATACAAAGCAATGGCCGGAAAACATTGGTACTCATTCAACATTTGGAAAAACAGTCATTAGAAACTTATCAACAAGATTGCAATTAAACGAAAGAATAATGATTCACCGATTTAGTGAATATTTCATCGAATAAACTACTTCCTTTGCAATTGCTTCCAGTACAATCCCGATTTGTTCATGTAAAGCCGAAAGAGGATTTTCGCAAATAAATCTTATTATCACCCCGACAAGAAGTTCATTGATGTCAACAACGGTTTCTTCCCTGTTATTTATCAGCTTAGTTGGACCACCACTCCTACGTTTTGACCCTACAAGATACGTTGATTCATTGTTGCTTAGAGGCAGATATTCAGCCACAGATAACAACAGCAGAGAACGTAGCCATTCGGGAACAGATATCAACAGCAAAGAACCTAGACATTCAGCCACAGATACGGACAACAGAGAACGTAGACATTCGGCAACAGATACTGACAACAGAGAACGTAGCCATTCGGGAACAGATATCAACAGCAAAGAACCTAGACATTCAGCCAAAGATACGGACAACAGAGAACGTAGACATTCGGCAACAGATACCAACAGCAAAGAACCTAGACATTTAGCCACAGATACGGACAACAGAGAACGTAGACATTCGGCAAAAGATACCAACAGCAAAGAACCTAGACATTCAGCCACAGATAGGGACAACAGAGAACGTAGACATTCGGCAACAGATACCAACAGCAAAGAACCTAGACATTCAGCCACATATACGGACAACAGAGAACGTAGGCATTCGGCAACAGATACCAACAGCAAAGAACCTAGACATTCAGCCACAGATACGGACAAAAGAGAACGTAGACATTCGGCAACAGATACCAACAGCAAAGAACCTAGACATTCAGCCACAGATACGGACAACAGAGAACGTAGACAATCAACCACAGATACCAACAGCAGAGAACGCAGACGGGAGTATACAGCAGATGATAACTTGATTAAACTTTGAAATGTATTAGGAATAATTTATTCACCAATATTTTATTTTCATTTTTAACAGAGTTAATTCCTAGATAACACAAGAGAGCCTCACACAATTTTTTTTAAGTAAATCAAGAATAACTTGAATAAATTGTTAGTTAAAATTTATAAATTATAACAAATGTATACGGTATATTAATAAAGTAATAATAAACAATTTAAGTTGTTTAATAATAAAATTAAATTGTTTTAAACATTAAATTTTAGTGTCTTTACAGTTGTGATTTAGCCTGCATCGAATTGCGAACTGGTAGTTAAAAGTTAGGTAACCCATCGCTGAGTACAGGCACCTATTTGTTTTTACAAAAAGCACTGATTATTTATACAGATAAACAAGACGGTTTGCTGATCGCCATACGTGGCATTGTTCTATTGGGAGGGGAGAGACGCGTGAGTTTTGTGAAAATATGCAACATACAGGAAACTGATGTAAAAAAAATGGTATATGGGGAAAAATATTTTAGATAAGTTAGTGATTGTTTCTATTTAGACAAGTTAGTGATTGTTGTTTTTTAGACAGGTTAGTGATTGTTGTTGTGTAGACAAGTTAGTGATTTTGTTTTTTTTTTAGAAAAATTAGTGATTGTGTTATTTTGACAAGTTAATGATTGTGTTATTTTAGATAACTTAGTGATTTTGTCTATTTAGAAAAGTTAATGGTTGTGTTATTTTAGATAACTTGGAGATTATGTCTATTTAGACAAGTTAGTGTTTGCGTCTATTTAGACGATTTATTGATTGTGTCCTTCCTTTGGTCTTATATCAACAATACACAAACACAAGAGTACTAGTTTATATCTGCGTCATTATAAAGGGAAGCGGGATATGTAAGCTGACCTATGAATTACAATGACAAGAAATAGGCTTTGGTCTTAAACACTAATCATCGTATGGTCTCAAAACATCTACAAACGTAACGCTTACCATTTTAGTAAACGGTTTCAAACAAGTGGTGGAACTTTGTGTTTTTACTCACTGTGGCAAAACGGTACAGGTTGCATCCAGCTCTTTGTTTTCGTGTGGATGTCAAGTTTACAGATAGCGAAGGGGCCACCGTACAGATCATAGCCAGATGGACAGGTCAACTTATAGTAGTCAGTACCTTGATAGACATCGTCACGCTTTACGTAGTTCGGTTTAGCTTTGTTCAGTTCATGAAAATCACAGGTAAGCCCTGGTGTGAGAGTCACATATTGCTTGAACTAAACTTCTCATAATGTTTACAATTCTAAAAATTGAACAGAGTTTACAAGAACATCCTACTCTACATGCACCCAATGAGACAGTGTAGAACCACAACCTACTCTACATGCACCCAATGAGACAGTTTGTAGAAGCACAGCCTACTCTATATGCACCCAATGAGACAGTTTGTAGAGGCACAACCTACTCTACATGCACCTAATGAGACAGTTTGTAGAGGCACAGCCTACTCTATATGCACCCAATGAGACAGTGTAGAAGCACAACCTACTCTACATGCACCCAATGAGACAGTGTACAAGCACAGCCTACTCTACATGCACCCAATGAGACAGTGTAGAAGCACAGCCTACTCTACATGCACCCAATGCGACAGTGTAGAAGCACAGCCTACTCTACATGCACCCAATGCGACAGTGTAGAAGCACAGCCTACTCTACATGCACCCAATGAGACAGTGTAGAAGCACAGCCTACTCTACATGCACCCAATGAGACAGAGTGTAGAGGCACAGCCTACTCTACATGCACCCAATGAGACATGATGTAGAAGCACAACCTACTCTACATGCACCCAATGAGACAGTGTAGAGGCACAACCTACTCTACATGCACCCAATGAGACATGATGTAGAAGCACAACCTACTCTACATGCACCCAATGAGACAGTATGTAGAGGCACAACCTACTCTACATGCACCCAATGAGACAGTTTGTAGAGGCACAGCCTACTCTACATGCACCCAATGAGACAGTTTGTAGAGGCACAGCCTACTCTACATGCACCTAATGAGACAGTGTAGAAGCACAGCCTACTCTACATGCACCCAATGAGACATGATGTAGAAGCACAACCTACTCTTGACACGGATGGCGAATGTGCAGGTCTGGTTTAACTGGCTCAGTCTATCTATAGCTGTGACCGTGACATTGGTAGTCCCTAGCTTGAAGACGCTCCCAGGGGCAGGGGAGCCCAGGACCTGCACATACCCACCGGAGGAGCCAATGGCTCTGGGCAGAGGATAGATAACACTGACATCCTCCTTATCAGACGCGAGAATCAGTTCCTCTAAGTTCGCTGGACAGCCGTCCGGGAATTCTGGAACCACGAGCTCTGAAATTGACGTATAAGATAATCAGATTTGTGAATAAGATTAATTTATTTTAGATGTTTAATAAATAATAAACAGATAAAAATGTTTGTGTTTAATTCGGAATTTTTTGTTTTAATACGCTTTATAACTTAAGTTACATGTTCAACGAAATAGTAACATCGTCTATGCCTTCCTTATTGATAGACTTTGGTGTGTGGTTGACATCGTAACTTCATCTTACATACGGTCCCCACTTGAAGTGACATCTACATAAGATCTGCCATACAGGTATTCAGTCGGTCGTTGTCATTAGGGTGTTGTTGAATTGCCAGACAAGAAACAAGATTGCGTTAAAGTGCTTATAGTGTAATTATTTATAAGTGAACGAACTGAGTCAGACAGTAGACCTATCAGCGAGCAGGACATTACCCACCCCTACCCCGGCTATTACCCCCCTCATCACTATACCCCCCTCCCCTGGAGCAACTACCACTCAGTGACCCCCCAAGCTATGCCCCTCGACCACCAGGACATTACCCTCCCCCCCCCCCCACTCCGGTCTTTTAGAGAAAGAATATGGATAGCTTAAGGATAAATTAGGAATATGATAAGAATAAGGGTTAAGGGATAAGGGTTAAGGTTAGAGCTAGTGTTAGAGTTGGGGTTCTTATTGGCGTTATTGTTAGTGTGTGTGTCTGTGTGTGTGTCTGTGTGTGTGTTTGTGTCTGTGTATGTATGTGTATGTGTGTGATTACCCATGGAGGTAACTGACATTGATAGGGGGAGGGGGTAATTTGCAGTGGTGTGATGTCTCCGGGGGGTAATGTCCGGGGGGGGGGGTAGATAACATGCGGTGGGTAATGTCATAGAACCCGCTCTAACATAATAAAAGTAGCAGTTGTATGTGAACAGAGTTGAAATGACCACTTGCCATACGTACAGCAGCCTGTCTGGTCAAATACATACCGCCCATACTGTCAAGCTGTGTTTAATTTATATAATTTCTCTTCTGAAATTTCACTTACATTATAGGGGTCAGGGTGAGGGTGAGGTGGGGTTAGGGTGAGGGTTATGGTTAGGGTGAGAGGAGGGTGAGGGTTAGGGTTATGAAGAGGTACGGTTAGGGTTAGTGGATTAAGGTTAAGGTTAATGTCAGGGTTAGGGTTGTGGTGAGAGTAGGGTTAGTGTTGAATTATGGTTAGGATTAGGATTAGGGTTATGGTTAGGGTTAGGGTTAGTGTTGGATTATGGTTAGGATTAGGATTAGGGTTATGGTTAGTGTTGAATTATGGTTAGGATTAGGATTAGGGTTATGGTTAGCGTTAGGGTTAGTGTTGGATTATGGTTAGGATTAGGATTAGGGTTAGGGTTAGTGTTGAATTATGGTTAGGATTAGGATTAGGGTTATGGTAAACCTGACAACCTGAAACAGGTGAAGAATTAAACACCTTTGAACACCTAAACACGTTTAAACACCTAAACACCTTACCGCCGCATTGAAAATCATACGGGTCAAAAGCCTGGTTCCACTCTCCGGATGTCAGGTTACAGACGAATTCTATCTGCTTACTCCCTGCCGGCCCACACAGCAGCAGACAGGAAATCAGCTCTTCGTCCGTATCCGTACAACAGTGGAACCTTCTCTGGTTGATTCTGTGATCGGCTGGCAGCTCATTACACGCGGTGCCTAACGAACCGTGCGGCTGGTCAAGCAAAACTAAGCCGACCAAGATCAGTGCCGACCTGACGCAGGTCGATGGCATCTCTTCGTGGTGAGTAAGCTACTGCCAGAATGCTTCCATATTGGTGAGTAAGCTACTGCTAGAATGCTTCCATATTGGTGAGTAAGCTACTGCCAGAATGCTTCCATATTGGTGAGTAAGCTACTGCTAGAATGCTTCCATATTGGTGAGTAAGCTACTGCCAGAATGCTTCCATATTGGTGAGTAAGCTACTGCTAGAATGCTCCCATACTGTTGCGTGCATGCAAGTGGCCCTTATTTCGGTTCTTATTTCTCAATTGATTTTGAAAACGCCGGTCTTGACAGGTTTTCTGTTAATATAGAATGAGACAACACGTTCTAATCGACCCAGTTGAGTCACAACCCTTAATTTAAAAGAATTCTCATCTGGTAATGTAAGAATCTCGACGATAAATTAATGTGTCACCATACGAATTTTTTTTGTTGGGGGGGGGGGGGAGTTGGCTAAAATTGAATACAGGCCTTGAATAATTAACATTTGATGGTTAATTGGCTACATATAATTTAAAGTCATTCAAAGTATTGACATGTAATAGCATTTCGTCAAATAGATCTAAACTACTTTAATTATCATTAATTGCTTTAGTGAATAATTATAATCTGCGAATCTTTGGGTAAGGTAAAAATCGACATGGATAAAGCGTTCATGGTCTGTATATCAAATAACTAGAGGACGTCACAATCAAACTACATATTAATTAATTAACAGATGTATTCATTGTGTGTCTCTCGTTTTGGGCTAAACATTTATGCTAGTTACCTTTCTTTAGGTATCATGGTTTGGATCTTTAATCTATTAGGCATACTACCTAGCTTCGCTTAGGTTCACAAAACACTTGAGAATTTGAATAATTAATTAATTGCTGATTGGCCTTAATGTGGAGTGCTTAAGTTTGAACAGTATTTTTTAATCCCCCAGGGTCGTTCTACGACCTCGCGGAGCGGCATAGGGGTTCGAGCATATTTAATTTTTGAAATATAGCTCATATTACAAGAATTTCACTCGCGGTCACTTTTTTAGCCCTCATCGAGGGCTTAGAGTCTAACCGACAGGTTTTCCATACGACCTAGCCATTTACCGAGGTGCATGCAAAAAGTTAGGGGTCATCCATAAATGACGTCACGCTTTTTTGACGATTTTTAACCTTCCCCCCCCTCCCCTCCGTCACACGTCGTCACAAAAAGCAAGACTCCCTCCCCTAAAATGACGTCACACCTCAACCTACAGCCCCCCTCAAAATTGTTGTTGAATTTTTTTAAACATCGATATTTTTCTAAAATCGTGTCTAAACTATTACAATTTATTAAAACAGTTATCTAAATGCAAAATAACGTCTAAATTCGTTTTCTAACATTGCTTTTTTATAATGCAAAAATGTGACGTCGCAACTTCTGACCCCCCCCCCCTCCCCCCTACGAGTGTGACGTCATTTATGGATGACCCCTTAGCCAGATGTACAGACGGCAAGTATCTGAAAATAAGTGTTGAATTTACTCTCTATTTTTCACATAAATTACAAAGATTTTATATGGAAATACGACTGATCAGTTTTTACCACTTTACAGCGCTTTACAGCACCCGACAACTTATATATAGATCTATACTATTCTATAGATAATCTTCTCTAATCACGACTAAAAAATCTAGATCTAGAATCTAGAATCTTGGTAAGATTATTCTTTTGAAAATCAATCAACTTTATTTTTTTTCTTAAAGTTTTAAAAGTATACATATTTCACTTTAAAACACCATTTAGAAGTCTTTGCAAAGCAAAAGTAAAATTCAAAATACAGTTGTGAATACTAGATCTACTACCTTTGAATCAGATTTTAATACTGAAAACTGATTTTGTATACAGTCTAGAACTAGATGTCTAGACCTTGACCTATAAAAAACCTAATGGACACCAGCGAGAAAAGTCTCAAAGGTATTTGAGAGGTGTATAAATTCATTTAAAAATCATGCACAGCGTAGTTACAATTAATATGGTTATAAAATCCTGCCTGTCTGGTTTTTTTCGGACTTTACTAAAGATTGGATGTATTTGATGTTTATAATATTTTCGGTAACTAAATAAAAATTAAAAAAAAAGCAAAAACAATTTGGTTTTCACGTGTAATGGCGACATAAACAATGGCATCCTGCTATTGGATAGGCCGCCATAGATTTTATTGTACACATTGTAAGCTAAAAATAGAAAACTAGGTCATGGGGTTTTAAATTTGCATTGTTATTTAAAAACTTGATCTGCAAAGTTTTGTAAACAAATAGTTATCGATCACTAAGTTACTGTACAGCCAATCAATATTTGTGTTACGAAAGTGAAACATCCGGTTATAACTTAGGCTTGATGAAAATAAATAGAAATGTAGCCTTAAACTCAACAAATTATTTTCAAGTTCTCTGGATTTGCAACTTTTATAGCATTTATTCTAAAAATATAAAATTTCTAAATTAATTTTAGGCTTAAGTTTTTATTTTTTATTTTTTTTACGGTCTAAATCTAAAAAGCACGTTTTTATTCCATGTCAACAACATTATGGAAGGAATCTCGTCAACTCGCTTGTCTCCATTAGACCCATTAGTTTTAAAAGCAAATAAAACCATATCTATTAAAACTATAAATATCTAAGACTTACTTTTCATTTAAACACTTAAAAAACGTTCGTTTTTTTCATCAAGATAGTAAGCTATATATACCATGTGTTTTACATTTTTAGACTTATTGTATTTAGGCTAGATCATTTCTGTTTAAATCACACAAAGAATCACTTCTGTTTAGTTTTTAATATCGAGTCTAGCGTTCGTTTGGTTCGGTGCTAATGTTGTGTACTTGATCTCTTTGGGAATTTCCGCAAAAAAAAAAAAATAAAAGCGTACGTCTTGATAAGAAGATCTATATGTATAGATCTAAATAAAATTTGAATGAAATAGTTCATTTCTTCATATTCTAAAATTGGAAGATGATGCCATTAGATTTGTGTTCTTTCCGTAGTTCAAACATATGACAAGTGAAGTCATTGATTTTTTGTTTTTTTGTTTTTTTGTTGTTTTTTACTTTCTCGTATATACGAAGTATAGAGAAAGTATTGTAATCGTGCACAAAAATCACTTGAAATTTTAGCAATTTTCACCTTATTACACCTCAGTCCTTCATCACATCCGAAGTATAAAGGACTTATTTTAATCGGACAAAAATTATCAATCCAGATTTATCAAAATTAAGAGGTTTTATGCGTAATCCAGTCTGAAAAACTGGGCTTTGCAATTCTGTCCGTATGTCTGTGTGTCTGTCTGTCTGTGTGTGTGTCTGTGTGTAAACACGATTACTGAGTACCGTTACAGCTAGGTTGATGAAATTTCATATATAAGTATTTTATCAAAATCGTAGATCCGTATCAACTTTTGAGCGATTTTCGATAACCGGAAGTGGTACTTTTTATACTTTGAATTTTTCAAAAGTCTATAACTTGAGTACTATTTCAGATAGATAAATGAAATTTCACATCTAAGTATAAGATCTAATGCTCTACCTTCTGTTAAATTTTGAGTAATTTCCGTTGAACGAAAGTAGTAATTTACGCTACTTCCGATTTCTCAAAAAACTAATGTAAATTTTTACAGTACTAATAATATTGTGCACTATTATGCACTTTTTTTTAATTTGGCGTTCACTTGGTGTGCGATTCTTTTTTCTACGAGATTTTATTCTATTTTTAAAACTTTAAGTATTTAAAATGGATTAAAAATCATGTCTATAGCCCGAGTTCCCATCCCATGTTGTTGTATAAAAAAATATTCGAGAAAGTTTAGGGGAGATCACTCAGAACAATAAACATTTTTCCAGTTGCATAATAAAAAATTTGTTTCTACATTTAAATATGCCTTGATTTTTATTTTCTGTGTCTAAATATAATTTCGATTATACATTTAAAACATCCACCATATTATTTTCAACTAAAGTCCGTATCTTTAAGTTCTCCATAAATCGCTGAACATACTGATCATATAACCTCAAAAATGTTGCTGCCAGAGGAGGGAGAGAAGTGCGCACATGGGCTTCCGTATATTAGGGTAGATCTAAATGTGAATAATTTTAATAATTTGATTAGCTTCGCCTATACTGAATTCTTTAACTGTCTCTTGGCTACCCCATCCCACGGTGTATTCCATCACCTGGTTTGGATTTAGCGACGACGGAGAGAGAAAACTCTCTATACGATGAACCTAGTGTATAGCCTGGCCGGCATTGTGTAGACACCTACTGCGGTGGCCAGGACAATATGGAGGCAGGTAAAGGGAGGACACGACTTCGTGTGTGACACCTAATGAATGATTGTTGGGGTGGGGTGGGGTGGGGTGGGGTGAGACTCGTAGCTACCCCATGACACCTCACCTAGTGACGTCATTACCGGGATACACAACTGATCTAATGCCAGTTTTTCGGATTATCGCTTTCTTACTTTACTTTATATATATATATATATATATATATATATATATATATATATATATATATATATATATATATATATATATGCTGAGATGGGTTTAACAGAGAGCTGTTGAGGGGAGTTTAACAGAGAGATGGTGAGGTAAATTTAACAGAGAGATGTTGAGGTAAATTTAACAGAGAGCTGTTGAGGTGGGTTTAACAGAGAGCTGTTGAGGTGAGTTTAACAGAGAGCTGTTGAGGTGGGTTTAACAGAGAGCTGTTGAGGTGGGTTTAACAGAGAGCTGTTGAGGTGAGTTTAACAGAAAGCTGTTGAGGTAAGTTTAACAGAGAGCTGTTGAGGTGAGTTTAACAGAAAGCTGTTGAGGTAAGTTTAACAGAGAGCTGTTGAGAAGGATAAGGCAGAGTTCCTTGGCAGTAAAAACAAGAAGTGGGAAATGGCGCTGAGTGGGGGGGGGGGAACGACATTGTGAAATTTCACTTGAATCTGACCCTCCAGTATACATGTGGGACCCCCAGGGAATGTGAAAGTCAGGGTGCCAAAGAAAGACGGAGCAAAGTTTTCTCGAAGAGCTGAAGACAGCAGGGACCCAATATGGTTGGGTACTCTGTTCCACAAGGAATAAAGACGCTTACGTCAAGTAAGTGAATTTTGGGGAAACTTTTAAATTCGTTTTCAGCTTGAGTGAAAGTCAAAACATCACAGTTTTTACTCATATTTTCAGTGTAGTTCGCTTAGAAAAAAAATATCATATTATGACAAAAACAAATAAGGAACCAACCAATGCGAGAGTTTGAAATTTGTTTCAATTTATTTAGACACGCAATTCTACTTGGATATATTCCATGAGTTAAGTAAACCATGTGCCGGAGAGAGAAATAACTCACGACTGTACAAACAAACAAACAAACAAACAAACATTTCCTTGTCACGTCTGCATTAGCCAGATTTTTAAACCTTTTTTTCTCCAGAACTGTCGTTGTTTCCAGAGTAGAGTCTGGACTCAGCTCTTACAAAATGTATTTCTGCATGATCCTGTCGACATCTTCCAAACCTCCCTCGGTCCACTCCTGGCGGTTGCCGAATGCGATGTCAGGGGTGACGATGTACACCTTGTCAATCAAAGAAGGATGCTGGAGCGACTGTCTGGCGTCCTCGAAGTGGAACCCAGCTCTCCAGACCGTGACGCCGCCGACGTGTGGTGGCACGGTCCAGAATCTCGCCACAGAACTGATGGGGTTGATCAGGGACCTGGACTGCAGCTTGAAGATTTCGAACAGCTTGTCCACGATGGCTGACTTGAGATCCTCGGAGACCTGGAGGGTGCCGTTAAGAGAACCTTGTGTTGGGCTGCCTAGGTTGAGTCTCTCCAGCTGTCTAACTTCTTCCCCGGAGTTGAGCGTGGCCAGGAGAAGGTTCTGGTTGTTGGACTTGCCCAAGGCTTGGAGTGACCCAAGGACGGTGTCGGTGAACTTGATGTTGGTCATTTTGGGGAAGTCGGTGCCAGACCAGAAGTCGACGTTGAAGCTCATGACCACCCGGTGCTCTGGGACTGGTCTGACGGCGTTCAGGGCCATTCTCTGGGTCCAGCCCCTGGGGGACAGATTTATAAACGTGCAGGTGAACTGTGGTGTTACACCCTCTATATACATGTGTATGTGTGTGTGTGTGTCTGCCTGTGAGTGTGTCATTGGGTATGCCAGTTTGTGTCTGTGTATTTCAGTGTGTGAGTCTATGTATGCCTGTGTGTGTATGCCTGTGTGTATACTTGTGTGTGTCTGTGTATTTCAGTGTGTATGTCTGTGTATGCCTGTGTGTATGCCTGTGTGTATATCTGTGTGTGTCTGTGTATTTCTTTGTGTGTGTCTGTGTATTTCTTTGTGTGTGTCTGTGTGTGTCTGTGTGTGTCCGGGTGTGTAAGTGTGTGTGTGTGTCTGTGTTTGCCTGTGTGTGTGTATGTGTGTGCCTATGTGTAAGTGTGTGTGTGTCTGTGTATGCCTGTGTGTGTGACACCACAATAAAACCAGAAAGTCTCACTTTGTTCCAGACCATTGCAGATGATCCAGAGAATCTTTGGGAATTGCCAGGATGACCTGCTTGGCACAAAGGAATTCTTCTGGGCCCTGTGGGTGTACGTAAACATTACATCACACAACGAATGGCTTTACATCGGTGCCACTGTAAACATTACATCACACAACGAATGGCTTTACATCGGTGCCACAGTAAACATAACATCACACAACGAATGGCTTTATATCGTTGTCACAGTAAACATCACATCACACAACGAATGGCTTTATATCGTTGTCACAGTAAACATCACATCACACAACGAATGGCTTTATATCGTTGTCACAGTAAACATCACATCACACAACGAATGGCTTTATATCGTTGTCACAGTAAACATCACATCACACAACGAATGGCTTGACATCGGTGCCACAGTAAACATTACATCACACAACGGATGGCTTTACATTGGTGTCACATTTCTACAAGGCTAGCAGACATGTACAAGGCTAACAGACATGTATTAACACACCACTCACCAGCTCAATAATTCTGCCATCCACAGTCTTGGTCTCCTTGAGTTTCAGGATGTAGGTCATGTTCTGGAATCGCTGGATGGCCTCGAGTTTACGGTTGAAGGTCACCTTGTTGCTGAGACAAGAGAGTAAGTATAACACAACTGCAACATTCAACTCTAACCCAACTATTAACATCAGTGTGAGTATAACACAACTGCAGCATTCAACCCTAACCCAAAACTATTAACATCAGTGTAACCTTATCTCACAGCTAGCCTTAGAAACATGTAACTATATTCTAATCGCTTGACTTTATACCCCCCAGCAAGACCGATTACACATGCAATTGCATTCTAGTCATATGGCTTTATATTCCACCAAGCCTTATATAACATGTAACTATATTCTAATCGCTTGACTTTATACCCCCCAGCAAGACCGATCACACATGCAACTACATTCTAGTCATATGGCTTTATATTCCACCAAGCCTTATATAACATGTAACTATATTCTTATCGCTTGACTTGATACACAGCATATTCTAATCGTGTGACTTTATATCACAATAAACCTGACTTAACATTTGACTGTATATTACCTTGAGCTAGCCATAGTGAACTTCTCGATGAGTTTCTTAGGGATGGAGTCCATTCCCTCTCTGACTTTGTACAGGGTGGTGTTAGCGCTGGCAAAAACAAGAACATACACATTTATGTACTAGAACATACACATTTATGTACAAGAACATACACATTTATGGAACAAGTATGTACACATGCATGTACAAATACATATACATTCATTGGCCAGATGAAGTAGAGTTCATATGTTTCTTGATCTGGGCATATGAAGGGAAGGTGTGGTCAGACCACTTTTACTTTCCCTGGGTGGACTCAGGGACGTTCTACTGACTTGAACTCAGATTCGAGACATTCGTGTTAGCAGCCTAGCGCTCTACCGCTAGACCACGCCGTCCCATGAAAAGTTTAGCAGATTAGTTTTAATCAGCAAACACATCTGGCACTTGCCTGTGCGAAGTCTACTTCTACTTCGTTGATTTTGTTTTTATAAAATTCTGAATTTTGTGCAAACTTCACGTCTGCTAAAGCAAATTTCCCGTCTGCTAAAGAAAATTCATGTCTATTAAAGCAGAATTCACGTCTGCTAAAGCAGAATTCACGTCTGCTAAAGCAGAATTCCCTTCTGCTAAAGCAGGAATCACATCTGCTAAAGCAGAATTACATCTGCTAAAGCGAAATTCCCGTCTGCTGAAGCAGATTTCCCGTCTGCTAGTATGAGCACTCACTTGTTGTAGTCCATCTCGTCACCGAAAACCAAGAGGGCGCTGGCGTCCTTGTAGATGGCGTAGCGGGACTTGACGATGGCCTTGAAGAATTCCTTGCCGCCAGGGCTAGCCACAAGGTCAAGGGCCTCATCGATCCTGCAAGAAACAAATCGCAATATTAGCTCCACCGTTTCATGTAACAAACCTAACATTAGCTGTACGATTCCATGTATACAAGTGTACACTAGTATCGCCCATATATCCTTGTCGATATACATCCATGGAGTTGCTGTAAACTTATAAGGGGTTTAAGTATCGAGAAGGTTATTTCTGAGGTATCGATTACTTGAAATCAACCAGACGAAACTTATAAGGGTTTTAAGTATCGAGGAGGTTATTTCTGAGGTATCGATTACCTGAAATCAACCAGACGACTCTAGGGCAATCTCCATCTCCTATAATTATTATCATATTTAAAAAAAAAAAACTATAAGGGTGTTACTTTCAAAAGACACATTTCTTTTCATTCATTTTAAAAGTAACTAAACTCCCCAAACTAAATGACGTGGCGTTATCGATATAATTTTGTCCGTATTTGGAAACAGCCAACGCCGAAACATACTGCGGTTAATGTGATTAGCTGAATCAGTTACGACAGTTATGACATTTATGATAGTTATGACAGTTATGACAGGTATGACAGTTCTGACAGTTCTGACAGTTTTGACAGTTCTGACAGTTCTGATGCTGAAACAAAGTCGTCTGCTACTTACCTGTGCTCATAGAGCCGTTTGTTGGTCTTGATAACCTTCAGGAGAAGACGCTGTTCTCTGGGCATCAGGGGCTGAAGGTCAAGGCCAGTCAGTTTCTTGAAGTAGAATCTGGGGGGAGGGGGGGGGGGCAATTCCACAAGATATTAATTTTTGGGGGAGGGGGGGGGGGGCACATTACCACAAGATATTAACATCTGGGGGAGGGGGGGCACATTACCACAAGATATTAATATCTATGGGACACATTATAAAACAGGGACGGGAAATATAAAGTTAGCTTGAATCAATTGTTTAAAAATGTATAGAGCTATTCGGTCTCAAATGGAATGATCTGTTAATGAAATTATAAAACAAGCAAGTCTAGAGCATAAATTTATGCTGAATAGCCCATCTTTTTTACATGTGTAATTTGGGTCTAGGATATTACCCCTCCCCCGTCCTTCCGTCCGTCGTTAAATCAAGTAATCCATTGACATTACACCCCCCCCCCGACATACCCCCCCCCCCCCAGCTTTATTACCACCCTGTCAAATACATCTCCCTATCCTGAAAACTCTTAGCCTAACCCTAGCCTCAAACACCAACCACAAACAAACAGCTAACCCAACCCATCATCAGTTCTTACACAGACTCTAAACCAACATCTAACCCTTACCCTAAACCTAAACTTAACCTAACTCTAACCCTATCGCTAAATTGGAGGAGGGAGAGGGTGTACTAGACAATGATGGGGGGGGGGGGGGGTAATGTCCTGCTCCCGTGAGATTGAGAGTAAATTACTTGACGATGAGGAGTGGGGGGGGGGGGGTAATGTCCTGCTCCCGTGAGATTGAGTGTAAATTACTTGACGATGATGGGGGGGGTAATGTCCTGCTCCCGTGAGATTGAGTGTAAATTACTTGACGATGATGGGGGGGGGGGGTAATGTCCTGCTCCCGTGAGATTGAGTGTAAATTACTTGACGATGATGGGGGGGGGGGGGGGGGGGTAATGCCCTGCTCCCGTGAGATTGAGAGTAAATTACTTGACGATGTTCCCTTGGTTCTGTTTCTCCTCGGGGGTCAGGTCATAAGGGAGTGTAACTGAGTTGCTCTCAATGTCCTCCTGTCGGTAGTGCTGTCCCTTCAGGTAAAATCTTTCCTTGTTGGCCCAGCCCTCGGGGAAAACCTCCTGGGTCAGACCTACAGACAAGATGGAATTTTCACACGTTACCAGCGGTGGTCATTTCACACGTTACCAGAGGTGGTCATTTCACACGTTACCAGAGCTGGTCATTTCACACGTTACCAGAGCTGGTCATTTCACACGTTACCAGAGGTGGTCATTTCACACGTTACCAGAGCTGGTCATTTCACACGTTACCAGAGGTGGTCATTTCACCCTTTACCAGAGCTGGTCATTTCACACGTTACCAGAGCTGGTCATTTCACACGTTACCAGAGCTGGTCATTTCACACGTTACCAGCGGTGGTCATTTCACACGTTACCAGCGGTGGTCTTTTGTCTGGCTAGTTCTTAAGGAAGTTACACACAAAACATTATTTCACAAACAATCGCCTATAGGATAACAGTCAATTATTTTTCAAAACACTTTGTTTTATTTATGTAAACTTTCTCGCCACTGTCAGAAAGATAGGCAAAGAAATAACCAACACTGAAGAAAGTTCTACGCGTAATTTAATCATCTCATGATTAGGGAATCTAGGGACTCTATTTTTGACAGGGGTATACGCATAAACGCTTACTGAGTGGATAAATAATGAAATTTGATTTAACTAATTTTATTGGGTACTCTATTAAAGCAGAGTATGCTCAGTGGCTCAGTAATATTAAGAAATGTGAATTATTTAATTTCCTTAGTTTTCACCACTGTGTGAACACCATTACTTATTTTCTGCAAGTGTTTACATCGCCCAACCAGTATTTGAACCTAGGCCTTCTGAGTCCAATGCTCTATCTCTACCCTCTGTCCTATGACCTATCTATGACCTTACCCAGCTCGCTGACCAGCCTTTGCATGATGGGGTGGATGTCGGCGTACATCCTCTGACCTATGACCTATGACCTATGACCTATCTATGACCTTACCCAGCTCGCTAACCAGTCTCTGCATTATGGGGTGGATGTCGGCGTACATCCTCTGACCTATGACCTATGACCTATCTATGACCTTACCCAGCTCGCTAACCAGTCTCTGCATTATGGGGTGGATGTCGGCGTACATCCTCTGACCGAGCTCGACTGGGATGCTGGGCACGTCGGGCAGGTAGACGGTCTGGTGGCGACCTCCCGCGACGTCCTTGAGCTCAACGACCTCGACCTTGAGCTGCTGGTCCTTGAGCTTGTAGGCGGCGTAGGCTCCAGTGGTGCCGGCACCAATGACGGCCACATCGACAGTACGCTGGCACTGGTCTGGTGAGTGGACGTCAACTTTTGGTCAACTTTTGGTCAAGTCAACACATCAGCTTTTGGTTAACTTTTGGTCAACTTTTGGTCAACTTTTGGTCAACTTTTGGTCAACTTTTGGTCAACTTTTGGTCAAGTCAACATCAGCTTTCAGTCAATTTTTGGTCAACTTTTGGTCAAATTTCTCTCAACTTTTGGTCGTCTATCAACTTTTGCCCAAGTCAACATCAGCTTTCAGTCAACTTTTGGTCAACGTTTGGTCAACTTTTGGTCGGGTTAATACATGTTAATTTTCGGTTAACTTTTGGTCAACTTCCGGTTAACTCTAGCTCCAGTCAATACATGTCAACGTTTGGTTAAACTTAACATTTTCAATGTACTAGCGTGGGGGGGGGGGGTGTGACACAATGTTCATCAGATACACACAGTTCGATACACCGGAATGGTACTGTTAGCTGTAGCAAATCTACTGTACCAGACATAAACCTAGTGGCCCCCACCTGTTAGCTGTAGCAAATCTACTGTACCAGACATAAACCTAGTGGCTACCACCTGTTAGCTGTAGCAAATCTACTGTACCAGACATAAACCTAGTGGCCCCACCTGTTAGCTGTAGCAAATCTACTGTACCAGACATAAACCTAGTGGCTACCACCTGTTAGCTGTAGCAAATCTACTGTACCAGACATAAACCTAGTGGCCCCACCTGTTAGCTGTAGCAAATCTACTGTACCAGACATAAACCTAGTGGGTCCCACCTGTCTGTTAGCTGTGCAAATCTACTGTACCAGACATAAACCTAGTGGCCCCACCTGTCTGTTAGCTGTAGCAAATCTACTGTACCAGACATAAACCTAGTGGGTCCCACCTGTTAGCTGTAACAAATCTACTGTACCAGACATAAACCTAGTGGGTCCCACCTGTTAGCTGTAACAAATCTACTGTACCAGACATAAACCTAGTGGCTACCACCTGTTAGCTGTAGAAAATCTACTGTACCAGACATAAACCTAGTGGGTCCCACCTGTTAGCTGTAGCAAATCTACTGTACCAGACATAAACCTAGTGGCCCCCACCTGTTAGCTGTAGCAAATCTACTGTACCAGACATAAACCTAGTGGCTACCACCTGTTAGCTGTAACAAATCTACTGTACCAGACATAAACCTAGTGGGTCCCACCTGTTAGCTGTAACAAATCTACTGTACCAGACATAAACCTAGTGGGTCCCACCTGTTAGCTGTAACAAATCTACTGTACCAGACATAAACCTAGTGGGTCCCACCTGTTAGCTGTAGCAAATCTACTGTACCAGACATAAACCTAGTGGCTACCACCTGTTAGCTGTAGCAAATCTACTGTACCAGACATAAACCTAGTGGGTCCCACCTGTTAGCTGTAACAAATCTACTGTACCAGACATAAACCTAGTGGGTCCCACCTGTTAGCTGTAACAAATCTACTGTACCAGACATAAACCTAGTGGGTCCCACCTGTTAGCTGTAGCAAATCTACTGTACCAGACATAAACCTAGTGGGTCCCACCTGTTAGCTGTAACAAATCTACTGTACCAGACATAAACCTAGTGGGTCCCACCTGTTAGCTGTAACAAATCTACTGTACCAGACATAAACCTAGTGGGTCCCACCTGTTAGCTGTAGCAAATCTACTGTACCAGACATAAAACTAGTGGGTCCCACCTGTTAGCTGTAACAAATCTACTGTACCAGACATAAACCTAGTGGGTCCCACCTGTTAGCTGTAGCAAATCTACTGTACCAGACATAAACCTAGTGGCTACCACCTGTTAGCTGTAGCAAATCTACTGTACCAGACATAAACCTAGTGGCCCCCACCTGTTAGCTGTAACAAATCTACTGTACCAGACATAAACCTAGTGGGTCCCACCTGTTAGCTGTAGCAAATCTACTGTTCCAGACATAAACCTAGTGGGTCCCACCTGTTAGCTGTAGCAAATCTACTGTACCAGACATAAACCTAGTGGCCCCCACCTGTTAGCTGTAGCAAATCTACTGTACCAGACATAAACCTAGTGGCTACCACCTGTTAGCTGTAGCAAATCTACTGTACCAGACATAAACCTAGTGGGTCCCACCTGTTAGCTGTAGCAAATCTACTGTTCCAGACATAAACCTAGTGGGTCCCACCTGTTAGCTGTAACAAATCTACTGTACCAGACATAAACCTAGTGGCCCCCACCTGTTAGCTGTAGCAAATCTACTGTACCAGACATAAACCTAGTGGGTCCCACCTGTTAGCTGTAGCAAATCTACTGTACCAGACATAAACCTAGTGGGTCCCACCTGTTAGCTGTAACAAATCTACTGTACCAGACATAAACCTAGTGGCCCCACCTGTTAGCTGTAGCAAATCTACTGTACCAGACATAAACCTAGTGGCCCCCACCTGTTAGCTGTAGCAAATCTACTGTACCAGACATAAAACTAGTGGGTCCCACCTGTTAGCTGTAACAAATCTACTGTACCAGACATAAACCTAGTGGGTCCCACCTGTTAGCTGTAGCAAATCTACTGTACCAGACATAAACCTAGTGGCTACCACCTGTTAGCTGTAGCAAATCTACTGTACCAGACATAAACCTAGTGGCCCCACCTGTTAGCTGTAGCAAATCTACTGTACCAGACATAAACCTAGTGGGTCCCACCTGTTAGCTGTAGCAAATCTACTGTACCAGACATAAACCTAGTGGGTCCCACCTGTTAGCTGTAACAAATCTACTGTACCAGACATAAACCTAGTGGGTCCCACCTGTTAGCTGTAGCAAATCTACTGTACCAGACATAAACCTAGTGGCTACCACCTGTTAGCTGTAGCAAATCTACTGTACCAGACATAAACCTAGTGGCCCCCACCTGTTAGCTGTAACAAATCTACTGTACCAGACATAAACCTAGTGGGTCCCACCTGTTAGCTGTAGCAAATCTACTGTACCAGACATAAACCTAGTGGCCCCCACCTGTTAGCTGTAACAAATCTACTGTACCAGACATAAACCTAGTGGGTCCCACCTGTTAGCTGTAGCAAATCTACTGTACCAGACATAAACCTAGTGGGTCCCACCTGTTAGCTGTAGCAAATCTACTGTACCAGACATAAACCTAGTGGCCCCACCTGTTAGCTGTAGCAAATCTACTGTACCAGACATAAACCTAGTGGCCCCCACCTGTTAGCTGTAGCAAATCTACTGTACCAGACATAAAACTAGTGGGTCCCACCTGTTAGCTGTAGCAAATCTACTGTACCAGACATAAACCTAGTGGCCCCCACCTGTCCAAGCGGCTAAAGACCAGCACCTACCTGTGATTCTCCTGGATGGGTTTTCTGACTCCTGCCCTAGGGCCAGGGCGAAAAGGCAGAGAAAAGCGACGTAGATCATCTGCGACAGGAAAAAACAAACGATGAAGATTTTTGTAATGAAATATATTCATTACTTTTTAAAGAGGCTTTTTGTTATTTTGTTCAGCCCATCGATAACTAAATACTACGGGTTTTAGTCCAGCTGTTGTTGATTGGTTTAGGAGGGCTTTGTGTGGTAAGTGAAGTTAATGTAGAGTTTAAAAAAAAAGTAAAAGCCTGGGTCTATCTTTAGGGCAGTACTAGGTCGTTACCAACCGTAGACTTCGAAGGCAACTGGCACTTTTAGCACCTATTGCAGGTAGCTTTGTCTGTACCTGTCGCAGGTAACCCTGTCTCTACCTGTCGCAGGTAATCCTGTCAGCTGTCGCAGATAGACCTATACATGGGTTAGATCTGAACTTGTATCATCTACTTCTAGACCGAAGACGTCAATGTCAACTAGTCTCAGAAACACTTTCTATAAATCAACTCTGTTCATTAACTAAAAGACGTCCATATAATGAAATCTCTGAAACACTTTCTACAGAAAACTCACAACTTTATCTCATAAGCCGGCAATACCTAATAGTCTCCTCCGACTACATATTCTAAAAACTTGGACCTTTATTTCAAATTCAACCGCGAACATACTTTCAATATGTGACAATGATACAATCTGTCAATGGTAAAATTCTTTCATAGCTTTCTAATTCGAGTCATTTTGTTCAAGCTTTCAAAAGATTACATCTGACGCTGTAGACGTACTAAGTTCAACTATGATCGTATTATTAAGACAATACAAGTGTTTTGTTTCAAGTGTGATCGAGATGTTTCGGTTACTGCACGATTTTGTTGTGTTGAGAACAAGCAGTTTAAATGTAGAGCCTCTTCTTCTTCTTCGTTCTTAATTTTTAAAGTTGGAAGGGATTTCCTCCAACAAAATTAAGTATTACGTGTCAAATTGTTATGTGCCAAATAAGAAGTTAATTTCGATTTCAGCCTGCTTTTCTGTATAGATTTGTTTTCCCTAGGCTTTGTTTAATGAGGAACAAAGTATAGAGCAGCAGCAGGTTTACCGACTCGACCACGCCGACCCCTGAATGTAGAGCGGAACCTGGGGATCTCTAGGACACGAGCACCTAGCTAGTATTTTCTGTTGGGGGAAAACCTGGGTAACACCTGGGTAACACCTGGGTAACACCTGGGTAACACCTGGGTTATTCTCGACAAAAAACCTAGTAGGCAATCGGCTGCACTTTACACAGGTATTCTTGTCAATACTAGTCGCAGGTATACCTGTTAATACATGTCGCAGGATTTTCTTTTAATACCTGTCGCAGGTAGCCCTGTTAATAACTGTCACAGTTAGACCTATACTCCGGTTAGATCTGAACTTCTATCATCTACTTCTAGACCTATGACGTCCTATATATCAACTGTTCATTAACTAAAAGACGTCCATATAATGAAATCTCTGAGACACTTTCTACAGAAAACTCACAACATTATCTCATAAGCCGGCAATGCCTAATAATCACCTCCGACTACATATTCTACAAACTTCGACCTTTATTTCCTCTAGACTTTGCTCAACAAAAACTCCGACACAACAAATGAACAAACCGCACATGCAAGCACGTGCTAAACAAAGTACTCACGTTTATCCCTGCAGATGGTCAAGCCGCAAAGTCGAACATGGCCTGACGGTCAGAACAGGGGGCTTTTATAGTCTGATGGCCACGAGAGTTAATTAATTAAACTGCAGTAAACTTCTGCTTAGTAAAGACAACACCATCATAGAGAGTACCATCTATTCGGCGGTCGGTTAATGACATCAACAACATGATCGGTGTATCGTAAGCTTGAAAAGTTTTTGCTCGTGGGGTCGGTTGGTGAGTTGTACAGCTAATGTTACAACATTTCTCAATCAGCACACTGTATTCAATACTCCACAGACGGGTGGGGTTTGAATGTTTCTAGACGTCCCAAAGTCTCTACATCACGTGACGACCCCACCCCCCACCCCCCACTCCCCCGTCAATTAACCGGAGACTGCCATGTATCCAGACACACTTAAGGCAACATAAAAAACTGCAATGCAGCAGATATCTGACTAAAGTACTCACCACCCCCCCCCCCGTGAAGATCAATGGCCCAAACATGGGCTTTACCGTGGCTAATTAACATGGGCTTTACTGCAACTAATTAACTTAGTAACGTCTGGAGATAATTTAGTGTCTTGTTTACAACATTTCGTCAGGCGGGTCATTCAGTTTGACCCTCGTTTAACTCTGTCTAACACTCAATTAACTCTTTAGCTCTGAGACTTTTTAAACTCCGTTTAAAGCCTTTCTTAATATTTGGTCGTTCATCCACTTTTTTTTTCAATTTTGCTTAATTAAGTACTTATAGTTTTAAAGTTTATATTTGTATATATATATATATATATATATATATACATATATATATATATATATATATATATATATATATATATATATATATATATATATATATATATAGTGAAAATTACAATAAATTGAGAATAACACTTTTATTCCGAGTCACCCACCCTCTTCCATTTTCGCCCCCCCCCCTCTTCCCGACGATCGATTTACACATTTAAGAATTAAGCCTCATCGTTTAACATCCGACGATGAGAGTTTGTAGATCAGCGGTTCTAAATATTTTTTAAGGTACCCAACTCCAACAGCTTAATATGGGAATTCGCCGAACCCTCTAATATGAAAAAAACAAAATTCGATTTTTTTTCAAATTCAAAACATTGGTATATTTTACTTGTGTACTTCATATATACTAGAGTACATGCTCAGAGAAAAAAAAATACAAATATGAAAGTGTACAATGAAATACTTTATCATATTCCCAAGCTGGTAGAGTGCCCTTAAAGTTTAAGTAAAATTTTGGTTTTTAGCAGACAAAATAATCTATTGTTCATTTGTGTATTAAATATCATATCCTCGAATTGAATGATATGTCAATAAAATTATTGAAAATGAGGGCTATATGGTTGGAACCTAATAGAAAGTAGATATTACTTTAAAACTATACTCGACATAAAGCAATATAAGGATTTAAACTTTGAAATGGACTGCTCTGGTTGTGGCTAATTATCTCTAACTGGACGCTGTGCTTTAATTAAAAACTAATTATTTATGTAATTTACAAAAATAAAGCTTAGCCTGCATTTCGGGCTGCCTAAAAAAATGTGAATTTTTACATTCCTTTAATCCAACGATCAGTGTTTCTTCCAGAATTTTTTCTCCGGGGGGGGGGGGGGGCACTTGAAATTTTCGGGGGGGGGGGGGGGGGCGGTAGACTTTCTTCGGGGGCTGCCTAAAAAAATTTGAATTTTTACATTCCTTTAATGTTAAGAGTATATATTCTCTATATAAATTATATACATTTCATTTAGTTCGGGGGGGGGGGGAGGGGGGGTAGAATTTTTTCGGTTTCAGACTAGGATTTTTCAACATGGCTTTGTAAATCATTCAGTTAGTAAGGTGACTCCCGTCCAGTTTCGTTATACAAGAGAATCCATATTTTACTTATTCGTCCGACCACTTTTGTTTTATTTTATTTTGGCTCGATAGGTCTATAGTATGATGGGATCAAAATATTAAGGAAGAAAGAACACAACATACTATCACAACAATCACTACTGTGGCACGATATCGAAATAATACTTTTTATTTCTATATCGTAGCACAGTAGTGATTGTATGGACCCTATCAACGCGCGCCTGTATATGTGACGTTGACACGATTCATGACATACGTGTATTTTGACGTCAAGGTTTCCACGTTATAGAAACATCATGTTATTGAAATGTGTTATCTCGCTCCGGCGCACTTTAAGACTGTCCTGCTGTCCTGTTTAACTGTCGTGTTTAACTGTCGTGTTTAACTGTCATAGTTCGCCAAACCCTTGAGACTGAAGAATCGAGCCACTGGGGTTCAGTCGAACCCAGGTTAAGAACCTCTGATGAGCTTCAATAGATCCAACAATCTTTCTTTTGTAGACATAGCAGAGCCTCGTTACTCTTATATTTTTGTATCGCTCAACCATTGGATTAAAAAAGACAATCTATCAGCCCTGCGTACCCTAAAAAAACATTAAACGACCCATGTACACATTCCCCCCCCCCCCCCCACCCCACCCCTTCGTCCCAAACTGGCAAGTTTGAAAAGCATCGGTGACGTGATGCTGCTGAAACAAAACCGGATATGTGCAATATATATGTATATATATATATATATATATATATATATATATATATATATATATATATATATATATATATATATATATATATATGTGTGTGTGTGTGTGTGTGTTATATATATAATATTATATATATATATATAACAGATATTCAATGCTAAGAAAGAATGGTATGCAGATACATTGATAAATAAACACACGGCTACCTGCTGAGATGCAGGGTGTCACGTGTGGAGGGAATGATTAAAGTAAAGATTTTCTCTAAATATATAAAAATACACTACTATTTAAATAACAATAAAGAAATGCATGGGTCTCTTCCTAAATATTAGTAAAGGTATCAAATAGATAATAAAGGGACCCACGCTTTTCTATATAGTTATTTAAATAGAAGTGTATTATTATAGATTTAAAGAAAATCATTTATTTTCTCCATTTATTTCATTATTACATAAAAGCTTATTTTTGTATGAAGTTTTTAAACATCTTTTATTTAACTTGCTTCTCTATCTGTCGTGCGAGCGAAATTTTGAGCACTTCCAACTTACAGATACGTTTCAAAGTTGGCACGTGGGTCAAGACAATGCAATATGATAATTTGACCAAATTGGATGCCGCTTTAATTTTTATGAATTAATTACAATTTTATGAAATTAGTAGGCTGCCTCTTTTCGCACAATTATACGCGCATTATCACGTTCATTTGGTGCGCGTTTTTTTTTAGTTATGCAACTCTACCGTATTGAAATTTTAGAAGTACGGAATTTTTTTTTCAAAATAAATGTTTTAATGACAACCTTTATATAATAATGCAATAAAAAGAAGAAAAGGAAAGATTTTTATTAAATGCTAAATAATTAAGAAAATAAATTAAGAAAAGCGTTGGTCTATTCCTAAATATTAGCGAAGGTATCCAATAGGTATCCCACGCTTTTCTTTAAAGGTATTTAAATAGTGGTGCATTGTTATATATTTAATAACAATAATTTATTTTCTCATTTTAGTACATTATTATTTAAAAGCTTGTTATTAAAACGTTTTTCTGAATTTCAAAGGTAATTAGCCGAAAAAGAATGCACTTTTAATTAGTAAACTTTTCAATCGAAATCTCTAGTGTTGTCTTATGCCTGATTGGACGCCATGTTTGCTTTGTAGAGACATATTTTCTCTAATGTTGAAAAATAAGCAATACTTCGCCAGTTGTGTAATTAAATGTGTTTTTATGATCGAATATACCTTTATTTTTTTTTCTTTCTTTTAATAGAAATTACGTTTTTACATTCTGTATAATCAGCATTATTCTAAATAAACTTACGTATCTTTAAGTTCTACACATAGGCTATTGCTAAAGATTCTGATCTGACAAACAGAGAGAAAGAGAGAGAGCGAGAGCGAGAGAGAGAGACAGTAGTGTGCCCAATGGGTTTTTATACACCGTGTTGTGACATTGCAATAAGCCATACGTACAACGTTCAACAATAAAATAAAATTGACGACAACGCATAAAATAAATTTAAACAAAATCTTTACTTCCATACATCCAATGGCAGACAGAGACAAGTTTTTTTTAAAAATAAAACTTGACTAACAAACGAATTTTATTTTTTCCGATAAGATATTCTATCTTTGTTTATTAGCTTTGCCTTCCTGCCATAAGTCTTCAGCAGACCCCCTGCAGATCCCCTGCAGATCCCCAGCAGATCCCCAGCAGATCCCCATCTAAAAATATTTCTCCAGGATTTTGTCCACCTCCTCCATGCCGCCCTCGGTCCAGCCGTTGTACTTAGACAGGTCGGGGTTGGCCACGTACACCTTGTCTGTCAGCGACGGATGACGTGTGATGGACAGTACGTCATCCACGTCGTATCCAGCTCTCCACACGGTATTTTTCCCGATGTGGGGTGGGCTGATCCAGAACTTGGCCACTCCGGACAGAGGTTCGGGTATACTGCTGATCTTGTGGACGGCCATCAGCTCCTTCTTGATGCGCTCCCAGAGCGGTTGGCTGACACGGTACTCTCCCAGAGCGGAGCCTGGAATGGCAGGTCCCTGCAGGTTGAGCCTCAGGAGTTCTTGCACGTCCTCACCCTCAGCCTGGCTGGCCATCAGCAGGTACTTGTCGGAGGAGTTGGATTTGCCCAGGTCGTAGGTTTGGCCCAGGATGGTGTCGGTCAGCTTGACCTTGTTCTCCTCATTTTGGGGGTCAACTAGCCAGAAGGGGGAGTTGAAGGTCAAGACGACCTTGGAGAGAGGGACAGGCTTGACCGCGTTCAAAGCTTCGACAACCTTCCATTTCCTGTGACAGGGACAAAAGTATTTTGTAGTAACTTTCTCATTTAGAAACTACCATCATAAGACGGTCACTCAACGTTAGGATTTCTAGTCTCAGAATGTTTAGATGGGTGTTGCATGAACAAAATCAACAAAAACCTACTTCATGTTTGCCCGCTATAAGATCAACAAAAACCTACTTCATGTTTGCCCACTGAAGATGATCCAGAGAGTGTCTTGGCAGAGCCAGAATAATTTTTTCTGCGCAGATGTGTTCCTCGGGTCCCTGTGTGAGTAGTGTACCATAAATAAACTCGTTTTAACTTCAGTATAGGCATAGACAGTATTGCTTTTAGATTTTATTATAGAACCCAACAGATGAGACACCAATAACAAGCCCCACACTGTGGAAAAGTCACAACTTTTGATGGATGACAACTGTATCAACTGACCAAATGTTTGACGTGAACAGTTCACTCACCAAAAGCCGGACTAGACTAGATCACTCACCAAAAGTTAACCAGTACCCATCACTCACCAAAAGTTAACTAGTCCCCGTCACTCACCACAAGTTAACCAGTCCCCCATCACTTACCAAAAGTTAACCAGTCCCCAATCACTCACCAAAAGTTAACCAGTACCCAACACTCACCCAAAGTTAACCAGTCCCCATCACTGACCAAAAGTTAACCAGTACCATCACTCACCAAAAGTTAACCAGTCCCCATCACTCACCAAAAGTTAACCAGTCCCCATCACCAAAAGTTAACCAGTCCCCATCACCAAAAGTTAACTAGTCCCCGTCACTCACCAAAAGTTAACCAGTCCCCGTCACTCACCAAAAGTTAACCAGTCCCCATCAATCACCCAAAGTTAACCAGTCCCCATCACCAAAAGTTAACCAGTCCCCATCACCAAAAGTTAACTAGTCCCCGTCACTCACCAAAAGTTAACCAGTCCCCCATCACTCACCAAAAATTAACCAGTCCACATCACAGACCAAAAGTTAACCAGTCCCCAATCACTCACCAAAAGTTAACCAGTCCCCAATCACTCACCAAACGTTAACCAGCCCACATCACTCACCCAAAGTTAACCAGTCTCCAATCACTCACCAAAAGTTAACCAGTCCCCATCACCAAAAGTTAACCAGTCCCCATCACCAAAAGTTAACCAGTCCCCATCACTCACCAAAAGTTAACCAGTCCCCATCACCAAAAGTTAACCAGTCCCCGTCACTCACCAAAAGTTAACCAGTCCCCCATCACTCACCAAAAGGTAACCAGTCCCCAATCACTCACCAAAAGTTAACCAGTCCCCATCACTCACCAAAAGTTAACCAGTCCCCATCACTCACCAAAAGTTAACCAGTCCCCAATCACTTACCAAAAGTTAACCAGTCCACATCACTCACCAAAAGTTAACCAGTCCCCATCACCAAAAGTTAACCAGTCCCCCATCACTTACCAAAAGTTAACCAGTCCCCATCACCAAAAGTTAACCAGTCCACATCACTCACCAAAAGTTAACCAGTCCCCCATCACTCACCAAAAGGTAACCAGTCCCCAATCACTCACCAAAAGTTAACCAGTCCCCATCACTCACCAAAAGTTAACCAGTCCCCATCACTCACCAAAAGTTAACCAGTCCCCAATCACTTACCAAAAGTTAACCAGTCCACATCACTCACCAAAAGTTAACCAGTCCCCATCACCAAAAGTTAACCAGTCCCCCATCACTTACCAAAAGTTAACCAGTCCCCATCACCAAAAGTTAACCAGTCCACATCACTCACCAAAAGTTAACCAGTCCCCCATCACTTACCAAAAGTTAACCAGTCCCCAATCACTCACCAAAAGTTAACCAGTCCACATCACTCACCAAAAGTTAACCAGTCCCCAATCACTCACCAAAAGTTAACCAGTCCCCAATCACTCACCAAAAGTTCAACAAGACCGTCCTTGGTCCTGGTTTGTTTGAGTTTCAGGATGTAGGTCATGTTTCTGAAGCGTTGGATGGCTTCCAATTTACGGTTCAAGGTCACATTGTGGCTAGAGAAAATAAAAACAGACATAGATAACATATTTCTTTAATAGGAACAAAACACACAGTTGTATGACAGATGACATATGACGGATGACAGATGACAGATGACAGACGAGAAATGACAGACGACAAATGACAGATGGCAGATGACAGAAGACAGATGGCAGATGACAGATGACAGATGACAGATGACAGATGATAGATGATAGATGATAGATGATAGATGACAGATGACAGATGACAGATGACAGAGGACAGAGGACAGAGGACAGATGACAGATGACAGATGATAGATGATAGATGATAGATGACAGATGACAGATGACAGATGACAGAGGACAGAGGACAGATGACAGATGACAGATGACAGATGACAGATGACAGAGGACAGATGACAGATGACAGATGACAGATGACAGATGACAGATGACCGATGACCGATGACAGATGACAGATGACAGATGGCAGATGGCAGATGACAGATGACAAATGACCGATGACAGATGACAGATAACAGATGACAGATGACAGATAATAGATGACAGATGACAGATAACAGATAACAGATAACAGATGACAGATGACAGATGACAGATGACAGATGACAGACCTGTCGCTGGCCTTAAGGAACTTGTCCAACAAAGTCATGGGGAGAGCATCCATGCCTTCTTTGATTTTGTACAGAGTGGCGTTCTTGCTGAGAGGATACAAAAACAGGACACTGGTCAGTTTTATCTGGGATATTCTGTACAATCACAAATGTTTTAAAAACTTCCTAATTCAGCTAAAATCTCTGACGTGTGTAGTTGTACACCTCAGCCAAGGGACTCAACCAAGTTTGGCGTACCTGTGGTAGTCCATCTCGTTGTGGAAGATCTCCAGAGCGCTGGCGTCCTTGTACAGGGAGACCTTGGACTTGACGATGTCCTCGAGAAACTTCTTGCCCTCGGGGCTTAGGACTTTCTCCATGGCCTCGTCAAAGCTGAAACACGGACGTCACGTGATTAGTCGGATCTTTCATCCACAGCAACACACATCATACACAGCATCACACATCATCCACAGCAACACACATCATCCACAGCATCACACATCATCCACATCATCCACAGCAACACACATCATCCACAGCAACACACATCATCCACATCATCCACAGCAACACACATCATCCACAGCAACACACATCATCCACAGCAACACACATCATCCACATCATCCACAGCAACACACATCATCCACAGCAACACACATCATCCACATCATCCACAGCAACACACATCATCCACAGCAACACACATCATCCACATCATCCACAGCAACACACATCATCCACAGCAACACACATCATCCACATCATCCACAGCAACACACATCATCCACAGCAACACACATCATCCACAGCAACACACATCATCCACAGCAACACACATCATCCACAGCAACACACATCATCCACAGCAACACACATCATACACAGCAACACACATCATCCACAGCAACACATATCATACAGAGCAACACACATCATCCACAGCAACACACATCATCCACAGCAACACACATCATCCACAGCAACACACATCATCCACAGCAACACACATCATCCACATCATCCACAGCAACACACATCCTCTTTTAGCTTATGTTTGAACTAACATTCTACTTCATCTGTCCCATAGACCGTGAGGTTCGATTAAAGTTCTTGACGTTACATGTATCAAATACACAGCTTTCAAGCGTCCTCTCGTCTTTCTTACAGGAACTAAGCCAAGAGGACCGAGCAGCTAGCCGTACCGGATCAAGCACCACTTACGTCAGCTCCGAGAGCCGTTTGCCTTCTTTGGTCTCCAGCTTGATGCGATCTTCTCTAGACATGTCAGGGTCGTAGTTCTCGCCGGTCAGTTTCTCAAAGGCGTACCTGGCACCAGACAGTAGAATTGTAGCACAATGTTTTTTACACGTCTAAAGCATGTAGTTGATATTAGTGTACGGTCACTCTACAGTTTTAACCATCATTTGGTTTATATTATGGGATCTCTCAAACAAATTGACAAGTCTAAAAACTGTTGGTTAATGTAGATTACAATTTTTAAAAAAGAACTTGTCCGTTACTCAGAGATCAAACAAACCGTTTTACAAGTCTAAATACGAATGAATGGTGTCGCTTACTCAAATATTACACAAACAATTACAAGTCTAAAAACAAAAGTTGTCGGATACTCAAAGATTACACAAATAAGTCTAAAAACGAAAGTTGTCGGTTACTAAAATATTACACAAACAGTTACAAGTCTTAAAACAAAAGTTGTCGGTCATTCAAATATTACACAAACAAGTCTAAAAATAAAAAGATGTCGGTTACTCAATGATACGGCCTTGGTTCTGCTTCTCCTCTGGGGTCAGGGTGTAGGGGAGTTGCTTGCCGCTGATTATCTCCTCCTCGCTGATGCTCTGACCTCTCAGATGGTAACGGGCCTTGTTCTTCATACCGTAGGCCATTGGGCATTCCTCGGAGGTTAGGTCTAGTCAAACAACATTCACTTTTATCAACACATTACTGAAGGATACACTTTCCTAGCTTTCTCAATCAGATCTATAAATAACTGTTTAAGACTATTTTTAAATACCCGTTATGTAATAATAAATATGTCATTATTTTTTTTATTTTTTTTTTTTTGCTGTTCCTGACTAAAAACCTTAGGCAGATAAAGTAAGGTTCTTTCTCAATGAACTCTGCTTACTGGGGGGAGTGCAGTCAGCACTATGGCAGGCTAGATTTGTTTTCTTAATATGTCAGGTACCCATCAAGCTTAGTTCACTCACGGACATCTTACGTACTCGAGCACGGGGTTCGAACTCGAGACTTTCAGCAGGCGTTAGCTCTACCACCCGACCACGCAGTGTCCTTTACAAATACTCATCTAGACAATCGTGAAATATAATACGATAACAATATGTGGTGACTTGACACTGATATAAACAGACGTGCCATTGACTTGACCAGCTACTTACCGAGGTCCTCACGTGACCTCACTGAGGTCATCACGTGACCATCTACTCACGTGACCTCACTGAGGTCATCACGTGACCATCTACTCACGTGACCTACTCACCAAGTTCCTCTACCAGCTGCTGGACTGTGTCGTGGATGTCAGCGAACATGGACTCGCCGAGTTCGACTGGAATGTCCTGCACGCCTGGCATGCGGGCGGTCAGGTGACGCCCACCCACCACCTCGGACATCTCGATGACCTCGATGGTCAGGCTCTCATTCCTGAGTCTGTAGGCGGCGTAGGCTCCGGTGGCACCGGCACCGATGATGGCCACGTCAACCTTGCGACTGCAAGACTCTGGGGTGGGGGGAGGGGGGGGGGCATGAAGACACACACTAATTAATAAAACATAATCAGTATTCTTTGAGACTAAACTCAAGATTTTTTTCTAGGTGTTAAACATACAGTGTGATGAGATTAGCGACTGAACTATTGTTTGTCAAATCTTTGTCAACTTTAAAAAATGGTCAATTGGTGTTCTGTTTGTCCAGTTCTGCATGGTACTCGATTCATTAATAGGCTGGCCCCATTAATTAAGGAAGTAATTAGCTAAGCGGCTCCTTACCTGTGATTACATTATTGGGGTTCGCTTCATTCCCCGGGGAGTAGATTTGCTGAGCGATAGCCAAGCCCAAAAGGCTGAATACAAGGACTTTGGAAAACATTTTTCCTCTGAAAATAAATCAATCAATTATCAAACAAAACGAACTGTTGTTTTTTTTTTCGCTTTGTCTAACGAATTTTTCCACCTTAATATTTTTATAGTTTACAAAAATGTAGGTGAGTAGCAGGAAATAGGCTCTGGTGCCTGTCAGAATTGATTTCATTATATCACCCTCCACTACAGTTTGCCCTGTTGACGTTCAACCGTTTATCTACTGGGGATATGTTAGCGGACGTCCAAGGAGCAGAGGGTAGTCTAAATGTTTAAATGTCACATTCCCCACTAGTACTGACTGTACTAAATGTGTCAGGGATAAACAAGAGAGTACATAATATGTTGACATGATACTATCTGTCCCATGGTGTACCCATGTACACTATCTGTCTCATGGTGTACCCATGTACACTATCTGTCTCATGGTGTACCCATGTACACTATCTGTCTCATGGTGTACCCATGTACACTATCTGTCTCATTGTGTACCCATGTACACTATCTGTCTCATGGTGTACCCATGTACACTATCTGTCTCATGGTGTACCCATGTACACTATCTGTCTCATGGTGTACCCATGTACACTATCTGTCTCATGGTGTACCCATGTACACTATCTGTCTCATGGTGTACCCATGAACACTATCTGTCTCATGGTGTACCCATGTACACTGTCCGTCTCATGGTGTACCCATGTTTACAAAGATACTATCTGTCTCATGGTGAACCCATGTTGACAGGATACTTTCCGTCTATCAAAGACAGACTTGCTCTAGAACTAAAGAAAAATCTATTTCTATTTGAGGGAACTAAATAAGTATCTAGCTAACAAGTAATAAAAAACTTCTACATGAGCGGAACTGCCTTCATTGATCGAGTCCTTTAGCATTCGTCTACGCCACGATTACCCATCTATAAGGGCCTCATGATAGCTTTTTCTGTAGGGCCTTCGACAACAGTTAACTAAAAAGATATTTACTATAATGCAACTTTTACTTTTAATAATGTTCTATATGACTTTTTCAACTGTGTCAGGGGTCGTGGGACACTTGGGTTTTATAAAAGGGGTCTATATCAGTTACAGGCGGACTCTATCTACTCTATTGTCACCGACTTCCACGTTGGGTCAGTTTACCATAGCCAATAGAGTAACAGCTACTAGCAAGGCGAGTGCCTTTACCGACGAAAAGAAAACCCCACCCCACAGTAGGATAAACCCTATTTACCGACGAAAGAACACCCCCCCCCAAGTAAGACCCTTTAAGACACGGCGTCCCTAGCAACTGTTACAAGAAAACCTAGATACTCACAGGATGCGGCAGATGTAGTCTTGTCTCAGACCCCAGCAGTCAGGGGCCGGGCTTTTATAACCCTCAATTGACTAATTAGAAATTAGCTGACAAGACGACACGAGACCTGGTGTGTAGACACGCCACGGACCGCGGGCCACTCATAACACACAGTAGACCCGCCCACGGACCGCGGGCCACACACGGCCCTCATGAACGTTGACCTACACGACGACAGCCTGGTCTTCAACAAAGCACCATCGCTTGTGCCAACTGCACCCAGTATAATAACTGCTAATTATACAAAATACAGTCACCAAGAAACAAAGATAAAGCAACTATCTTTCTTGATATTAAAGACATAAAGGTAACGTTCCAGTAAAAAAATGGCAGTAGTTTGGCATTGACGTTCTGATATATATATATATATATATATATATATATATATATATATATATATATATATATATATATATATATATATATATATATATATCACGGATGAAATCTTGGAATTCACAAATGAATGCAGCTGCTTGGACCAAGGCGACGGTAGGTGTGTGAGGTGATGCTTTCAGTACACTCTGGTGTCATTGTGAGACAAAACATTCAGAGACTCGCTAAAAAGATTAGGAGAGCACGACAGTAGAAGCTGAAGTCAGAGACTTAAATGAACATGAAGCTAATGCTAGCATCAAGTATAATCGCACTGAAGACAAGTCTTTCAGAATTTGAGCAATAGAACGTATCCAATTATGCATGTTGAAGGTGGAAAACGCAATTATTGAGGATTGTATTAAAGATATAACGAATAATTTTAAATATTACAATTTTAACGGCATATAACAGAGAAGTCTGATGACGCAGAGGAGCAGGAATCGATAAAAAATGTTCTACGTAGACGGATCAACAGACGTAAGCTCTTGTCTACAGTGGGTTGTCCTAGCGATATGTAGACATGCAGATCATAATAAGCCAGATTTTGTGTTGTTTGTGGACTAGAAAACGTTATAAAAGAAATAAACCGGGAGTGATCTCCCCTAAACGTTCTCGAATATTCTCATATAACACTACGGGGGATGGCAACTCGGGATATAGACATAATTTTTAATCCATTTTTAAATACTTAAAATTTTTAAAATAAAATAGAATCTCGTAGAAAAAAAGAATTGCGCACTAAGTGAACACAAAACAATCTATGTATAATAAAAAATTAATAATATTGCGCAATATTATTAATACTTTATAAATTCATTTGTGTTTTTGAAAAATCGAAATTACTACAAAATTTGACAGAAGGCAGCAAATTAGATCTTTTACTTATATGTGATATTTAGTTAATCAATTTGAAACAGTAGGCCTTCTCAAGTTAAAGGCTTTTGAAAAGCTAACATCCGTTTATCGGAAATCGCTGAAAAGTTGATACAGAACTACAAATTTGATATAATACTTATATATGGAATTTCATCAACCTAGCTGTAACGGTACTCAAGTTATCGTGTTGACGGACAGATACACATACACACATACATATATACATAAATACACACACACACACACACACACATGCGGATAAAATTGCAAAACTATGTTTTACCGACTCAGGAAGGTGTAAACGACGAGATTTGTGAAAATCTTGATTTCAACTTTTTGCACGATTATAATACTTCATCCGTACTCCTTTACGATAAAGAAAATAATTCGTAAATAAAAGTTTCAATAACAAACTGTCATGTAATAATACACTAACAAGTTTAAAATAAATTATACACTACTATTTAAATACCTATAATGAAAAGCATGGGCCACTTTAGTATATATTGGATACCTTTACTAATATTTAGGAAGAGACCCACGCTTTTCTTTACAGTTATTTAAATAGTAGTGTGTAATTTATTTTCTACTTGTTTGGGCATTATTACATAAAAGCTTGTTATTAAAACGTTTTTTATGAATTTATTTTCAGTAGGCTACTTAATTTTTTTTTAAATTAACAATACAGTTGCATGACTAAAACCATGCGCACGTAATGAACGTGATGACGCGCGTCTAATAATGCTGAATAGTTTGATGAGACAGCCTACTAATTTGGACACAATTTAAATTAATTCATAAAAACTTAATCAGGCAACCAATTAAGTCAAATTTAATTTCATGTTGCTTTGACCAAGGTGCCAACGTTGAAACAAATCTGTCAATTAGAAATGTCCGAAATTTCGCTCGGGCGTTTCGATTTAGACAGACTGACGTGGGCGGATGCTGCGGTCGGTCGTGGGGTTTCTACGGATGTCGGTGTCGTGGGGTTTGTACAGTGGGTTGTGGGGTTTTTGCCGACGTTTACTGCATAATTCGCCATTATTTGCACGACTTACTTGATTTGTTAAAATATATCGCAAATGACATCAAAAATCCCGTTTGTTTGAAAACCAGGTCAAAGACGTGAATATTCTGATCAAGAAAGTGTTTTTATACTGAGCTTGCCGGTTGACGAAAGCATATGTTATGAATCGTGTCTTTGAATTGAACGATTTAATATTTTTATATTTTTTTTAATTTTATTTTTATTTTGGAAGTGCAAATGAAACACTATCTTTTAGTATACGTTAGTGACAGAGCTTGATTGAAAAGAGCAGTAAATCAAGCTCAAAGAAGAAAAAATAGAAAAAGATTTTATAAACGTTTGAGAAAATCTCATCTGCTGTTATGTATCCGGAGCGGAAAAGAAAGAAATTTAAATTTAAAGAGCAGATTATTGGACATCCGGAATAATTTGAGAAGAAACTCCAAAGGTTTGTCTCTGTGCGGGAATCAGAGGAAAAATGTACAGGAAATCTATTCTCAGATTCTTTTGAAAGAGCAAGCATTTTCCGATGAATTCATGAATTTGTACAATGATTCCTCGGCACGTAGCTTGTTACATGAAAAACTGCTCAGACTATTTTTGTGATGTGGGTACCATTTATAACAAACGTATCGATGCTTGCCTATTGAGTTGTACTGCCATATGCGTCTACAAATCTCTGTAGATGGGGATTTTCAACACTTCGTGGGATTATAAATGGTATGAGTGTGGCGTCAACAGAACGATAATATTGAAGCAATTACTGTAGCAATGTTATTACACTAAGATTCTTACAATAAAATTATAATAATTTTAAAGTTCCCTTCCAAGCCCGACGGTCTACGGGGCAAGTGAAGTAGAGTTCACCTGTTTCTGTAACCTCGGTATATGAAGGGATATTGTGGTCAACACTATGCCCAGCCGCCTTTACGTGAGTTAGGTAGACTCAGGGACAGTCTGCTGACTTGAACCCGGATTCGAACTCGAGACTCACGGGTTAGCAGTCTAGCTCCCCTAGGCCACTCCGTCCCACATAATAAAACTAGTCATTGTTTCTTCTTCTTCTTCGTTCTTAATGTTTAGTGTTGGAAGAGATCGAGTCTTATCTGCCTGAGGGTTGAACTCGAGTCTTTTTCGAATTTATCAACCATGAGCTTTTGCCGACTCGACCATGCCTCCATCACAATTAAGGATAACGTGTCAACTGGTTATGCGCCATTGAGGCCATTGACTCCGATTTCAGCCTGCTTTTCTTTTTGGATTTGCTTCCATAGCCTCTGTTCGAATCAAAAATGGTTTTTAAATTATATCACAGTTGTGGGCAGTGTTTCTTCCAGACTTTTTTCTCGGGGGGGGGGGGGGCGTGATATTATTATTTTTTGTTTTGGTGGGGGACAATAATTTCCGGTGGGGGGGGCGGACACTGTTAAAAAAATATATTTATTTTCTATATAAATTCCATTTTGTTCGGGGGGGGGGGGGTAGCGTGGAGATGCCAGGAAGAAACACTGGTTGTGGGACATTGGGCGTTTAAAAAAAATGATCGCCACCTAACTAATCTTGGGAACCCCTGGCTTAGACGGGATTACCAACAGTGAGAAGGTTGATTTTTTAACCATTGCAGTTGGCGGGGTTGTGGGTACAGAGGTTTTAGAACTCTCGAGGGAAGGTGGTATATGCTTTACGCGATATATACATCACAACACGTACATAGAATAGCTATAAAATCAATACAGCTCATCGCGCGAGAGTATCATGACGTACGGGATAATCCTACACGAGTATCATGTCCTAAAGTATCATGTCCTGTATGAGTATCATGTCTTGATCGTACCTATGTTTAGATAGGACACACATCCTGATAGGACCTATATTTTTAGATAGGACACATCTAAGTCTATGTATCAATTAGCGTAAATGTCCAATGTATGTGTGTATCATCAGAATTGTATGTGTGTATCATCAGAATTGTATGTGTGTATCATCAAAATTGTATGTGTGTATCATCAGAATTGTATGTGTGTATCATCAGAATTGTATGTGTATATCATCAAAATTGTATGTGTGTATCATCAGAATTGTATGTGTGTATCATCAAAATTGTATGTGTGTATCATCAGAATTGTATGTGTACATATCAACACGTCATCAGTAGGTGTAAACCTAGACCTATACATCTAACCTCCGACCTCCGACCTCTACGAGACCCACCATTTAGCCCACCCAATCTATAACAAATTAGCCGCGCGTCATTCTGCTCACCCACCTCGCACGTGCGGCCTACGTGCTCACCACTGGTGACCTCAGGTCGACCCCCACCAACCGTGTCACCAAAACGTCACCTTAATGTAACTGATGAGGCCAAATTTAGATTTATGACGGGACCCTAACCTAACCCTGACTGCATCAAGTCCGTAGATTTATGACGGGACCCTAACCTAACCCTGACTGCATCAAGTCCGTAGATTTATGACGGGACCCTAACCTAACCCTAACCGCATCAAGTCAATACACTCGACCCTAGAAATATTTACTGCTTTTGTAAATTCAGTTGTTCGAGAAATAATTTACACCATTAGCATTTTTTTTTTCAATTTTTTTTATTTATGAATTTATTATAGATTTTTAAAAAAAACTGCATTCCTTACAGTAGCCAAAATATACCAGGTATTTTTACAAGTTCTGGGGGTTCCAGTCATACCTTAACGACCACCCCTAGGGCTTTAGAACATACCTTTAATAAAGTTCACTTTTCAGACCTAACGTTCCATAAAGTAGATGAAGTAGATTTTATGAAAAGCTTCATTTTAATGTAGCTTAATAAATTTCTTCATGAACCTATATTATGTTACAAACAATTATTACTTCCCTTTGCTTTTGCCAGTTTTTTCTTCTTACCTCCCCTTGTCGTGGGTAAATTTAAATAATATTAAATATAAACTTAGAAGAATAAGACAGAAATGATAATATACAGGAGACATAAGGAATTGATAAAACACATTTTTTTATGGTACAAGTTGTGTGAATTTTAGCGACCTTTTTTAATTTTATTTTTATAAAAGTCGGTCAGATACAAGCTAGAAATGGTAAACAAAGTAGTAACTTATCGGGGGTTGATTGGTAGGACTAATTGGCAGGAGTTTAATTGGACGCAGGGCCAAACAGGATGGGATCAATGCATGGCTGACCAAAGGTTAATTTGCTGCTGAAACAAAGAGACCACCACATTATCGTTTTTGTTTACAAATTTGGCAAAAGTTTTCACTATCCAGCACTTTTCAAAGCCAGTTTATGGATATACGGATATTCGGATCTACGGATATAAGAAAACTTCTGTCAAGGGTTCTAAAATTATTACCCTGTACCTTTGGGATATTGTTTTACTTTCATCTTCTAAAGTAAAATATAGAACAACATCAGTCATATTTACACAACCCACATCAGTCATATTTCCAGATCTAACCGCAGCCCACAGACGCTCGTGTTTGTAACATTGCTGTCTCACAGAATCCAAGAGCGTTGTCAACACATTTCTGTCTGCTTGTCTTACTTTATGAAGCAGTTTTCTTCTACTCCAAGACTACAGAGTCTGCTAACAAAATTTCGGCTTATAATTGTTTGAAAGCTGTCAAGTTTATGCAGCTTATAATTGTGTAGCTGCTGTCTGGTTTATGCGGACATATTATATCCACCAATAAGGGATATTATAATGACATGAAAATACATTTCATGAAGTTTTTTCGTTTTATATTTACATGCATTATTTGATCATTTTAAAATCCAGCGAAATTCTCTGATGAAACGAAGGTTTTTTCTAAATACTAAATCGATTGATAAAACACAAATTGTATTCTAGATTCGTTTAACGGAAATTTAGTTTAACGGAAATTTCGTTTAACCGAACAATGTTTGAAAAACAAATTAACCTTTGTTGCAACCATCAGCAAAATTTTAATGAGATTTTAATTAACTCTCGAGGCCATCAGACTATAAAAGCCCCCTGTTCTGACCGTCAGGCCATGTTCGACTTTGCGGCTTGACCATCTGCAGGGATAAACGTGAGTACTTTGTTCAGCACGTGCTTGCATGTGCGGTTTGTTGATTTGTTGTGTCGGAGTTTTTGTTGAGCAAATTCTAGAGGAAATAAAGTTTAATTTATTTAGAGTGTTTAGTCGGAGGGGATTATTAGGTATTGCCGACTTATGAGATAATGTTGTGAGTTTTCTGTAGAAAGATTTAGAGATTTTATAATGTGGACGTCTTTTAGTTAATGAACAGTTGATTTGTAGGACATCATAGGTCTAGAAGTAGATGATAGAAGTTCAGATCTAACCGGAGTATAGGTCTAACTGCGACAGTTATTAACAGGGCTACCTGCGACTAGTATTGACAGGGATACCTGTGTAAAGTGTAGCCAACAGCCTACCAGGACTTTTGTCGAGAATGACCCAGGTGTTACTCAGGTGTTACCCAGGTGTTACCCAGGTGTTACCCAGGTGTTACCCAGGTGTTACCCAGGTGTTACCCAGGTGTTCTGGGTGTTACCCAGGTGTTATTCAGGTGTTCTGGGTGTTACCCAGGTGTTCTGTGTGTTACCCGGGTGTTCTGGGTGTTAACCCGGTGTTATCCAGATGTTACCCAGGTGTTCCCCAGGTTTTACCCAGGTGTCCCTCCAAAATACTAGCTAGGTGCTCGTGTCCTAGAGATCCCCAGGTTCCGCTCTACATTCAGTGGTCTTTGTTGTCGAGTTGTCAAAACAACTGCTGCCTTATAATTTGTTATTGATTAAACAAACGCTATGGAAAACAAATCTATACAGAAAAGCAGGCTGAAATCGGAGTTAACGGCTTATATGGCGCATAACAATTTGACACTTAATAGTAAATTCTGTTGGAAAAAATCCCTTCCAACATTAAAAACTAAGAACGAAGAAGAAGAAGATGAAGCTCTACATTGAACCTGCTTGCTCTCAACACAACAAAATCGTGCAGTAACCTCAACATCTCGATCACACTTGAAACAAAAAACCTGTACTGTCTTAATAATCCAATCATAGTTGAACTTAGTACGTCTACAACGTCAGATGTAATCTTTTGAAAGCTTGAACAAAATGACTCGAATTAGACAGCTTTGAAAGTATATTGACAGCAGACAGATTGTATCATGGTCCAAAACCTCAAAACCTGCTAGCAAAGATTGCAAGTGTGTTGAATTCGATGTTTTTTATTTGATTTCCTGTCGTCCGCAGATGATTTACGTCGCTTTTCTCTGTCTTTTTGCCGTCGCCTTCGGGCAGAGCCAAGACAACCCATCCAAGAGAATCGTTGGTAGGTTTTGGTTTCACTTATATTTTTTTTTTTTTGGACAGGTGGGAGGCTCTCTATTTCACGCTATATTTATCGATATAAAAGTGAAATTTCGGCGAGTTGTTGAGAAGCTCTTGGAAAGCGCCCCTCCCCCCCCCCCCCAAAAAAAAAGGGGGGGGGCTCAAAACGACCCCTGAAGGCCACAGAATAAAAAAAGGAATATTGAATTTTGAATATTCAGAGGAGCTAACTAGGCTAAAAAGATTTAGTAAACATATTTACTTGGTTGTTTCCCTTTGACCAATAAAACTTCCGTTCTAAAAATAATGATTAATGCTGTAATCTAAAAATAACGATTGGATAATCTATATTTATTTATTTATAAACCCGTGTCTAAAAATACACATCTGTTAACGCATAGATGTAATCTTCTTAAAGATTCCTAACTTCACGTCGCTATACACACTTGCTTTAGTCACGTGACTACACACCTGATATCTGTCCACAGAGAAATGCCAACGTTCTGTAGATGTAGCCATCATCGGTGCCGGTGCCAGTGGTGCATATTCCGCCTACAAGCTGAAGGACAAAAAGATGACCATTGAGGTCATCGAGCTGACTGACAGCATCGGTGGCCGACACCTGACAACCACACTGCCAGATGTCTCTGACGTCAAGCTCGAGCTGGGCCAGCGCGTCTTCTCCAACCTCCACGAGATCTCGATGAAACTCGTCAAAGAGCTCGGTAAGTGACGAGACTTTCGGGAACTTCAGAGCTAACATAGGTCTCCAATTCCTTTAGTACATACACATTTTGGTATATACACACTTTTATCTACACACACACACACTTTTGGTGTACTCACACAGTTTTGGTGTACATGAACAATTTCGGCTTATTAAACCATTCAGGTAGTATCTTACTAAACGAAAATATAAATTAAATTAAATATTTATTAAATTAAATATTTATCAATATTTATTTTTCTCTTTGAGACAATCATTTTGTTCTATATGGTTTTCCAAAAACAAAATATCCTGATTTGATTTGTTGTTTTTTCTCTTACATCAGATATTCACTTTTAACGAACAACTGAATTAGTTATCATTTTCCACTTCATACACCACTAGATTTGATTCTTTCAACAAACTGCCGATTCTGTTAAAACAAGAATACTTGTCCCAAACTAGGTCTGACTCAAGAGGAGTTCTTGGACGCCCTCGGCGAGAAGGGAAACAACCGCTTCTACCTTAGAGGCCAGACCTTCACCCAGCAAGACCTGGAGAGGGGTGTCAAGATTCCTTACGAGCTGACCTCAGAGGAGAAACAAAACCAGGCCAAGATTGTCAGGTAACGGTTGTTTGTTTATTTGTGTGTTGTTTTTATTTTATTTTTATTTATTTTTTTTATTTTGTTTGTTTTTTTTTTTTGGAAAATAATTTACCACTCTTTAAATACATTTGTCGACGATGTTTTGGCAATATTCAATTGACACATTTTAAACGACTATTTCCGATAGACGGAATGTATCACTGTCAAAACTTCAAAAGCTGCAAGCAAAAATTTCGAGTGTGTGTTGCGTTTGTTCGTGTCTGATTAATGTCACAAATCTGAAATCCGTACAAGACTTCTAAAACCATGACTCCTCCACATTTTTTTCAACAGCTTCTACTTCCAAAAGTTGACCGGAAGTCCCCTGAAATACATGACCCGCGAGGAGCGTCTCCGTGTCAAGGTCATCCAGACCAACCGCCCCCTGTACCAACACACGTGAGTATCCCTCCCTAGAGACGGCCGTCTGTAATCTTTAAATCTTATAATCTCAAATCTAATTTCAAATCTAATCCTTGAATAATTTATCAAAAGCTGTCCTCAACATCGTCCATAGTGTTGTCTACACCCAAAAGGTTACTGCAAATTTAAAATAAAATGATTGTGATCCCCTCACAAACCTGAAATAACCCCCCCCCCCCCCCGTGTTTCCTCTGCCACATTGTGATCCCCTTATAAATCTGATGTCCCCCCCCCGTGTTTCCTCTGCCACCTTGTGATCCCCTTATAAATCTGATGTTCCCCCCCCCCCCCCAGTATCGATGAAGCTCTGGACCTGGTCGCCAGCCCCGAGGGCAAACAATTCTTCAAGGACATCGTCAAGGGCCAGTACTCCATCTACAAGGACTCCAGCGCTCTCCTGCCCTTCACCTTCGAGCTGGACTACAACAGGTAAGTCTGATAGGCCAATCTAGATAGGTAGGTTACAGGTAGACTACAACAGGTAGATGTGATAGGCCAGACTAGATAGGTAGGTTACAGGTAGACTACACAGGTAGGCCAGACTAAACAGGTAGGTTACAGGTAGACTACAACTGGTAGGCCAGACTAGATAGGTAGGGTACAGGTAGACTACAACATGTAGGTCTGATAGGCCATAGTGTGACTAGAATAGGTAGTTAGACTAGGCTATAGTAAGTATGGCTGCTATAGGTAGCTATAGTGAGACTGGCTAGGTATGGCTACTATAGGTAGCTATAGTGAGACTGGCTAAGTATGGCTACTATAGGTAGCTATAGTGAGACTGGCTAAGTATGGCTACTATAGGTAGCTATAGTGAGACTGGCTAAGTATGGCTACTATAGGTAGCTATAGTGAGACTGGCTAAGTATGGCTACTATAGGTAGCTATAGTGAGACTGGGTAAGTATGGCTACTATAGGTAGCTATAGTGAGACTGGCTAAGTATGGCTACTATAGGTAGCTATAGTGAGACTGGCTAAGTATGGCTACTATAAGTAGCTATAGTGAGACTGGCTAAGTATGGCTACTATAAGTAGCTATAGTGAGACTGGCTAAGTATGGCTACTATAGGTAGATCTGATATGCTTTAGTGAGTCCTACACATCGGTGGTGTTCGATAGTACTAGATGTAGCTAAATCAAAGCTATAACGGTTTAAAATTAGTAGGGCCTATGTCTTTCTTTTTAAACTCAAACCTCAATTTACTCATAACTGTAAATACAAATAATAAACAATAAAACTTTATAGATAAAATGATAAACGGTTAACCCATTAGGGATATTTGTAAGGGGAAACATTTAGAACGAACTGCTGACTTCTGGTAGTGTATAACCCCAGTACTGTACCAGGAGAGTACTTATCGAACAGTATAGTACTCAAATGACAAGATAGTACTCACACAACAAGATGGTACACATATAACGTCATAGTACTCGCATATACATTAATTGTTACAAGATGTAACAAACCTTACGTTGAATTAAAGCTTTCAATTAAAAAATAATTTATGTCTGGTTCTTACAGCAACAACAGCACTTTCTTCAAGATCAAAGAAGGCATGGACTCCCTCCCCAAAAAACTGATCGAAAAATTCCTAAAGTCTGACCCCCAGCGGTGAGTAAATTAGTTTGTGTTTACATGCTAGATTTCAATCCACCTGTTTGCGTGTTGTTATGCTATCAAATATTTCATAATATATGTTTTACTTTTACATTTTTATATTGTTGATATAGATGTAGGTTAAACTTTTTGCAAAAAGGAAATTTAAAAAAAAATAAACCACATTTTTTGTTTGTTCCAGCAACTATTTGACCCTGAACAGAAAACTGGAAGGCATTCAGCGATTCCAGAACATGACCTACGTTCTGCAACTGAAACTGACCAAGACTGAAAGTGGCAGAACCTTTGAACTGGTTGGTACAAGAGTTACAATCCAGTCAACAATTTTTGTTTAACTTTTTGTTCAGATTGTCGCCCAAGTTTTCATTTAGTTGCTACCCATCAGATCCTACTCTCACTGTCACAGTGACGTCTGCTCTTATCTGCTCTAATATTCCTTCCTCAGGGTCCAGAAGAGTTCATCTGCGCTGAACGCGTCATCCTCGCCCTACCCAAGGACTCTCTTGACCACTTGAACTGGTCCATCCTCAAGTATGACATCATTAATTACTCATTAATCATTCATTAATCTCTCATTTACTTACCTACCAAGTATTGACCCTAAACGAGGTGTATCCTTGTTGAGGAAGAACTAAAGTAGCCAATAATTGCATGACAAATATATGAACAACAAAATATCATTTTTCAATATTTCTTTAGTTTAATATAAAACCAATTGTATTCATCACTGAAAGCCAGACGGAATTATGTATCTACATTAGTTCAAAATTTCAGATAATTGCTGAACATGACTAGTTATAAAAAAAATTATATTATTTGTTATAAAACGATAGACAAAATGAAAGTTTCTAAGTGTAAATTTATTTAGCAGGTTTACAAACGGTGAATTTTCATGGCATAAAATGTGTCTATAATGTTACCACTGGCCAATGTGTCTCTAACGTTACCACTGGCCAGTGTGTCTCTAACGTTACCACTGGCCAATGTGTCTCTAACGTTACCACTGGCCAATGTGTCTCTAACGTTACCACTGGCCAATGTGTCTCTAACGTTACCACTGGCCATGTGTCTTAAGACTGACTTCTTCCCCAGGAACTGGAAACTGAGCACTGCCCTCAACGCCTTGAAACCCGTCCCCGAGCAGAAGATCATCCTCAGCTTCAGCAAACCTTTCTGGCTTCAACAAGAGCCTTACAAGGCCAAGGTCAAGTGCACCGACACCATCCTCGGCTCCGTCCACGACTTGGGCAGCTCCAACAACAAATTCCTCCTCATGACCTCCCTCAACTTCGGCGAGGAGGTCCACGAGATGTCACGACTCAACTTCCAGGGTAAGGCCATCGACGGCTCCGTCCCGGGCCTCCTGCAAGTCACAGTGGATCTGAAGGACCGCGTCGTCAGTGAACTTACCAAGATCTTCAGCGTCAAGGAACAGATCAGCGTTCTCGGGGGTGTGTCCAAGTTCTGGACCCTGCCTCCCCACATCGGAGGGTCGACCGTATGGAGGGCTGGCTACCACTGGGAGGACATCAGGGACACCCTCCTCAGGCCATCCTTCTCTGACAACATCTACATCGCCAGCCCCGACATTGCTTTCGGTACCCGCCAGGCCTGGACTGAGGGTGGTCTGGAGAACGTCGAGATTATCATGGAAAAGTACATCTTGTAGATGGCCGACATGTTCGTGGTTCAATGTTTTTTTTGTTTGGCAAAACGATAAATAAAGTTATCCTGAATTAATTATTTTTTTTTTTACATTTTCTTTCTACGTTTGTCTCGTTATGTAGAATGTCTGTAATACATTTCAAAATATTTTTTTTAAAATTCCAATGTAACGACACTTGAAGTAAGATTAATATTAATTTATTTGACTTGAATTACCTAGCTAATGGGCAATTAGTTAATTTGCTTTAATTCCTCGGCTATCAAAAATTAACACATAATCACACAGAAATTTAGAACTATAAATAAAGAATCTCGAGTAATTGTACAACTGTATTCAACAGCAACGCCACAACTCACAAACTAGAGATGTTATTAAGACTACCTTAACGATTACATGAAACAAAGTAGCATTCTAGAGGAAACTGTTAGCTTTACTTACAGTGGGTTTAGTGACCAACTATCACAATATACAAACAAAATGTGATTTAGCAGCCACCATTCAATCGAGAAATACCTAAAAGTGTGTGGTCAGCGACTTGCCTAAACAACCATACAACCGGATAGTGGTCAACCCGTCCTTCTAATTAACAGCCGGACAACAGGACTTCTAAAACATAACGACACCCACACAAGAATAGTTTCACAAATACAACGGAGAGTTATATTTTGTACACTGAAACAAATTGATGACTACATGCTATAAGCTACATCATGTCTGACATCTCACTACACATCATCACATCAAGATGTTGCACACATCATGCTGACTCACACTGCCATACCAGCTATATCAATATCTACCATCACACGGGTTGTAACAGTATAGTAGTATGGCTGTTTATGTTTATCGATAAACATCAACCATCGTTGATATTGGTACAAATCAACTTTATCATTTATATTTGTAAACATCGACTTTTTCATCGAAATTGATAAACTTCAATTTTTTATCGATATTGATAAACATCAACTTTTTCATCGCAAAGTAAAGGAACCAAACAACTTGCACTATTGAGGAAACTGGCAGGAACAGACTGGGGAGCAAATCACCACATCCTGAAAAAAACCTACACCAGCTATGTGAGACCTACGTTAGAATATGGTGCTTCGACTTGGGGCTCAGCAGCAAAAACAAATATTAGCAAAATTGACAAAGTCCAGAACATTGTATTTAGAATAATGACAGGAACTATGAAAACAATGCCTATAAAAGCTATGGGGGGTATAGCCGCTCTTAGCTCAATAGAAGAAAGAAAAGAATTAAAAATCATCACCCAATACACAAAGCTGAAGACACTGGATAACCATAATCTAAAGCACAAACTCCAGAAGCCCAGCCAATCAAACAGACTTCAAAGAACATTTTTATCAAAGAAGCAAAGAATCTAAAAAAGAAATATGAAATCGAAAATATCATTCCTGAAACAATCAAAACTCAAAACCTCTCCCTGCCGTGGATCTCTCACCGTTCATAACCGTCAGTGACTCAATAGATACTATAGAAAAAAAATCTGACAACGATCAAGAAGATTTAAAGTAAATAACATGTAAGCACATTAAGGATCAGTACCCCAGCAGTACCTTGATAAGAGTACTCACAGATGGCTCAGCTGAAGATGCCACAAAAAATGGCGGGGCCAAACGGAGAGAGCTTAGTAATGTCAATAGCCACAGGCAGCCTATCTGACAATTTAAGAGCAGAGAGGGAAGCTTTAGAACATGCAGCAAACTTCAAATCGATAGTCTTTATTACAAATGCAAAATATGTCCTGCAGTCCCTAAAAAATCCAGAATCCTATACTCAATCATTCAGGACAGCACTTGTTAGGCTAAAAAATACCTGCAGCAGAATTGTGCTGCAGTGGATCCCGGGCCACTGCCAGACACAAAGGAAATGAGATCGCGGACCAACTGGCAAAAATTGGGGAAAGAAAAAACAACCAGAAATCTCGCTACATCCAAAAGAAATCAAAAGAATAATAAAAAACAATCAATCCCAAATGCAGACCTGGAGACCACAGCCAATTTCATCCACGAAGTTGGACGTTTAAATCCTCCGAAATACTCACTTAAGAACGCGTAAGATGAAAGAAGAAAGATTTATAGCAACTTTAACAAATATATTTTTGTTAAAGCAGTATTGGAATTAACAAAATGGAAGTTCGTTTTGTTCCCTACATGATCTTTAGATTCGTCATTGTGGTCACCAGTGGTCACTAGTGGTCACCAGTGGTCAAAAGTGGTCACCAGTGGTCACCAGTGGTCACCAGCGGTCATCAGCGTTTACCAGTGGTCACCAATTCAAATACACCCCTTTTATACCTGCCTCTTTTAACAGTAGCAATAAAATATTTTTAAAAAGTGAAAAAAAGTTGCCGATAAATGCAAAAAACATTTACAATTTGTTTGCGACTCAAAGAGTTAACTTCACTCAGTCTGTCCTTTCTAGAACTATGTCAGGTTATTCATGTAAACAGTGACCCCCTTCCCCCACACACACCCACCTTTGTGTAAACTATACATTTATTCTCAGATATATGTCAGATTAGATGTCAGAGTAAGTTATGGGAAGGCTATGAGAAGATGTATGTAAATAACGGGTCCATATCGTCAGACCAAAGCGATTTGTTTGCCTCAATCTAGGATTGTCAAGTGTAAAATAATGATCCGGATGTAACTAATTATGTATTCTGGAAGGAGTTGGCGCTTTCGTTGCTTGAAATTACCGTGTTAGCGATAAACATGGTAATACTCATTCAGAACGCGCTTTTTATTAGCGTTATTTTTTTTAGCAATTTTATTTCAAGGGAGACAAGCCAGATCAACCGTAATATACTTAATTGTTTCCCCTACTTAAATCCATTGGGCGAGACACTTATAATATACTTATCGTTCCTAAAAACTTCAAGCGTATTTGATTATAAACTGCTAGATAGCCAGGGGACATTACACAAGCCTTACATAATTACATAAAACAAAAATAAATCATTCATACCCAAATGGTGCCTATCGTAATAACAATATAAGTTTGACTGTAATAAGAAGAACGAAAAAAAAAATTTATAAATTCTGCCTGTTTTGGGTTAAATGTAAAACTAACGATATAATAATTTACTCGTTTGAAATATTTATATTTTATATTTCAATACGAGATATGGGCTACCCTACTTGACACTTTAGATTAAGTTTACTACAATACTTTAGAAAATATTGATATTTATGTGGCACCACCCCCTAATTTTTGTACATAAATTTACGTAAAAATGTGTATTAAAAATTGAGTACTAGCTATCGCAATGAACAAAAGAAGAAATGTATAGTTTGGTTTGAGAAATCTAAATCTTTCATCCGCTTTTAAAAATTTCTTATGGGAACAAAGTTATAGAGGTTTGAATAGGTGTTAGTTTTCACACATTTTCTTGGTTTCCATGGCAACCAGTACTGCTATTGACGGATATATAATATTTTTGTCTATAGTTTAACAACTATAAACATATGAACTTATTAAACACCCAGAAATGTGTTAATAAGCCTATCCTTAACAACAGATATTTTATCAATCAATAAGTAACTCTAAATTAGCGTCACGCTCACTACGTGCTAGATCGTTACATTGCATAGGTTACGCTAGCCTAGCCTAGCCTAGCCTAGCCTAGCCTAGCCTAGCCTAGCCTAGCCTAGCCTAGCCTAGCCTAACCTAGCCTAACCTAGCCTAACCTAGCAGAGTAGTTAGAGCAGAGCAGGGTTTCTTCCAGGCATCTCTTCGGGGGGGGGGGCAAAGCCCCCCTTCCCTCCCCCCCCCCCCCCTCCCCCCCGAAGGAAATGAAATTTATATAATTTATATAGAAAATATAAACTTTTAACAGCGTCCGCCCCCCCCCCCCCCAAAGAAAGTCTACCGCCCCCCCCCCCCCCCGAAAATTTCAAGTTCCCCCCCCCCCCCCCCCCGGAGAAAAAAGTCTGGAAGAAACACTGGAGCAAAGTAGTACTATTGACTAGCAAAATGGAGTTATCAGTACATGCGTACCAACGATGATATTTTAAACCTACTTTTGTATTGGCCAACAAACTTCATTAAAAGCGCGTTAAAACGTTTAAACAAAAAGTACAACGAAACTAAACTTGCTGCTGTACCATCCATTCACTGATCAATATTTGTTGATTATTTGTGAACATCGCTCACTGAACTAAAATATCTGGAGAAGTGTTGTTTACAAGTTTATTTTAAATACTTAATAACTAAATTGCTGTTAAATGATCGGATTATAAGAAATAGTTTGAAATAATTTCTACATGTAGGCCTATATATTTCTTCATAAAATCGAATGAGTGTTTAAAAATTGAAAGTTGAAAGTTGAAAGTTTAAATTCTGTCGTTGATCACGTGAGAGGTCAGCGAGAGCAGGTTGGACGGGGTAAACAGGGCAATAACTCAGCACAAGTTAATTGGATACAGCAACAAGCGGACAGCAAGTATTGACTTAAGTCATGCTGGCCAAGTCAGCTTTTGCTGGCTTGCGGTTTTTTGACTCGGGTTGAGAGCATCCTGTTAAATGAAACTTATGACTTGACTTTTTATTTAGCACATGGAACATGCAAAATACTTATTTTTAGATTTATTCATGATGAATAAATGCCAATTCATAAAATGAAATATATACTTAGTTCTATCGTAAACTTAATTAATTTTAGAGTTCTGGCACGTCCCATATTTATGAGATGGAATAAATTTTTGGTCCCGTAGTTGCTTTTTTGGCTTTTCACCAATGTTTTTTTTTTTTCCCAATTTTCCCGTTTTAGTTTAGGGTCTTTTTTAAACCAGCAGAACCATGAGCAACAAATGTATGGTACACCTTACGATATTACCACCCTCCCTCACCAAACATGTTCCTCCCCCGGTGAAGTCATCAACACCCCCCTCACCCCACACATTATCCCTTACCAAACATCTTACATCCTTGATCACGACATGCAAATATCCGAATAAAACACGAATATGAAAATGTTGCAATCTTCAGCAAAATTTTAATGAGATTTTAATTAACTCTCGTGGCCATCAGACTATAAAAGCCCCCTGTTCTGACCGTCAGGCCATGTTCGACTTTGCGGCTTGACCATCTGCAGGAATAAACGTGAGTACTTTGTTTAGCACGTGCTTGCACGTCTTGCTTATCTCAGTACTGTTCTTTCTCAGTGCTGTCCTGTCTCTCAGCGCTGTCCTGTCTCACTGCGTTCCTGTCTGTCTCTGTCCTGTCCTGTCTTAGTGCTATCCTGTCTCAATGCTGTCTGCCTCACTGCTTACCTGTCTCTCTCTCAGTGCTGTCCTGTCTCTATCTTGCTGTGGATTCATTTGTCTCGCCAATGTCCGATGTACTGCAGACCTCTCTGTCTGACAGAAATCTTGTCTGTCTGGCGTAAATCGTGTTTGTCTGACAGTAAGCCTACCTGTCAGATAACAAGCCTTTCTGTCAACTTCTAATATTTGCACGCCAAGTTCCAATAAAATTTTATTGTGCCAAAAATGAAAACAAAAAGAAATTACCCGTTAGGAATATACTTCCAAAGCTTGTTTTTCATAAGTATTGTATTGCAGATTCTAAAAAAATTTCTTTCAAGTAATTTAAACTGGGATTGGACAAATCCTAAATGTGAAAGCATAATCAAGACGAGTTCTTGTTTTGCTGAAGATAATATGAACTCAATAGCTTGGTGTATAACGAACGGGTATAAGCAGTTTGGGGGTTTTTTCTTCTTCTTCTCCATATTAAGTATATGTTGGAGGATTTAAACAACAAGCCCAACTTCGTGTATGAACTGGACTGAGGTCTCCAGATCAGCGGGTGTCCCTTATAGATTTTCCTTGAGTGGGGTTTGTAGGGGCCAGTGTTTAGGGTTTTTATTTCCAAGTATTTCGAATTATTTCATTTAGCAATAAAATATTGTCATAGAATATTCTGGTTGAACCGTAATTCAACACTAAACATTAGCAGCAATCTTGTACTAGCTTTTAATTTTTCTCTTCAGATGATAAAGTACACTATTCTTTTAATTTCTCTCTGCAGATAATGAAGTACACTATTAATTTCTCTCTGCAGATAATGAAGTACACTATTAATTTTTCTCTGCACATAACAAAGTACACTATTAATTTCTCTCTGCAGATAATGAAGTACACTTTTAATTTCTCTCTACAGATAATGAAGTACACTTTTAATTTCTCTCTACAGATAATGAAGTACACTATTCTTTTGTGTCTTTTCGGCCTTGCCTTCGGGCAACTTGATCCCAACTGGAGAATCACAGGTAAAGTTATCATCGAACTTTTTATTTACCTGGTCAATTATCGATTGGATCAAATATTGAATGGCCTAACCTTTTAGCTTACGACTACTAACCCTCGAGTTCGGGTCCCGGGCTAGAGGATATAGTCCTCCCAACTTGGATGTGTAGCTGTCACGTTAGGAAAACAAAGGCGGCTGGGCTTTGTGCTGACCACATTATCCATCATATACCCAGCTCATTGTGGCTGATTAGCTTTACTTTATCTACACTATTCTACACCATGAGTAGGCCTTTTGCGCAAAAAGGGGAAAATTCGGGTGATTATCATCTATTCATTAGATCAAAGTTTTAACCATACGATCCCATTTAAAAGGTTATGTTATTGTTGGCCGCCTGAGTAGATTTATTCTCATCATTTTAATGTGCCCGACGTGTTCAAAGTTTACGAAACAAAACACACAAAGTTCGTGCTGATTGTGTATGCACAAAATTGTGCTTTAAAAGTGGAGATGTTATTGTCTCCCGATAAGCTTCTTGTGAAATGTATTAACAATTGGTTTAGTGTTACCTGACCTTGTTAGTGTGACCTCTGTCCTTGTTAGTGTGACCTCTGACCTTGTTAGTGTGACCTCTGCCCTTGTTAGTATTACCTCTGCCCTTGTTATTATTACCTCTGACCTTGTTAGTGTGACCTCTGACCTTGTTAGTGTGACCTCTGTCCTTGTTAGTGTGACCTCTGCCCTTGTTAGTATTACCTCTGTCCTTGTTAGTATGACCTCTGACCTTGTTAGTATGACCTCTGACCTTGTTAGTATTACCTCTGACCTTGCCCTTCCACAGACCAGTGCCAGCGAAATGTTGACGTTGCCGTCATCGGTGCCGGAGCGACTGGATCCTACGCCGCCTACATGCTGAAGGACAAGAACCTGGCCGTAGAGGTGGTTGAGATGTCCAACAGCATCGGAGGTCGCCACCTGACCGCCTACATGCCCGGCGCCCCGGATGTCCCAGTTGAGCTCGGTCAGAGGGCCTACGCCGATATCCACGACATCATGCAGAAGATTGTTCCAGAGCTCGGTGAGTGACGTCCCCTTCACGTGGTCAGCAGAGTTTCTTCCAGGCATCTCTTTGGGGGGGCAAAGCCCCCCCGAAAAATTTTTACCGCCCCCCCGGACGAAATGAAATTTATATAATTTATATAGAAAATATATACTTTTAACAGTGTCCGCCCCCCCGAAGAAAGTTTACCGCCCCCCCCCCGAAGATTTCAAGTGCCCCCCCGGAGAAAAAAGTCTGGAAGAAACACTGGTGGTCAGTGACGTCCTTGTGACGTGGTCAGTGACGTGGTCAGTGACGTGGTCAGTGACGTCATTGTGACGTGGTCAGTGACGTCCTCGTAACACGTGACGCCTTTGTGACGTGGTCAGTGACGTCTTTGCGACGTGGTCAGTGACGTTCTCGTAACACGTGACGTCTTTGTGACGTGGTCAGTGACGTCCTTGTGACATGGTCAGTTCCAACACTCGATGAGTGATCCTATGACTCCCACGTGACCTGGTCAACTTTATACCAAAATACTGTGATATTCATAAATATTTAGTTGCTTTACCTATGATCATACCTGTGTGTATGTATGTAAATAGTTTGGAATTCCCCCCACAGGTCTGACTCCCCTGGAATTCCCTGAGGCTCTCGGCATCCAGGGCAGTCGGCGCTACTTCCTGAGAGGAAAGAACATCAAGGAGGAGGAGATCATCAGCGGCATCCAGCTGCCCTACACCCTCACCCCAGAGGAGAAGCAGAACCAGGGCAGAATCGTCCAGTAAATACTTTTTTAGCTGCTATCGTATAGCTTTTAGTCTAACATTAAGTTTAAATATTTTTTTTAATTAATGAGGGGACCGAAAATGTTGTTTATTTTAGTTTGTCCAAATTTAATTTTAAAAAATAGTTTCTCTTTTTTTGCGGTGAAAGTTTTAAAAACATATGTAAAAACATTTATAAAAACATTTATAAAATCATTTATGAAAACATTTATAAAAACATTTTTAAAAACATATATAAAAACATCCATAAAAACATGTATAAAAACATTTAAACGTAATAAAGCACTTAAAGACGTATATTTTTGAAGCTATAACACACTTCCTGTGATTCTTTATTCTAAAATTTTAGCAAAATAAAATATACGTTGAACAGAAAAAACAATTTCCCTTTAAAACAGTTTTATTGTGCTAGCTCGTTTATAGTGTGTTTACAAAATATTAAGGTTTAAGAATGTTTTATTTCAAGTTGTTTTATATTCTATAATGATAAGAAACATTAACTTCAGCATTCAATAAAAATGTAACAGACACCTTTTGTTTTGAAACCATTTCACAGACACTACTACAAGAAGCTGACTGGCCTTGAACTCACCCAGAAACTCTCCATGCCAGAGCGCCTGCAAGTCAAGGTCATCAAGACCAACCGCCCACTGCACGAGCACAAGTGAGTAGCAGACGAAAAGCCACGTGTCTAAAAGATCGAATCACGTGTCTAAAAGATGGAGTCACGTGTCTGAAATACCCTACGCTACCATTTCAATTAAACTTTGAACGTTTTTTTAGAACCGCAATCCCCAATCAGCTGATTGTATTCTCCGCAGACTTGACGAGGCTCTTGACCTTGTCGCCAGCCCCGAGGGTAAGGAATTCTTCAAGGCCATCGTCAAGGGCAAGTGGTCCCTGTCTGAGGACGCCAGCGCTTGGCTGCCATTTGGGTTTGAGATGGACTACAACAGGTGAGCCCGATAGGTCAAGGTTGCAGATAGGTCAAGGTTGCTAATAGGTCAAGGTTGTAGATAGGTCAAGGTTGCAGATAGTTCAATGTTGCAGATAGTTTAAGGTTGTAGATAGTTCAAGGTTGCAGCTTTAGGGTAGTGACGGAGATAAGCTTAACAAACTTTGGGTGACAAACCAATATTCTTTTATTGCCGTAAGGCTATAATGTGTGGCTTATTTCAGTGGGTTTTTTTATAATTAGCCATTGATTGATTATGCATTAACTTGAATGCAGACACGGTGTTTTACATATAAGTATAGAAGACCCACTATCCAGCGGTTAAAATAAAATTTATAATCCATCGTCAATTTAAACATTGGTTCGTATTTATATAAGGTTAATTTGTTTTAAATAAACAATATAAAACGTGTTTCATATTTGTCCTCTCACAATTTAAGTTGTAACTGTAAAATCTCAGGGACAACACAACCTTTTACCGCGTCAAGGAAGGTATGGACGCTATCCCCAAGAAACTGATTGAGAAATTCACCAATGTCAGCCCACGGTGAGTGCTTATAGACGCAAACAATTGCCGCAGTTTAAAAACTGAGATGCATTTTGTGATTAGCAGCGAAACTAATTTGTCGAACTCGAATCTTTTTCTCAGCAACGTCATGACCTTCAACCGTAAAGTCGAGGCCATCCAGCGATTCCAGAACATGACCTACATCCTGAAACTCAAGGAGACCAAGACTGTCGATGGCAGAACTTTTGAGCTCGTGAGTACTCGTTTTAAACCAAAAACAATTTCCGACAATTCTTCATTGATAAATGTTGTTTTTTTTTTATTATGACAAAAGTTTTCAAACATATGTTCTGGAATAATGTTTCCAGTAACAAATGTCGTCAGGAAAATATTCTAAACAATATTCTTCAAACAAATGGTACAAAGTGACTCTAAACAACAGTCCTCACACAATCGGCACACAACCACTTTCATGCCTGGACTCACCCCCGACATTTCCTCCTCCCCCAGGGTCCAGAAGAGTTCCTGTGTGCCCAACAGATCATTCTGGCCATCCCCAAACACTCACTGGAGCACCTGCAATGGTCCGTCACAAAGTAAGACTTTTTTATCAGCTTTTCGTCACCAAGTAAGACTTACCTCCCACCCCACACCACCCACAACCCCACCCCACTGCCACCCAAAAAAGGACGCATTAAAGGCAAATAAACGTTAAACATGATGTCAAATTATTTTAACTATTTACTTCTGAGACACGATCGAGAAAGTTTCGAACTCCGACAGTAGGGACGGTTCGGTGGGGTGAGTGAGAACCAGACCGCTACTTGAAAAGTCCCACGTTCAAACCCTCGGGCAGATAAACCACGCTAGCTATTGACAGCATCCCATCCAGGAGAGACATAAAAAAAAACATCTACTGCTTTGCAGTTTGTATTTGAAAGTAATCCAGCAAGAAATGCTTGTTGAAATTATCTGGAAGTAACATGCTGACACGCAATATCTATTTGGTTTGCATGAGATCCCCTCTGATATTACTATCTAAAACTCAGAAGAAGAAATATTTGGCAGTTGTTTAATTGAAATATTACAATCCTAAACTCAGAAGAATAAATATTTGGCAGTTGTTTAATTGAAATATTACAATCCTAAACTCAGAAGAAGAAATATTTGACAGTTGTTTAATTGAAATATTACAATCCTAAACTCAGAAGAATAAATATTTGGCAGTTGTTTAATTGAAATATTACTATCTAAAACTCAGAAGAAGAAATATTTGGCAGTTGTTTAATTGAAATATTACAATCCTAAACTCAGAAGAAGAAATATTTGGCAGTTGTTTAATTGAAATATTACTATCTAAAACTCAGAAGAAGAAATATTTGGCAGTTGTTTAATTGAAATATTACAATCCTAAACTCAGAAGAAGAAATATTTGGCAGTTGTTTAATTGAAATATTACAATCCTAAACTCAGAAGAATAAATATTTGGCAGTTGTTTAATTGAAATATTACAATCTAAAACTCAGAAGAAGAAATATTTGGCAGTTGTTTAATTGAAATATTACAATCCTAAACTCAGAAGAATAAATATTTGGCAGTTGTTTAATTGAAATATTACAATCTAAAACTCAGAAGAAGAAATATTTGGCAGTTGTTTAATTGTAATATTACAATCCTAAACTCAGAAGACTAAATATTTGGCAGTTGTTTAATTGAAATATTACTATCTAAAACTCAGAAGAAGACATATTTGGCAGTTGTTTAATTGAAATATTACAATCCTAAACTCAGAAGAAGAAATATTTGGCAGTTGTTTAATTTAAATATTACAATCTAAAACTCAGAAGAAGAAATATTTGGCAGTTGTTTAATTGTAATATTACAATCCTAAACTCAGAAGACTAAATATTTGGCAGTTGTTTAATTGAAATGTTACTATCTAAAACTCAGAAGAAGACATATTTGGCAGTTGTTTAATTGAAATATTACAATCCTAAACTCAGAAGAAGAAATATTTGGCAGTTGTTTAATTTAAATATTACAATCTAAAACTCAGAAGAAGAAATATTTGGCAGTTGTTTAATTGAAATTTTACAATCTAATACTGAGAGAACGAAATTTTTGGCAGTTGATTAATTGAAATCAATGTTTCTCTGACAGAGACTACAAGAACAGGGAGGCCCTGAAGGCTCTCAGAACAGTCCCCCAGGTCCAAGTCGCCATGACCTTCACCTACCCCTTCTGGCAGGCCACCGCCAACGAGAAGGCCAAGGTCAAGTTCACCGACACCATCCTCGGCTCCGCCCACGACTTGGGTGCCTCCAACAACAAGTACATCCTCCTGGCCTCACTGAACTACGGCGAGCAGGTCCGCCAGATTGAGAGGCTCAACCTCCAGGGTAACTCCACTTCCGGCTCAGCTCAAGGCGTCTACCAGGTCTCCGAGGTCCTGAAGGACACCCTCCTGGACATCCTCAGCAAGATGTACGACGTCAGCCGCGACAAGATGATCCAGCCCGTGTACTCAGTCTCCAAGATCTGGACCCTGCCCCCACACACCGGCGGTCTCACCGTCTGGAGGGCCGGCTACAACTACGAAGACGTCCGCAAGGTTCTCCTGCGCCCCTCCATCGTTGACAAGGTCTTCATCGCCACCCCTGACATCGCTTTCGGCGCCCGCCAAGCCTGGACTGAGGGAGGTCTCATCGATGTCCAGAGCATTATCTCTACCTACTTCCAGTAGACAGCTAGTGCCTTGCCTCTTGAGATAATTCATTCAGATATTTTATGAAAAATAAAAAAAATATAAATATATTATTTTTCCTTCTTTTTTGTATTGTAAATGCATTGTTATAAATATTTTTTCCTGTAAAATATTTTTAAAATAATTTAGCAAAATTTGTAAAATTCTGTTCTAAAACACGTGAAATATTTCAAAATATTTAAAAAATATTTATTCATGTACAAAGCCAGTCTATTGCTGTTTCATTAGCTAAGACAAATACCAAAGTATTTTAAAAATAATTCGCTATCATGTCTACCTAGTAGCGACAAATTGAGATCACAATTTTCGAAGATGCGACACATGAATCTTAATTCTATAACTTTCTAATGGTAAAAATTGTTGAAAATACTGAATGCTTTGATTTAACCAACAATACATCTCTGCGATGTTTGTGAATCCATTTCTTGCTATACCTATAATTAGATACAGAAGAAAAATAATACCGATACGATTTTAATAGATCACAACAAATATTTTTACAATTCCTGAATTATCCAACAAAATATTCATGGCGTATTTAAGATAAGTCTTTGTCAGGACTTTTTTTTATAAATAAGGGAGTGAAATCTGTAACTCAGAACTTAGTTGTTGAAGGGAAGTAATAATCGAGGTACCATATTAACAGTCAATATTTGTAAAATGATACCTTACGTTTTGTCGAGTCGATGATAACCTTTGGGGTTGTAAGTTTAAGAAATACGCTAATAGTAAACACCGGCAAGAAAGTCTCCACGAGGCTCATATTAGTATGTGGCCCATTATATTAGTAGAAGGTATGTGCTACTAGAGGAGCCATACATCACTCTTGTTGGTATGTGGCTCATTCTGAGTAGTGGCTTCTCGTATGTGGCTTACCCGTGTAAACAGAATCATACACTGGCTGTGAAGTATGCAACTAAAATGCTTTCAACTTTAGACGAGAACCATCTCATAAATGTTTGTTCCACTAAACAGCCACATCACGTCTTCTTTCCTTAGTCGTTAGGTTTTCTTCAGAGTTCTTCCGTATTCTTCAGTTTTTTACACATTTAAATTTAGACACCGTCCTTACTCGTCAAATTTGTTACGTTAGAACAAGACAGTGTAGGCGTGTAGACTCATATCAACTTTTTTTCTTTATAAAAACCGGTTGCTTCTGTCTCCATGTCCAGAGCTTGTATTTGTAACAATGTATGTTCGATGGCTCCATAAACTTTGTACAGTCACGTGAACGTGAGTACTCATCTGTGATGGCTGGGTACAACATGTCTTTTGTTCAACGACCCAGTCCTTGTGTGACCTATCCCAACCTGACCATGGGGGGGGGGGGCAGCTTTGTTGATCTTTACAGATGGTCAACACACACGATCAACATCTAGACAACAGGTCAACAGGTAGCACACATGTTCAACAGATCAACACAGAAGGTCAACACAGGAGTTCAACACACATGGTCAAGAGGTCAACACAGAAGGTCAACACAAGAGTTCAACACACATGGTCAAGAGGTCAACACAGAAGTTCAATTTAGCTAATGTTGAGGAGAATACATAGCATCACACCTCTAGGATGTAGGTACTAGTTGAACTATAGGGTACGGTCTGTCTGCTACATTAGTTGTGTATATATTCCACCCACTACATTAGTTTAAGTTTATGATATGTTATGCCCACTACAATAGTTTCTAAGATATATTCTACCCACTTAATTAGTTTCTAGCTCCCAGCAAAGCTTAAGTTATGATCAGAATATCCCCATGCCTGTAGATTAGACAGAGACATGTAAATATTGTTTAGAGATAGGAATTGGTCATTCCGGTAAGCAAAACTGAAAATGTTTTGAACAGCTAAACAATCGAACAATACGCCTTTCTCAAAAAAAAAAAGTTTTTGTAAACTAATTCAAAGAAGAATTCTGTTTTTCTTGTTTTTGTTAAGACATTTTCTTAGTCGTACGTGTTGATCAGAGTAAGTGCTATGTGTAAGCTAACAAGATTTTTGTTGACCAATCGACATACAGTAAGCGATGTAACCCTCCTCACTGTGCATGACTGCTGTTCTTGCGCATGCGTATTTCACCGACACACGATCGAATTGATCAAATGCGGGGGTGAATGTGTTTGTGTTGATCTAACCTGACAAAATGATCCAGGGATTCTCAACACTGAAGTGTACTGGCCACATGACGGAGATGGGAACACTGAAACACGCAGTTAACGATCGATGATAAACTTGGCGTCAAGTTGACTAGAGACTTGTGATCACAGGCGTAGCGAGGGGGGGGGGGGCGGACCGCACCGGGTGACACCATTTAGGGGGTGACACTAAAGCAAAAAATAGCAAAATATATAGAGAAAAATTTGAGGGGGGGGGGGGGTGCAAATCGAAAGTTTGAGAGGGGGGGGGATGCAAATCGAAATTTTGCAATTTGTCCCCGGGAAGGGTCGCTACGCCTCTGGGGGGGGGGGGGGGTGAAACCATTAAGTGCCGCACCGGGTGACACCCGACCTCGCTACGCCACTGCTTGTGATGGCATGTTGTTTGAAATACTCACGCTGACCGTAGGGCTTGTCCACAATATCGTCATGCTTGTTCGATAGAGATGTGAGACACACACATCAGGATGTTGGGCTATAGAGATGTGTGACATCACGATGTTAGGATACAGAGCACACACCAGGATACTGGGCTAAAGAGATGTGAGATACAAACATAAGGATGAGAACCATCTGCCTAATTTTGTATTGATTATCTCGAAACTTAATTAAACCTGACAATGAAGTTTACGTTCATTAATTAGGTTTTAATAGTGTCAGCAAGTTTTCTAAAACCGTTTGTAAGTAACTAGAGTCTATAAGTTAATTAGATATTAGGTAAGTAACTAGAGTCTATAAGTAAATTAGATTTTAGAAGTTTCGTTCTGTTCAAGTTTTTTTATTCACTCGTTGCCACGTGGTAGATATTCTGTATCACTGTCGTCTGCCACAGGTGCTAGACTTACAGAAGGTGAGTATTTACCTGAGGTCAGTTTACTTCTGCAAGTGCCGTCTGGAAGATGTGTCAGCCATTCCAACAGCCTTGTAATATATATTATGTAATATGTAATATGTAATAGAATGTTTTTTTTTTTCAATTTTAGCGTTTTGCTGGCTTATATTTCGTTTCGTTTTTATTTGGGGTCGTTGTTAAACTAATCAAACATTTTAAGTGTTTTTTGTTTAGCTTATTATTGCCTCTTCTTGGGGGTCATAGATCATTTATCTTAGATGAAGACATTGCTTTTTAAAATGCTAACTAAAGCAGAGTAATCGGTTTGTTAAAATTGTAATTTACCTTTTAAGACAATGAGTTAAATGAGTTAAATAAAGGAGTAAAAAAAACATTGAATTGACCCTGTATAACGGAGTTTAAAAGATTGAATTGACCTTCCCAGGAAGATGAAAGCCCTGATACTTTTCGGCCTGATTGGCCTAGCACTGACTCAGAGTATCCCCAACAGTAGGCAAACAGGTCAGTTGTTTTATGGTGTCAGACTGTCATAGGTCAGTTGTTTTATGTTGTCAGACTGTCATAGGTCAGTTGTTTTATGTTGTCTGTCTCATAGGTCAGTTGTTTTATGTTGTCTGTCTCATAGGTCAGTTGTTTTATGTTGTCAGACTGTCATAGGTCAGTTGTTTTATGTTGTCTGTCTCATAGGTCAGTTGTTTTATGTTGTCAGACTGTCAAAGGTCAGTTGTTTTAGGGTGTCTGACTGTCAAAGGTCAGTTGTTTTAGGGTGTATGACTGTCATAGGTCAGTTTTTTTAGGGTGTCTGACTGTCATGGGTCAGTTGTTTTATGGTGTCAGACAATCATCAATATTTGTGTCACATTCGATCCACATGTCATTTTCAATATTACATGTCACTTTACGTGTCAAATTTCATTTGTCGTTTCATATGCCAGTTTGATGCCACATCCCTTTATACATGTCACATGTCAAATGTCATATCTTTCTGCCAGATGACTGTCAACGTGTGGTAGACATCGCCATCATCGGCGCGGGGGCATCAGGGGCATATGCCGCCTACAGACTCAAAGACAGCCAGCAGGTCATTGAACTGGTGGAGATGTCCGAACAGGTGGGAGGCCGGCACTTGACCACGGCATTCCCAGACTCACCTGACATCCCCATAGAACTGGGCAGGACCGTGTACGCTGCTCACCATTCCAGGGTCGTTCGTCTCCTGCAAGAACTGGGTGAGTTGTTGGTCAACTAGGTCAGTTGCTGGTTAACTAGGTCAGTTGCAGGCTAACTAGGTCAGTTGTTGGTTAACTAGGTCAGTTGTTGGTTAACTAGGTCAGTTGTTGGTTAACTAGGTCAGTTGTTGGTTAACTAGGTCAGTTGTTGGTTAACTAGGTCAGTTGTTGGTTAACTAGGTCAGTTGTTGGTTAACTAGGTCAGTTGTTGGTTAACTAGGTCAGTTGTTGGTTAACTAGGTCAGTTGTTGGTTAACTAGGTCAGTTGTTGGTTAACTAGGTCAGTTGTTGGTTAACTAGGTCAGTTGTTGGTTAACTAGGTCAGTTGTTGTCTGGTCAACTTGCTAGGTAAGTTGTTGATTGGTCAACTAGCTAGGTCAAATGTTGACTGGTCAACTAGCTAGGTCGAATGTTGACTGGTCAAATAACTAGGTCAGTTGTTGACTGGTCAACTAACTAGGTCAGTTCTTGACTGGTCAACTAACTAGGTCAGTTGTTGACTGGTCAACTAACTAGGTCAGTTGTTGGTCAACTAACTAGGTCAGTTGTTGACTGGTCAACTAGCTAGGTCAGTTGTTGACTGGTCAACTAGCTAGGTCAAATGTTGACTGGTCAACTAGCTAGGTCAGTTGCTGGTTAACTAGCTATGTAATAGGTAAGTTGTTGTCTGGTCAACTAGCTAGGTCAATTGTTGACTGGTCAACTAGCTAGGTCAATTGTTGACTGGTCAACTAGCTAGGTCAGTTGTTGACTGGTCAACTAGCTAGATCAGTTGTTGACTGGTCAACTAGCTAGGTCAGCTGTTGACTGGTCAACTAGCTAGGTCAGTTGTTGACTGGTCAACTATCTAGGTCAGTTATTGCTTAACTAGCTAGGTGAGTTAGAGTGTGGTCAACTAACTAGGTCAGTTGTTGACTGGTCAACTAGCTAGGTCAGTTGTTGACTGGTCAACTAGCTAGGTCAGTTGTTGGTCAACTAACTAGGTCAGTTATTGACTGGTCAACTAGCTAGGTCAAATGTTGACTGGTCAACTAGCTAGGTAGGTATGGGGCTGTGTGGTCGAGTTGTCTGCGTGATGTAGGAACCTGTTCTTAAGACCGTCATTTGTCCCTTGACCAAATAGCAGCTCATGTCTAAACCAGATGATGTGATACATTTGGTGAAGATGTTAAATTGGTCAGTTAGTTACGTAAGTTTCATCATTGCGATATTAATTACATCTTGTCTGCCGTTTGTATCGGTAAATTAAAGCTAATTGTTTCATCTAATTAAAGACAGACAAACAAAGTTTAAAACAAAATCGTCAAAATAGTGAGGTTAGCCCGCGTCTTTCTTGGTGCAACGGTTTAAAAACGGATAGATCTGATGCAATCACTTGACTCTTACACCAGTATCCAGTGGACGAGCCCACCCTTATCACGTGACAACCGTCTGTCCCCAGGACTTGGCCAACTGCCGATAGCCTCAGGACGGCCGATAGAGATGAAGAGCAGCTACTACCTCAGGGGTCAGTTTTTCCAAGAGGAGGACATCCAGAGGGGGGTCAGGCTGCCCTACAACATGACCCAGGAGGAGAGGGACAACCAGGGACAAATCAACAGGTCAGGAGATCACGTGACTGGTCAAGCAATCACGTGACTGGTCAGACTGTCACGTGGCAATTCACACTCCCATGTGTCGTTGAGACTTTAAGTTGACATTCATGGATATATTAATATAAATCTTGGCATATATATATATATATATATATATATATATATATATATATATATATATATATATATATATATATATATATATATATATATATATATATATATATATTTATTTATTTATTTATTTATTTATTTATTTATTTATATACATATATAGATATGTCTAATGATTTGACTAATTAAAGGCACTACCTAAAGAAACTGACAGACTGGGACCAAGATGTACTACCCAGAGAACAAATCCTTCTTCTGAAGGTCAAGGATGGTCGTTACCTTTATGAGCTTACGTGAGTATTGTCGTCTTTGAGTAGAGAGCTCAACATAGTAACTAGATCATCTCCAGTATCGCAGCTTTCATAGCAACGACCATTAGCTTACAGTTACTGGCACTGAAGTAGATTCTGTAGATCATTAGCTTTCAGTTACTGGCACTGAAGCGGATTCTGTAGATCATTAGCTTTGAGTTACTGGCACTGAAGCGGATTTTGTTCTGTCTGCAGCATCGACGAGGCCTTGAGCTACGTGGCGAGTGACGAGGGTCGTGAGTACTTCCTGGACTACGTCAAGACCAGGTACGCCGTCTACAGAGACTCTAGCGCTGTCCTCATCTTCGCCAACGAGCTGGAATACAACAAGTAAGTCTCTGGCAACTTCCGGTCACATGCATGACCTCACTTCCGGTCAGAACAGTCCCCCGCTCACTAGAAATCTAAAAAGTTTAAATTATTTCGTTTTTGAAAGGCTAAAGATGCATACAGTTTTACATACTTCGTAATGAATTAATTTTGTGAAAGCTTTTTGAGAAAAAAAAATCTTACAAGGTGGGCTGAGGTGTGTAGAGAGCATAAATAATGAGGAAATTGAATTATTTTATCAAATAATGTTTATTTTGCAAAATAACAGTATGTATCAGATTTGATACAGTATGCAACGGTGGGTAAAAATTTGTTAAAATTGACAAAAAAATATTTTTTACTTATCATTGAAAATTTATTGAGTAATTATTAATTTGAGTAAAACACTTATTCATCACAAATCTGGAGCATCAGAAATTCATTTACAAGATAGTAATTTAATTTTTTTTACAATATTGCTATTACCAGTTATGTCATATTTCTTAGTAATCATGCATCTTTTTATTGTGTCAGTGAAATAAGCAGCATCACTTTGCTCAGCAGGACCTCTATATAGTATAATTTGAAATTGTTATTGTTTTAAATGCAAAGTAGTTTTTAATGACTCAAACTTGTTGATATTAAAGAAATTAGAATATATCTACAATGCTGATATTTGTCCATTATTAGAACTTTTTCCTATGCAATGAAACCAGAGACATGACTGTTAGAAACCAATGAATTGATTTATTTCTGTTATATCAAAGACTTCAAGCTTTATCTGGATTCCTCTGTGCAATGTAGATCTAGAAAATCCTTTCACCCAGTATACTAAGATAGTCTTTATCCATGGTGTGAAATAAAATAATCTTGAACAGCCGGAAGGCCTTGCACTAAAAACTATATTGGTCAGTTCCTATTCCTCACAAATAATAGAAAACATTCATGTGTTTTAGTTAACCACTTTGCTGGACTAGCATCTGCTTACATCTTATGAATGTACATGTTATAAATGTAGGCCTACAGCTTATGAATGTATATCAGAATAAAGTCTACCACTTTACTTTCTCCGAACCAATCCCTTTATTCTCTCTACATCACTTTCTAAGTGTTCAATTTCAGTTACAGTAACACCTTCAACATCAGGTAAATAAATAGATGAATAATTAGACATTAGTGACCAAAGAAATATGCAGTTTCTATTTCAGACAGAATTCTTTTGTGAGAATCTTTACCCATCCTGTAAACAAAAAATTCACTACAAAAGAAACTATATATTATTCTAGATTTATTTACATTATCTTCATGCATGCGCAAATTAAATTATAATTTAAATATAAATAATGTATCACTGCTACTTTTTATATACTAGAGGATTAGGATTTTATTTGCAAGTATTATTATAATACTATATGCAAGAATGTCATTCAAATATTATTATGCCATTTTTTTAAAAACAATAATTGCAAGTAATAAGTACAATATTTACTACAGGCCTAGTTATTAGATTGTAACTTTATAAGATGAATAATCAAATATAACACCAACTTCACTTTCATTTACATTCTCCTTGAGGTCTACCATCTATTTAATTCAGAACAGTTTTGCGACCAAATTTATCGCTCGCTCTAGACAAAAAGAGATCCTGTAAAAATAAATAAAACAATGTCAGCACCAAAACAATCTCTAATCATTCATGAACTTCATGGATTTATAAATTAAGTTTTAATTACTATTATAAACATAAGTAAAGCACCACTGCCTATGGTAATTATTACTGTTTGCGTACCGGTATGAGGTAAATAATAAGTAGCCTAAGTATGTAGGCCTATGCCTAATATTATTACTATTTTTCTTCCATAATAATTACTATACTACTTTCTAAGCTTATTAGACCCAAACACTGTCTCTGTGTATGAATTAGTATGATTAGAGAATTATATGCAAGTTATTCTAAGCAGCAGCTAGTAAATATCAGTCTAAAACTATATTATTATTGTTATACATTATGACACCTTTTTTGGTCTTCAATAGCAGCACTACACTGTACACCCTTTATTATAGGCTTATTATAGTAGCACATTGATCTTCTGTATATATATAGTACTGAGTAAGTGCTAAATCTAAGTAAAATTAGTATACAATAGTCTACAGCTTGACTATGTTACTATTGTTACAGATTTTGACACTATTTTTCTTCTATAATTTACATATTATTATTGTAAAAATATGAAAGAAAAACAAACCTAAGCTAATGTAAGAACCAACAGTTGACTAAAGTCTACCTACTAGATGTTAGGAATTGTTCTATCAACTAATTATTATACTACAGAAAAGTCACTACACAGTAGTCCCAGCTAATGTCATGGTCATACCGTTGCATGGTGTATCAAAACTGTTACATACCGTAATTGGACATTATCAGCTCAAATATAAAGAAATAGTATGCAAACAACTTATTTTTACGTAAAATTACTCACCTGAGATTGGTGAATATTTTTTTCAAGAAGAAAAACACGGCCTGTGAATTTTTATTATTTTCTCAAAAACACCTCGATCTCAGCTGTCCGACCAGTGTAAAAAAACGGAATCAAACTCGAATTGTGTGATACGAAACACACCTATAATCTGTTTCGGGTATGAATTTGGGTCAAAAGTGATCAAGCTAGAGTATGGCATATTAAAAACTCAGATTTTAACATGTGTGTAGATTCAATGGGGGTTATTTCACTTTGTATCAAAATTGATACAACATGAAATGAAGGGTTAACGTCACCTATTAGCCTTATAGTAATCCCATCCATCCATCATCAACCATACATTGTAGACAGATGTATCTACACAAACACACGACAATTGCTCCGTGTGTACACACGACAATTGCTCCGTGTGTACACGCGACAATTGCTCCGTGTGTACACTTGACAATTGCTCCGTGTGTACACTTGACAATTGCTCCGTGTGTACACACGACAATTGCTCCGTGTGTACACACGACCATTTCTCCACGTGTACACACAATTTTCCTGTTATTCCAGCGAATCAACCTCCTTCTACAAGGTGAAGGACGGCATGCAGTCCATCCCTAAGACAGCGGTCAAACTTTTCTTGGCAGCCAGTGAAATGTAAGTACGTTTTGTCAGTCACAAGTAGATAATGTCATGTCAGGCCTTAGTGACAATGTCATGTTCTCTGATAATCTCTTAATGAATAAACTCCCTGACCCTCTAATATCTGGATGACCAGGAACAAGCTGACCTTCAACAGAAAACTTGAAGCCATCCAGCGACTGTCTAACATGACGTACCTGCTCAAACTGAAGGAGACCAAAACAGTCGATGGTCGAATTCGGGAGACGGTGAGATACAGCTATACTTACACATACATACATATGTCGTTTAAACTATATACCGACATCAAACGGAAATAATCGACAATCATCAACAAATGCCCTAAACTCTACTACAACTCTTAATCCTAACGATACCTTCCGAAAATACATAAACCACAACCCCTGACCCATAAGTCCAGACCCACAAGACCCGACCCGACCTTTTAAGACCCGACCCGACCCTCAAGACCCGACCCGACCCGACCCACAAGACCCCACCCAACCCACAAGACCCGACCCACAAGACCCGACCCTCAAGACCCGACCCGACCCTCAAGACCCCACCCGACCCACAAGACCCGACCCACAAGACCCGACCCACAAGACCCGACCCTCAAGACCCCACCCGACCCACAAGACCCGACCCACAAGACCCGACCCTCAAGACCCGACCCGACCCTCAAGACCCCACCCGACCCACAAGACCCGACCCACAAGACACGACCCACACGACCCGACCCACAAGACCCGACCCTCAAGATCCGACCCACACGACCCGACCCTCAAGACCCGACCCGACCCGACCCACAAGACCCCACCCAACCCACAAGACCCGACCAACAAGACCCGACCCTCAAGACCCGACCCGACCCTCAAGACCCCACCCGACCCACAAGACCCGACCCACAAGACACGACCCACACGACCCGACCCACAAGACCCGACCCTCAAGATCCGACCCACACGACCCGACCCACAAGACCCGACCCACAAGACCCGACCCACAAGACCCGACCCGACCCGACCCACAAGACCCAACCCACACGACCCACACGACCCGACCCACAAGACCCAACCCACACGACCCACACGACCCACACGACCCACACGACACGACCCACACGACCCGACCCACAAGACCCGACCCACAAGACCCGACCCACAAGACCCGACCCACAAGACCCGACCCACAAGACCCGACCCGACCCGACCCACAAGACCCAACCCACACGACCCACACGACCCGACCCACAAGACCCAACCCACACGACCCACACGACCCGACCCACAAGACCCAACCCACACGACCCACACGACCCGACCCACAAGACCCAACCCACACGACCCGACCCACAAGACACGACCCACACGACCCGACCCACAAGACCCAACCCACACGACCCGACCCACAAGACACGACCCACACGACCCGACCCACAAGACACGACCCACACGACCCACACGACCCGACCCACAAGACCCAACCCACACGACCCACACGACCCGACCCACAAGACCCAACCCACACGACCCACACGACCCGACCCACAAGACACGACCCACACGACACGACCCACACGACCCGACCCACAAGACCCGACCCACAAGACCCGACCCACAAGACCCGACCCACAAGACCCGACCCACAAGACACGACCCACAAGACCCAACCCACACGACCCGACCCACACGACCCGACCCACAAGACCCGACCCACAAGACCCGACCCACAAGACACGACCCACAAGACCCAACCCACACGACCCACACGACCCGACCCACAAGACACGACCCACACGACCCGACCCACAAGACACGACCCACAAGACCCGACCCACAAGACCCGACCCACAAGACCCAACCCACAAGACACGACCCACAAGACCCGACCCGACCCTCAAGACCCCACCCGACCCACAAGACCCGACCCACAAGACCCGACCCACAAGACCCAACCCACAAGACACGACCCACACGACCCGACCCACAAGACACGACCCACAAGACCCGACCCACAAGACCCGACCCACAAGACACGACCCACAAGACCCAACCCACACGACCCGACCCACAAGACCCGACCCACAAGACCCGACCCACAAGACACGACCCACAAGACCCAACCCACACGACCCACAAGACCCGACCCACAAGACCCAACCCACAAGACACGACCCACACGACCCGACCCACAAGACCCGACCCGACCCACTAGTTCAGACCCACAAGACCCGACCCACAAGACCCGACCCACAAGACCCGACCCACAAGACTCAACCCAGAAGACCCGACCCACAAGACCCGACCCAGATGACCCGACCTTCAAACGACCCGACCCTGCCAGAGTCTGACCACAGCCTTGTGTCCGCAGGGTCTAGAAGAGTTCCTGTGTGCCAAACAGGTCATCCTCACCCTGCCAAAAGACTCGATGGATCACCTGCAGTGGTCAGAGCTCAAGTAAGTTCACGTCAGCCGGTTAAAAAAATTTAATCTCAAATATCAATTTTTTTCTCCAACTGAAGTGTCAGATATCTTTCCAACTATAATCCACCAAAAACAAAACGAAAAATAAAAATAAAGTTTAGCATCATTAGAATTATAACTAAAAAACACTATCTTTTGTTTACTCAAAAAAATACAGTTACATCTTTTACTTTTTAAATTTGTTTAGTTATTCTTGAACTGATTACTAGCCTGATCTCGCCTTGTTTACCTAAAGCCATTTTTGTCCTGCCTGTTGATCTAGAACCGACAGAGTGACCGAGGCGCTGGACGCAGTCCGCACGGTGCCGGCCGCCGTCGTTGCCATGGAGTTCGACAAGCCGTTCTGGAAGGAGGGGGACGATGAGGTTGCCAGGTTCACCGACCTTGACATCACCATGTCCTACGTCATGGGCAGGTCCGAAATCTCCGGCAAGTACATCGTGGTGACCAGCGCAGCAGACGGCGATGACGTCAGAGACCTGGAGCGGCTGAACGTGGGGGAGGAGGACGGCAGGCGCGGGATGAACATCTCCCGCGCGCTCTCTCAGCACATCCTCCAGCAGATCAAGCTGGTCTACGGGGTCAAGGACGAATCCCTGCTGCAGCCCACATCGGCCCTTGGGAAAATCTGGACGCTCCCGCCCCACACCGGGGGCACCACGACCTGGAGGGCGCGCCGGAACTTTGATGACGTCATCGCCGTAGTCCAGCGCCCGTCCCTGGTGGACAAGGTGTACGTGGCCAACAGCGACTTCGCGTTCGGCAACCTGGTCTGGACGACGGAGGGGGCGCTGGAGGTGGTGGACACCGTCCTGCACAAGTACCTGGGCGTGGTCAAACCGTAGTTGCCATAGCAACTGGGCTGTGGTGAGGACATGGGGCCATGCCCGACCCACATAGGCGCCTGGAGTACCAGGTTGTCTAAAAGTTGTATCAATCAGATATATGCTTCACATTAAAAATTACGAAACATACTTTTTTTTTACAAGATTTGGAGGTTTATTTTTTATTAAACAACACAGTATTTATGTAAAAAAAATTCTGGGGGGGGGGGGGGGCTTCCCCTAATCTCTTATACCCCCCCCCCCCCACAACAATTTAAAGTTCCCCCCCCCCCCCCACCTTCCCCGTTCGGAGAAAAAGTCTTTTTAAAAAGACTGATGATCTGTGGTATGTGTGTGTGTGTGGTGTGTGTGTGTGGGGGGGGGGGGTGATATGGGACTTCTACAGAGCATCAGCCCACTTACCATGCTTAGGCGCAAAGATTTTGGATGTTAAGTGTTAGGGTTTGGATGAGTTTTAAGCTCAGAGCTTATAGAATCTGCAACCATTTTTGTCATTTGACAATTTTAACAATCACGGTGTGAAATGTAATTTTAGAGTTCTAATTGTGTGGGGTTTTTTAACTAAAATAAAATGTAATTTTTATCGTGGAGCAGTTCTCGAGTTCGAATCCGGGTTCAAGCCAGTAGACTGTCCCTGAGTCCACCCAGCTATTATGGGTACCTAACTCCCGTTAAGGAAAGTAAAGGCGGCTGTGCATAATGCTGACCACACTATCTCTTCATATGCCGAGGTCACAGAAACAAGCGAGCTCTACTTCACTTGCCGTCAGGTTTGTAAGGGGAACTTTACTATTTTCAATTCGCTGAAACAATATAAGGACTAATGTTGATTTTTAATATGCAATAATACAAGTCAGATCTTCAAGGGACGTTACTGCTTTAAGCTTAAAATTACATAAAAATTCAGAGTACATTCCCTTCTGCCTTGTAAACAAAAGATCAATTCGACTAAAATCTAGCCGAAGAAAATACAATCTCTAGAATTCTATCTAAATCTAGACATATGATAGATCTAGATCTACCAACTAGCAAAAAGCAAGTTAATTTATTGAATTTTAACTAGAGCAAATCTCTAGATCTTGCTTAATTAAGTTATAAGTAATTTGAATCTAGACTAGTCTAGACAGCCTATAAGATAATAAATTAATAAGAGTCTTGAATGTAGAATTGAAGAATAGAATTCCACCGGCAATTGTGCTCAAACTTTCTAGTTCAGTAGATCTAGAATCTAGACTCTAGAAACTAGAAATCTAGATCTAAGTAAAGTCTAGATCTAGTAACTAGATCTAGAATCGTAACAATAACCTCTAGATCTAGGAAGCTACTAGTCTAGATCTAGCCTACACTACTTAGTACAGTCACAGGAGTCAGTACAGTGTGTACTAGTACTACTAGATCTAGATCTAGACTCTAGTGGGTGTAGTATAGTATGATACTGAGTGATACTATCACTGATAGAATAGATTAGTATCCAAGTTAGTCAGACAACAAGAAGTATAGGTCTACAATCTACAAAAGTAACAATGTCTTATCCCAAATGGATCTTTGCTTTTTCTATAGGCTATAGCCGCTATACTATGCCTACATACCCAGCTTAACCAAAAAAAATAGGCCTACATTATTCCACTTTTTGTAAAGTAAAGACACATCTTTAATGGTCAGCTGCTAACACATACACTTATGTTAAACATACACACATGACATAGGCCTACACTTAAACATACACACATGACATAGGCCTACACTTATGTTAAAAATACACACATGACATAGGCCTACGCTTATGTTAAAAATACACACATGACATAGGCCTACACTTATGTTAAACATACACACATGACATAGGCCTACGCTTATGTTAAAAATACACACATGACATAGGCCTACACTTATGTTAAACATACACACATGACATAGGCCTACGCTTATGTTAAAAATACACAATGACATAGGCCTACACTTATGTTAAAAATACACACATGACATAGGCCTTCGCTTTTGTTAAAAATACACAATGACATAGGCCTATGCTTATGTTAAAAATACATTTATAGCCTACTAGACACTCTTTTACTGTGTCTGCATATATTTGGTTTGTAATCGGAAAATTCGAGTGAGTAGGCCATGCACATTTTTATTTTTTATTATGATCAGTTGTCAGGTTTTTACCTTTTGGGTTAGGGTATCTCTATTATGGTTTTATTTTAATTACCAGGTAGGTGGAATAACACTAGTGGTTAATTTAATTAATTTATACATTACAAGATGGTAAGGTAAGGGCCAGGGTTATTTATGGGTTTGATATCTGCATCATCTACTTATTTCAAGTTGCCAAATCATAAACTTTTTTTGTGTCTCATGTTCAAAAGAAAAATTCTTTCCTAGCTAATGTTGAAGTGTTGTAAAGTGTAAAAATACATTTAAAATCAGTAACAGCCACTGCAGGATTTATCACCTATCACAGTTTTGCTTTCATCTGCCTTAGACAATTTGTACGTTAGAACTTTCACAACAAGGGCTCTCTAGACCACTGATACTATAACCCTCTGTGTAGAGCTACAGCCCTTTCAATAATTCTCCTCTGTAAAGCTGTCATTGAATGTTTTTTCCTTAATCATAGCCTTCCCTACTTCAGTCTCACTATAGCTGTCATTGAATATTTTTTCCTTAATCATAGCCTTCCCTACTTCAGTCTCACTATAGCTGTCATTGAATGTGTTTTCCTTAATCATAGCCTTCCCTACTTCAGTCTCACTATAGCTGTCATTGAATGTTTTTTCCTTAATCATAGCCTTCCCTACTTCAGTCTCACTATAGCTGTCATTGAATGTTTTTTCCTTAATCATAGCCTTCCCTACTTCAGTCTCACTATAGCTGTCATTGAATGTTTTTTCCTTAATCATAGCCTTCCCTACTTGAGCCTCACTATAGCTGTCATTGAATGTTTTTTCCTTAATCATAGCCTTCCCTACTTGAGTCTCACTATAGCTGTCATTGAATGTTTTTTCCTTAATCATAGCCTTCCCTACTTGAGTCTCACTATAGCTGTCATTGAATGTTTTTCCTTAATCATAGCCTTCCCTACTTGAGTCTCACTATAGCTGTCATTGAATGTTTTTCCTTAATCATAGCCTTCCCTACTTCAGTCTCACTATAGCTGTCATTGAATGTTTTTCCTTAATCATAGCCTTCCCTACTTGAGTCTCAAGGCCAGATACCTGGGTTATGGTTTGTGAATCTCACAGATAAAAAAGTAGAATTATATTCTGACCTTTGAACCTTTCAGATAAGCTGTCCTGTTTTCACCTAGGCTGTACAGTGAAAACACTGTTCAGGGGTGGCTGGGTATATTTTGTTTAGTCCTCACACTCTGGAGTAGGCGAACTTGTATCTGTAAGTGCTGCTTTAATTCTTTTTCCACAAATCTAAATGAGCATGTTTAATACTTGAATAATTTTAATTAAATGACTTAGAGGTGTGTTAGAATAATACATTTTGTGACTCTTCTACCTCAGACTTAACAACCTGTGACAGTTACCTGTCACACAGTTACCTGTGACACCTCCACCTGTGACACCTCTACCTGTGACACCTCTACCTGTGACACCTCTACCTGTGACACCTCTACCTGTGACACCTCCACCTGTGACACCTCTACCTGTGACACCTCTACCTGTGACACATCTGCCTGTGACACCTCTACCTGTGACACATCTACCTGTGACACCTCTTCCTGTGACACCTCTACCTGTGACACCTCTACCCGTGACACCTCCACCTGTGACACCTCTGTCTGTGACACCTCTGTCTGTGACACCTCTACCTGTGACACCTCTTCCTGTGACACCTCTACCTGTGACATTTGCCTGTGACACCTCTACCTGTGACACCTCTACCTGTGACATCTCTACCTGTGACACCTCTACCTGTGACACCTCTTCCTGTGACACCTCTTCCTGTGACACCTCTTCCTGTGACACCTCTACCTGTGACATTTGCCTGTGACACCTCTTCCTGTGACACCTCTACCTGTGACATTTACCTGTAACACCACTACCTGTGACACCTCTACCTGTGACACCTCTACCTGTGACACCTCTACCTGTGACATTTAGCTGTGACACCTCTACCTTTGACACCACTACCTGTGTCATTTGCCTGTGACACCTCTACCTGGGACACCTCTAGCTGTGACACCTCTACCTGTGACACCTCTACCTGTGACATTTGCATGTGACACCTCTACCTGTGACACCTCTACCTGTGACATATCTACCTGTGACACCTCTTCCTGTGACACCTTTACCTGTGACACCTCTACCTGTAACACCTCTACCTGTGACACCTCTACCTGTGACACCTCCACCTGTGACACCTCTACCTGTGACACCTCTACCTGTGACACCTCTGCCTGTGACACATCTACCTGTGGCACCTCTACCTGTGGCACCTCTACCTGTGACATTTGCCTGTGACACATCCACCTGTGACACCTCTACCTGTGACACCTCTACCTGTGACACCTCTTCCTGTGACACCTCTTCCTGTGACACCTCTACCTGTGACACATCTACCTGTGGCACCTCTACCTGTGGCACCTCTACCTGTGACATCTCTACCTGTGACACCTCTTCCTGTGACACCTCTACCTGTGACACCTCTACCTGTGACACCTCTTCCTGTGACATTACCTGTGACACCACTACCTGTGACACCTCTTCCTGTGACACCTCTTCCTGTGACACCTCTACATGTGACACCTCTACCTGTGACACCTCTTCCTGTGACACCTCTACCTGTGACATTTGCCTGTGACACCTCTACATGTGACACCTCTTCCTGTGACACCTCTACCTGTGACATTTGCCTGTGACACCTCTACATGTGACACCTCTACCTGTGACACCTCTACCTGTGACACCACTACCTGTGACACCTCTACCTGTGACATTACCTGTGACACCACTACCTGTGACACCTCTTCCTGTGACACCTCTACCTGTGACACCTCTACCTGTGACACCTCTTCCTGTGACACCTCTACCTGTGACATTTGCCTGTGACACCTCTACCTTGACACATCCACCTGTGGCAGTTACCTGTGACACCTCTACCTGTGACACCACTACCTGTGACACCTCTTATAACACAAGCTACAGTGCACATACTTCTCCTTATAACACAAGTAACAGTGCACATACCTGTCCTTATAACACAAGTAACAGTACACATACCTGTCATTATAACACAAGTAACATTGCACATACCTGTCCTTATAACACAAGTAACAGTACACATTCCTGTCCTTATAACACAAGTAACAGTGCACATACCTGTCCTTATAACACAAGTAACAGTACACATACCTGTCATTATAACACAAGTAACAGTTCACATACCTGTCCTTATAACACAAGTAACAGTGCACCTACCTGTCCTTATAACACAAGTAACAGTACACATACCTGTCCTTATAACACAAGTAACAGTGCACCTACCTGTCCTTATAACACAAGTAACAGTGCACCTACCTGTCCTTGTAACACAAGTAACAGTGCACCTACCTGTCCTTATAACACAAGTAACAGTGCACCTACCTGTCCTTATAACACAAGTAACAGTGCTCATACCTGTCCTTATAACACAAGTAACAGTGCACATACCTGTCCTTATAACACAAGTAACAGTGCACCTACCTGTCCTTATAACACAAGTAACAGTGCTCATACCTGTCCTTATAACACAACAGTGCACATACCTGTCCTTATAACACAACAGTGCACATACCTGTCCTTATAACACAACAGTGCACATACCTGTCCTTATAACACAACAGTGCACATACCTGTCCTTATAACGCAAGTAACAGTGCACCTACCTGTCCTTATAATGCAAGTAACAGTGCACCTACCTGTCCTTATAACACAAGTAACAGTGCACCTACCTGTCCTTATAACACAAGTAACAGTGCACATACCTGTCCTTATAACACAACAGTGCACATACCTGTCCTTATAACACAAGTAACAGTGCACATACCTGACCTTATAACACAACAGTGCACATACCTGTCCTTATAACACAACAGTGCACATACCTGTCCTTATAACGCAAGTAACAGTGCACCTACCTGTCCTTATAACGCAAGTAATAGTGCACATACCTGTCCTTATAACACAAGTAACAGTGCACATACCTGTCCTTATAACACAAGTAACAGTGCACCTACCTGTCCTTATAACACAAGTAACAGTGCACCTACCTGTCCTTATAACACAAGTAACAGTACACATACCTGTCCTTATAACACAAGTAACAGTGCACCTACCTGTCCTTATAACACAAGTAACAGTGCACCTACCTGTCCTTGTAACACAAGTAACAGTGCACCTACCTGTCCTTATAACACAAGTAACAGTGCACCTACCTGTCCTTATAACACAAGTAACAGTGCTCATACCTGTCCTTATAACACAAGTAACAGTGCACATACCTGTCCTTATAACACAAGTAACAGTGCACCTACCTGTCCTTATAACACAAGTAACAGTGCTCATACCTGTCCTTATAACACAACAGTGCACATACCTGTCCTTATAACACAACAGTGCACATACCTGTCCTTATAACACAACAGTGCACATACCTGTCCTTATAACACAACAGTGCACATACCTGTCCTTATAACGCAAGTAACAGTGCACCTACCTGTCCTTATAATGCAAGTAACAGTGCACCTACCTGTCCTTATAACACAAGTAACAGTGCACCTACCTGTCCTTATAACACAAGTAACAGTGCACATACCTGTCCTTATAACACAACAGTGCACATACCTGTCCTTATAACACAAGTAACAGTGCACATACCTGACCTTATAACACAACAGTGCACATACCTGTCCTTATAACACAACAGTGCACATACCTGTCCTTATAACGCAAGTAACAGTGCACCTACCTGTCCTTATAACGCAAGTAATAGTGCACATACCTGTCCTTATAACACAAGTAACAGTGCACATACCTGTCCTTATAACACAAGTAACAGTGCACCTACCTGTCCTTATAACACAAGTAACAGTGCACATACCTGTCCTTATAACACAAGTAACAATGCACATACCTGTCCTTATAACACAAGTAACAGTGAACCTACCTGTCCTTATAACACAAGTAACAGTCCACATACCTGTCCTTATAACACAAGTAACAGTGCACATACCTGTCCTTATAACACAAGTAACAGTGCACATACCTGTCCTTATAACACAAGTAACAATGCACATACCTGCCCTTATAACATAAGTAACAGTGAACCTACCTGTCCTTATAACACAAGTAACAGTCCACATACCTGTCCCTATAACACAAGTAACAGTGCACATACCTGTCCTTATAACACAAGTAACAATGCACATACCTGTCCTTATAACACAACAGTGCACATACATGTCCTTATAACACAAGTAACAGTGCACATACCTGTCCTTATAACACAAGTAACAGTGCACCTACCTGTCCTTATAACACAAGTAACAGTGCACATACCTGTCCTTATAACACAAGTAACAGTGCACATACCTGTCCTTATAACACAAGTAACAGTGCACATACCTGTCCTTATAACACAAGTAACAGTGCACCTACCTGTCCTTATAACACAAGTAACAGTGCACATACCTGTCCTTATAACACAAGTAACAGTGCACATACCTGTCCTTATAACACAAGTAACAGTGCACATACCTGTCCTTATAACACAAGTAACAGTGCACATACCTGTCCTTATAACACAAGTAACAGTGCACCTACCTGTCCTTATAACACAAGTAACAGTGCACATACCTGTCCTTATAACACAAGTAACAGTGCACATACCTGTCCTTATAACACAAGTAACAGTGCACATACCTGTCCTTATAACACAAGTAACAGTGCACATACCTGTCCTTATAACACAAGTAACAGTGCACCTACCTGTCCTTATAACACAAGTAACAGTGCACCTACCTGTCCTTATAACAGTGTGAGTGAACATGCAACTGTTTGTTGAGGTACTGTTGACCTTAGTCAAGGTCATCTGGCTCTGGCTCGTGGCCATCTACAAGGCCGTCGTCCCTGTGAGGTTCCAGGTTCAAAAGGATGTCAAAGGTCAAGTGGTTCTCATTACTGGGGCAGGTAGGTTGTGTGGGTTAGGGTTCAGTTTTTAGACTGGTTAAAAGTTTAAGTCAACCACCTACTATCTAGTTAAACTCACTACTTAGTGGTTAAGATATCAAGGCTTTAAAAAAAAATAAAGATACTTGTTTAATTTAGTTCATAATAATGAGAAAATAAAATTAAATTAATGCAATATTGTAAAATTACTACATATCAATTTTAAAATTTGACTGAAATGAAGTAATTTCTTGCTGGCTAAGACCATAAATAAAGTAGCATATGTTACATAACTTTCTCTGGAGGTTAATTTAGCACCTTATAAAATAGAAATCTGTATGTAACTTCAATCAAGGCTTGAGGGTGTCCATAGCAACCAAACCACAGTTTATTGTAGATTTCAGTCTAAGATTCTAGACAGATTATGTAATCAATCAGGACGGTTTTAAAAACTAATTTCCTGTGAATGAACTGTGTCAGGCAGTGGTCTGGGCCGTCTGATGAGTCTGAGGTTTGCAGTTTTGGGGTGCAAGCTGGTCCTGTGGGACGTTGACGAGAGGGGGAACACTGAGACAGAGTCCCTGGTCAGGTCCATGGGGGCAAAGGTCAAGGCCTACAGGGTGGACCTGTCCAAGAGGGAGGACATCTACAAGGTGGCCGACCAGGTAAACGATGATGAGCTCGTTAATTAGTGGCATAGCTAATTATTACTAATTAGCGTTTCTCATTACTAATTAAGAAACAAAACTAACACATTACAATTTAATGAAATAGTTTCTTATTACTTATTAGTCAGGTAGCTAAGCATTAGAGGACAGTGTGGTTGAATCATAGAGCATTCTGCTACTAGCTCAAAGGTCTCAGGTTCGGATCTTTGTCCACATTTGGGACTGTGGTACATGCATGTGTCCACCCAGCCCTGATGGGTACCTGATTTACAGTGGAGAATGTAAAGGTGGCTGGGTGTAGCGCAGGCAAGAAACATGAACTCCATTTGCCCCATGCTCTATAGGTCTGAAAGTGGGGTTTGACTTAGTTACACATAACTAGTTATCAAACATAACTAACACACTACTAATTAATCACTTAGCAAATACATTATTAATTAGTGACTGTTAATACATGTTGGCACTCAAGCCTCAGATCATGTCTAATTAACATCAGTGCTCCGTTAATTACTTTTGATTGATAATCCAAAGTAGGGGGGGGGGGGGTATGTCTAGCAGCTGTCATCCAAAGTTGATGTGATGTACAATTTATTTTTAAATAGATTGAAACAAACTAAATAAAAGTCATATACCATCACCAAAATAGTTGTAAGTAAATAACAGAGAAATTGTTGTAAGTAAATTGCAGAGAAATTGTTGTAGGTAAATAGAAGAGAAATGGTTGTAAGTAAATAACAGAGAAATTGTTGTAAGTAAATAGTGGAGAAATGTTTGTAAGTAAATAGTGGAGAAATTGTTGTAAGTAAATAGTGGAGAAATGTTTGTAAGTAAATAGTGGAGAAATATTGTAAGTAAATAATGGAGAAATGTTGTAAGTAAATAGTGGAGAAATGTTGTAAGTAAATAGTGGAGAAATGTTGTAAGTAAATAGTGGAGAAATGTTGTAAGTAAATAGTGGAGAAATGTTGTAAGTAAATAGTGGAGAAATGCTGTAAGTAAATAGTGGAGAAATGTTGTAAGTAAATAGTGGAGAAATTACTTACTTACTTAATCCTCATCACTCCCTGTGGAGTATAGGGCAACAACAAATCTCCGCCATTCCACCCTGTCCTGGGCGAGCCACTTTAGTTCATGCCAGGTTTTGCCAGTAGCCTGTACTTCTTCTTCCATCTCCCTCCTCCATGTTCCCAGTGGTCTTCCTCTACTTCTCTTTCCGGGTGGGTTCCACTTCAGCGCCATGTTGGGGAGTCTTTTTTTGCTCATGCGTAGGACATGGCCCAGCCATCTCCATCTCCTCGTTCTAACTTCTGAGACAATGTCGTTTAATCCTGTCCTTCGCCATATTTCCTTGTTCGGGACTTTGTCGTCCCACTTTATCCTGAGGATGCGTTGGAGGGATCTTCTTTCAAAGCCTCTGAGTAAATAGTGGAGAAATGGTTGTATGTAAATATAACCATGGGCTGACCCAAACAGGTAAAAGCTGCTGACATCATGATGTGTGATGTATGTTTCCTACAGGTGAAAGCTGATGTTGGTGATGTTGACATCATGATGGTTGATGTATGTTTCCTACAGGTGAAAGCTGATGTTGGTGATGTTGACATCCTAGTCAACAACGCTGGGATTGTGACAGGCAAAAATTTCCTGGACTGTCCCGATGCGCTGTGTGAGAAGACAATGCAGGTCAACATTCACGCACATTTTTGGGTGAGGTTTTGTGTGGGCGAGATTTATGTTCATAACTTATTTTGTGTGGGTCTATTGTGTTGTATGGGGGTCTGTGACTAAGGTTTTGTGTGGGTCTATGACTAAGGTTTTGTGTGGGTCTATGACTAAGGTTTTGTGTGGGTCTATGGCTAAGGTTTTGTGTTTGTTTATGACTACGGTTTTGTGTGGGTCTATGGCTAAGGTTTTGTGTTTGTCTATGACTAAGGTTTTGTGTTTGTCTATGACTAAGGTTTTGTGTGGGTCTATGACTAAGGTTTTGTGTGGGTCTAAGGTTTTGTGTGGGTCTATGACTAAGGTTTTGTGTGGGTCTATGACTAAGGTTTTGTGTGGGTCTATGACTAAGGTTTTGTGTGGGTCTATGACTAAGGTTTTGTGTGGGTCTATGACTAAGGTTTTGTGTGGGTCTATGACTAAGGTTTTGTGTGGGTCTATGACTAAGGTTTTGTGTGGGTGACTAAGGTTTTGTGTGGGTCTAAGGTTTTGTGTGGGTCTATGACTAAGGTTTTGTGTGGGTCTATGACTAAGGTTTTGTGTGGGTCTATGGCTAAGGTTTTGTGTTTGTCTATGACTAAGGTTTTGTGTTTGTCTATGACTAAGGTTTTGTGTGGGTCTATGACTAAGGTTTTGTGTGGGTCTAAGGTTTTGTGTGGGTCTATGACTAAGGTTTTGTGTGGGTCTATGACTAAGGTTTTGTGTGGGTCTATGACTAAGGTTTTGTGTGGGTCTATGACTAAGGTTTTGTGTGGGTCTATGACTAAGGTTTTGTGTGGGTCTATGACTAAGGTTTTGTGTGGGTGACTAAGGTTTTGTGTGGGTCTAAGGTTTTGTGTGGGTCTATGACTAAGGTTTTGTGTGGGTCTATGACTAAGGTTTTGTGTAGGTCTATGACTAAGGTTTTGTGTGGGTCTATGACTAAGGTTTTGTGTGGGTCTATGACTAAGGTTTTGTGTGGGTCTATGACTAAGATTTTGTGTGGGTCTATGACTAAGGTTTTGTGTAGGTCTATGACTAAGGTTTTGTGTGGGTCTATGACTAAGGTTTTGTGTAGGTCTATGACTAAGATTTTGTGTAGGTCTATGACTAAGGTTTTGTGTAGGTCTATGACTAAGGTTTTGTGTGGGTCTATGACTAAGGTTTTGTGTGGGTCTAAGGTTTTGTGTGGGTCTATGACTAAGGTTTTGTGTGGGTGACTAAGGTTTTGTGTGGGTCTAAGGTTTTGTGTGGGTCTATGACTAAGGTTTTGTATGGGTCTATGACTAAGGTTTTGTGTGGGTCTATGACTAAGGTTTTGTGTGGGTCTATGACTAAGGTTTTGTGTGGGTCTATGACTAAGATTTTGTGTGGGTCTATGACTAAGGTTTTGTGTGGGTCTATGACTAAGGTTTTGTGTGGGTCTATGACTAAGGTTTTGTGTGGGTCTATGACTAAGATTTTGTGTGGGTCTATGACTAAGGTTTTGTGTGGGTCTATGACTAAGGTTTTGTGTGGGTCTATGACTAAGGTTTTGTGTGGGTCTATGACTAAGGTTTTGTGTGGGTCTATGACTAAGGTTTTGTGTGGGTGACTAAGGTTTTGTGTGGGCCAGTCAGTTTTGTGTGGGTCTATGACTAAGATTTTGTGTAGGTCTATGACTAAGGTTTTGTGTGGGTCTATGACTAAGGTTTTGTGTGGGCCAGTCAGTTTTGTGTGGGTCTATGACTAAGATTTTGTGTGGGTCTATGACAGGTTTTGTGTGGGTCTATGGCTAAGGTTTTGTGTGGGTCTATGACTATGATTTTGTGTGGGTCTATGACTAAGATTTTGTGTGGGTCTATGACTAAGATTTTGTGTGGGTCTATGACTAAGGTTTTGTGTGGGTCTATGACTAAGGTTTTGTGTGGGTCTATGACTAAAGTTTTGTGTGGGTCTATGACTAAGGTTTTGTGTGGGTCTATGACTAAGGTTTTGTGTGGGTCTATGACTAAGGTTTTGTGTGGGTCTATGACTAAGATTTTGTGTGGGTCTATGACTAAGATTTTGTGTGGGTCTATGACTAAGGTTTTGTGTGGGTCTATGACTAAGGTTTTGTGTGGGTCTATGACTAAGATTTTGTGTGGGTCTATGACTAAGGTTTTGTGTGGGTCTATGACTAAGGTTTTGTGTGGGTCTATGACTAAGGTTTTGTGTAGGTCTATGACTAAGGTTTTGTGTAGGTCTATGACTAAGATTTTGTGTGGGTCTATGACTAAGGTTTTGTGTAGGTCTATGACTAAGGTTTTGTGTGGGTCTATGACTAAGGTTTTGTGTGGGTCTATGACTAAGGTTTTGTGTGGGTCTATGACTAAGGTTTTGTGTGGGTCTATGACTAAGGTTTTGTGTGGGTCTATGACTAAGGTTTTGTGTGGGTGACTAAGGTTTTGTGTGGGTCTAAGGTTTTGTGTGGGTCTATGACTAAGGTTTTGTGTGGGTCTATGACTAAGGTTTTGTGTAGGTCTATGACTAAGGTTTTGTGTGGGTCTATGACTAAGGTTTTGTGTGGGTCTATGACTAAGGTTTTGTGTGGGTCTATGACTAAGATTTTGTGTGGGTCTATGACTAAGGTTTTGTGTAGGTCTATGACTAAGGTTTTGTGTGGGTCTATGACTAAGGTTTTGTGTAGGTCTATGACTAAGATTTTGTGTAGGTCTATGACTAAGGTTTTGTGTAGGTCTATGACTAAGGTTTTGTGTGGGTCTATGACTAAGGTTTTGTGTGGGTCTAAGGTTTTGTGTGGGTCTATGACTAAGGTTTTGTGTGGGTGACTAAGGTTTTGTGTGGGTCTAAGGTTTTGTGTGGGTCTATGACTAAGGTTTTGTGTGGGTCTATGACTAAGGTTTTGTGTGGGTCTATGACTAAGGTTTTGTGTGGGTATATGACTAAGATTTTGTGTGGGTCTATGACTAAGGTTTTGTGTGGGTCTATGACTAAGGTTTTGTGTGGGTCTATGACTAAGGTTTTGTGTGGGTCTATGACTAAGATTTTGTGTGGGTCTATGACTAAGGTTTTGTGTGGGTCTATGACTAAGGTTTTGTGTGGGTCTATGACTAAGGTTTTGTGTGGGTCTATGACTAAGGTTTTGTGTGGGTCTATGACTAAGGTTTTGTGTGGGTGACTAAGGTTTTGTGTGGGCCAGTCAGTTTTGTGTGGGTCTATGACTAAGGTTTTGTGTAGGTCTATGACTAAGGTTTTGTGTGGGTCTATGACTAAGGTTTTGTGTGGGCCAGTCAGTTTTGTGTGGGTCTATGACTAAGATTTTGTGTGGGTCTATGACAGGTTTTGTGTGGGTCTATGGCTAAGGTTTTGTGTGGGTCTATGACTAAGATTTTGTGTGGGTCTATGACTAAGATTTTGTGTGGGTCTATGACTAAGATTTTGTGTGGGTCTATGACTAAGATTTTGTGTGGGTCTATGACTAAGGTTTTGTGTGGGTCTATGACTAAGGTTTTGTGTGGGTCTATGACTAAGATTTTGTGTGGGTCTATGACTAAGGTTTTGTGTGGGCCAGTCACATGACTTTCGCCACCCACTGAATAAAAATGTGAATGTTCCCCCTGGGCTACAACAACAAGCAAATGAACACCATAGCCATTTTGTGAAACCCTGCCCACATGTTAATATTGGACCCATCCCTCCCCAGACCACCAAATGTTTCCTGCCCTCAATGTTGACCAACAACCACGGCCATATAGTGACCATCGCCAGCTCTGCAGGTCTGTTTGGTGTCAGTGGCCTCAGCGACTACTGTGCCAGCAAGTTTGCTGCTGTGGGATTTGATGAGTCACTCAGGTGAGTTGAAGTGTCACTCAGGTGAGAAAATGTGAATTTGCCAAATGAATTTAAGCGAGAAGCCATGTTTAAAATAAGTTTTTACATTTCACATACTTGGTTTTCACCATTGAATTCTCTCATCTTTAAAATATGTATGATCACAAATCAGAAACGAGCTGTCCAAATTGGGTAAAGATGGCGTCAACACAACAGTTGTCTGCCCTTTCTACATCAATACAGGGATGTTTGAGGGCGTCAAAACAAGGTGAGTTCTTTCACCTGGTATAAACATCTTTCACCTGGTACAAACATCTTTCACCTGGTACAAACATCTTTCTCCTGGTACAAACATCTATTGTTTGGTACAAACATCTTTCACCTGGTACAAACATCTTTCTCCTAGTACAAACATCTTTCACCTGGTACAAACATCTTTCTCCTGGTACAAACATCTTTCTCCTGGTACAAACATCTTTCTCCTAGTACAAACATCTTTCTCCTGGTACAAGCATCTTTCTCCTGGTACAAACATCTTTCACCTGGTACAAACATCTTTCACCTGGTACAAACATCTTTCACCTGGTACAAACATCTTTCTCCTGGTACAAACATCTATTGTTTGGTACAAACATCTTTCACCTGGTACAAACATCTTTCTCCTAGTACAAACATCTTTCACCTGGTACAAACATCTTTCTCCTGGTACAAACATCTTTCTCCTGGTACAAACATCTTTCTCCTAGTACAAACATCTTTCTCCTGGTACAAGCATCTTTCTCCTGGTACAAACATCTTTCACCTGGTACAAACATCTTTCACCTGGTACAAACATCTTTCACCTGGTACAAACATCTTTCACCTGGTACAAACATCTTTCACCTGGTACAAACATCTTTCACCTGGTACAAACATCTATTGTTTGGTACAAACATCTTTCACCTGGTACAAACATTATTTAACCTGGTACAAACATCTTTCACCTGGTACAAACATCTTTCACCTGGTACAAACATCTTTCACCTGGTACAAACATCTTTCTCCTAGTACAAACATCTTTCACCTGGTACAAACATCTTTCACCTGGTACAAACATCTATTGTTTGGTACAAACATCTTTCTCCTGGTACAAACATCTTTCACCTGGTACAAACATCTTTCACCTGGTACAAACATTATTTAACCTGGTACAAACATCTTTCACCTGGTACAAACATCTTTCACCTGGTACAAACATCTTTCACCTGGTACAAACATCTTTCTCCTGGTACAAACATCTATTGTTTGGTACAAACATCTTTCTCCTGGTACAAACATCTTTCACCTGGTACAAACATCTTTCACCTGGTACAAACATCTTTCTCCTAGTACAAACATCTTTCACCTGGTACAAACATCTTTCACCTGGTACAAACATCTTTCACCTGGTACAAACATCTATTGTTTGGTACAAACATCTTTCACCTGGTACAAACATCTTTCTCCTGGTACAAACATCTTTCTCCTGGTACAAACATCTTTCACCTGGTACAAACATCTTTCACCTGGTACAAACATCTTTCACCTGGTACAAACATCTTTCACCTGGTACAAACATCTTTCACCTGGTACAAACATTATTTAACCTGGTACAAACATCTTTCACCTGGTACATACATTATTTAACCTGGTACAAACATCTTTCACCTGGTACAAACATCTTTCACCTGGTACAAACATCTTTCTCCTGGTACAAACATCTATTGTTTGGTACAAACATCTTTCACCTGGTACAAACATCTTTCTCCTAGTACAAACATCTTTCACCTGGTACAAACATCTTTCTCCTGGTACAAACATCTTTCACCTGGTACAAACATCTTTCTCCTGGTACAAACATCTATTGTTTGGTACAAACATCTTTCTCCTGGTACAAACATCTTTCTCCTGGTACAAACATCTTTCTCCTAGTACAAACATCTTTCTCCTGGTACAAGCATCTTTCTCCTGGTACAAACATCTTTCACCTGGTACAAACATCTTTCACCTGGTACAAACATCTTTCACCTGGTACAAACATCTTTCACCTGGTACAAACATCTTTCACCTGGTACAAACATCTTTCACCTGGTACAAACATCTTTCACCTGGTACAAACATCTATTGTTTGGTACAAACATCTTTCACCTGGTACAAACATTATTTAACCTGGTACAAACATCTTTCACCTGGTACAAACATCTTTCACCTGGTACAAACATCTTTCACCTGGTACAAACATCTTTCTCCTAGTACAAACATCTTTCACCTGGTACAAACATCTTTCACCTGGTACAAACATCTATTGTTTGGTACAAACATCTTTCTCCTGGTACAAACATCTTTCACCTGGTACAAACATCTTTCACCTGGTACAAACATTATTTAACCTGGTACAAACATCTTTCACCTGGTACAAACATCTTTCACCTGGTACAAACATCTTTCACCTGGTACAAACATCTTTCTCCTGGTACAAACATCTATTGTTTGGTACAAACATCTTTCTCCTGGTACAAACATCTTTCACCTGGTACAAACATCTTTCACCTGGTACAAACATCTTTCTCCTAGTACAAACATCTTTCACCTGGTACAAACATCTTTCACCTGGTACAAACATCTTTCACCTGGTACAAACATCTATTGTTTGGTACAAACATCTTTCACCTGGTACAAACATCTTTCTCCTGGTACAAACATCTTTCTCCTGGTACAAACATCTTTCACCTGGTACAAACATCTTTCACCTGGTACAAACATCTTTCACCTGGTACAAACATCTTTCACCTGGTACAAACATCTTTCACCTGGTACAAACATTATTTAACCTGGTACAAACATCTTTCACCTGGTACATACATTATTTAACCTGGTACAAACATCTTTCACCTGGTACAAACATCTTTCACCTGGTACAAACATTATTTAACCTGGTACAAAAATCTTCTCCTGGTATAGACATCTTTCACCTGGTACAAACATTATTTAACCTGGTACAAACATCTTTCACCTGGTACAAACATCTTTCACCTGGTACAAACATCTTTCACCTGGTACAAACATCTTTCACCTGGTACAAACATCTTTCACCTGGTACAAACATCTTTCACCTGGTACAAACATCTTTCACCTGGTACAAACATCTTTCACCTGGTACAAACATCTTTCACCTGGTACAAACATCTTTCACCTGGTACAAACATCTCCAATGGCCTCTTCGTTCATATTTGTAAATAGGCCAGGTATTTTCTCCAACACAATTAACTATTACATGTCAAATTGTTATGCACAATTTTGGCCATTGACTCAGTTTTCAGCCTGCTTTCTTTTTGGATTTGCTTCCATAGCCTTTTTCTATCCACAACAAACTACCTTGCAGCTGTTGTTTGATTTTTGAGGTTTTGCTCCTAAATGGGTTTTTTGTTGTCCCCTACTATTTAGCCTCAATTGCCCGAGGGTTCAAACTCTGGACGTTTGGGATTAGCAACCATGAAATGTTTCAGATTCCCAAAATGTCACAAATCTTGAAAGTGTTTGAAATGTTTCAGATTCCCAAAAATGTCACAAATCTTGAAAGTGTTTGAAATATTTCAGATTCTCAAAAATGTCACAAATCTTGAAAGTGTTTGAAATATTTCAGATTCCCAAAAATGTCACAAATCTTGAAAGTGTTTGAAATATTTCAGATTCCCAAAAATGTCACAAATCTTGAAAGTGTTTGAAATATTTCAGATTCCCAAAAATGTCAGAAATCTTGAAAGTGTTTGAAATATTTCAGATTCTCAAAAATGTCACAAATCTTGAAAGTGTTTGAAATATTTCAGATTCCCAAAAATGTCACAAATCTTGAAAGTGTTTGAAATGTTTCAGATTCCCAAAAATGTCACAAATCTTGAAAGTGTTTGAAATGTTTCAGATTCCCAAAAATGTCACAAATCTTGAAAGTGTTTGAAATATTTCAGATTCTGAAAAATGTCACAAATCTTGAAAGTGTTTGAAATATTTCAGATTCCCAAAAATGTCACAAATCTTGAAAGTGTTTGAAATATTTCAGATTCCCAAAAATGTCACTAATCTTGAAAGTGTTTAAAATATTTCAGATTCCCAAAAATGTCACTAATCTTGAAAGTGTTTAAAATATTTCAGATTCCCAAAAATGTCACAAATCTTGAAAGTGTTTGAAATATTTCAGATTCCCAAAAATGTCACAAATCTTGAAAGTGTTTGAAATATTTCAGATTCCCAAAAATGTCACTAATCTTGAAAGTGTTTAAAATATTTCAGATTCCCAAAAATGTCACTAATCTTGAAAGTGTTTGAAATATTTCAGATTCCCCAACATCCTGCCAATCTTGAACCCTGAGGAAGTTGTTGACAGGATAGTAAATGCTGTTCTAACCAATCAGGAGATGCTGATTATACCAAGGGTTTCCTACTTATTTTACTACATGAAAGGGTTAGTTATTTACTTTGTTCACTCTTTAGCGATCAATTATAATCACATTATTCTTTCCATATCTTATGACCATAACATAAATGGTCTCAAAATTACAAATATAACACTTCATTGAAAGTTGAAGAAAAATATACCCAAGGGAAATAACTTAGAAATTGAAAGTAGTTTTTGTTTTCCTTTGTTACCTCTCTTTGATCAGACACTTTGCGTTTGTGCTTTTTCAAACAATGTTAGGAAAAGAATCAAATAGATAAAACATAAGTTTTGTAAGTTGCCAACAGCCCTTTTCAAATAAAATCACGTGTGTGAGATAAGATATCAACCAGATTAAACAATCAATTCATCTTTAAGGAATTTTGTTTCTAAAAATGTATACATCTTTTTTTGTTAATTTAATACTGTCACAAATCCTTTAAATGGTAGGGGAATGTTGTTTCTACTGGTCTTTGTAAACAAACTGAAGTGAACATGTTTGTAGGTTTCCATATAATTTCTCTCAGGCTAGTGCCAAAGTTCAGGAAACTCTAATTTCCATATAATTTCTCTCAGGCTAGTGCCAGTCAAAGTTCAGGAAACTCTAATTTCCATACAATTGCACTCAGACTAGTGCCAGTCAAAGTTCAGGAAACTCTAATTTCCATACAATTTCACTCAGACTAGTGCCAGTCAAAGTTCAGGAAACTCTAATTTCCATACAATTTCTCTCAGACTAGTGCCAGTCAAAGTTCAGGAAACTCTAATTTCCATATAATTTCTCTCAGGCTAGTACCAGTCAAAGTTCAGGAAACAATGTCAAGGCTGTTTGGGGTCAACGACTCCATGGACGAGTTTTTGGGGCGCTCTAAAGAGAAATAATTGGACATTCAACACTTGGACCTATAGAATATGGACCTAAATTATTTGCACCAACATAACAACATTGACATTCAACACTTGGACCTATAGAATATGGACCTAAATTATTTGTACCAACATAACATGGACATTAAATGCTTGGACCAATATAACATGGACAAAATAACTCATAACAATATAACTTAGGTGTTATGAATTTAATCGAATGATTGTGAGGGCATGTGTGTTGTAAAATATTTGTGTGTAAATAAATGATAATGACGTTGTGTAAGAAAGGATGTGATGTTTTAGTGAAGTGTCATTGTTGCCGGGGAAGAAGGGATAGTTCAGTCAGTATAGTGTTATAGTTGCTAGGGAAGGATAGTTCAGTCAGTATAGTGTTATTGAAGTCTATGTCTAACCTTGTAAAAGTTGTCCCAGTCTATCTAGTGGTTGTCATGTGGCTGTTGGTGTAATAAAATTTTTAATTAAACAATGTGACCCTGTCAAGTATTTTGTTTATGTTGGTTTGTGGTAACTTGGGAAGCAGAACTCCTTTAGTATCCAGAAATGGAAGGGGGGGGGGGTGAGGAAATTGTAGTGAAATCCTCACCCTGCTATTTTCTTCAATCTATTGGTCCGTGTAAATGTTACATTAAACTAAATGGTATTCCATACTTTTTTCTTTACTTGAATCTAATGATCACTGTAAATGTAATATTAAACGAAATGGTATTCCATACTATTTTCTTTACTTGAATCTAATGATCACTGTAAATGTAATATTAAATGAAATGGTATTCCATACTAAGTTTCATTACCTTGCTCTATTGGTGATATATTTTACCTGTTTGTTTATTGCTCATCACATTATTGTATTGCCATGATTGTTTGTAAACAGTGACTGTTATACTTATAGCATTTCTGGCAATGTACAGGCAGTTATTGTTATTATTTATTACCAAGTGGAATACACCTGATCAGACTTTCATTTCACAAATTGTATTTTTCATCATTAAGTCACTACATCTATAACTGTATATTTATAGTGAAAAGTTTTACAACACTTAAATTAAATACATAAAACAGACACCGTGTTTTAATGTGTAAGTAAAAAATGTAGGCCTACACATCTATTAAATAAAACTAACAACTACTTCTAAAGATATTTTATCCTATCATAGTTGTGTTTTATATTGCATTGGCGTTCAGAAGATTTCCCATAAACTATACTTAACGAATTCTTGTGGACACGCATTCAGTGTTTATATGAAATTTCGTCAACGTTACTGAAACTATTCTCAAGATATTGTATTCACTGACATACACGAAGACTATATTGCTAGACTAAGTTTATCCGACTGAGAAAAATGTCAAACGTTGAATTATGTCACAATCTACCACGGTTTTTTTTTTCGCACGAATATAATCCTTCCATTATAGTTTGTAGCCCACATTTTTTGTGAGAACGATAAAGGTACAAAATTGAAAAAGCGTGTGCTTTATTGTGATAAGTGCGTACACTTAAACGCACTAAACTGCACCCAGTAGCACCAAACTTCGAACAGGCTGATTTCTGAAACTTCGGGTTCTCGGTACCTGTAGGTAAGTTTAAACCTAGATCTAAGTGTAAGTGGTACATTATTTTTTAATTTAGATTAAAACACAACTGTATGTGTAAACAATTGGAATTGATAAATATAAGGATCAAGATTTTGAAATGTTCACAAAGTAAAAAATGCCCGCGAAAATATGAAAACAGGAAATAAAATTTACTAAATTCTAGATCAATAATATATTTAAAGTAAAACAAAAGCAAATTAAAATTTACCAGATATTATATAATTTAAAATAGGTAGAAGTACGAGATATAAGCTTCAGAGGCGTAGCGAGGGGGGGGACATATGTCCCCGGGCGCCGACCTTAGGGGGGGGGGGCGCCAAATTGAAAGTTCGAGGGGGGGTGCAAATCAAAAGTTTGAGAGGGGGGGGTGCAAATCGAAAATTTGCTCCCGAGGGGGGCGCCAAATTGAAAGTATGTCCCCGGGCGCCGGGAAGGGTCGCTACGCCTCTGATAAGCTTTTGAGTATTTTATCCCAAAACGATTTGAGTTACATCGAAGGAGCTTGAGGGTGGGGATAGGGATAGAAACAGAGATGGGGATAGAAACAGAGATAGGGATAGAAACAGAGATAGGGATAGAAACAGCGATAGGGATAAAGATAGGGATAATAAAGATAGCTAGAGTAGATTCGGTACGGTGAATGCCTTACTATTGTTTATCACTGATTTATTTAGGTTCACATATTGATGGGGCTAACTATAGCTGTTCTATCTGGTACTTCACCGTTCGTTTCTGGATGGGAAACAAATAGATTGGTAGCGATACAAATCAATCATAAAATAATAAAATCCATTTGTAGAGTAGCAATACAAATCAGACATAAAATAATTAATACTAATAGTTTCGCTGTCTGTCTATCTGACAAGAACGCTCTGTCTGACAAGAACGCTCTAGAGAAAACACAAGCAATTTAAAAACATGCACAGTAATTCGAAAAACGAAATATGACGTCGACACATTTAGCGTAGAGTAGAACATAATCTCAAACCAGAGAGTGCACACAGTAATGTAATGACGTCATTGATTCTCGCGTAAACATTGAAAAAAAGGAAATGTCTAATCTAAATGGTTTGCGTGAAGAGTTTCTTGCATACAATTCTTCGGGTAGGGGCGAAGCCCCACCCCCCGCGTAAGAACGTCTGAGCCCCCCCCCCCCCCTCCCCAACTCAAAAGAAATTTCCTCATCGATACTCTATAATAAAATTACCGCTTAATTAATGTGTCTAATCTAAAAAGTGGTTTTCTTGCAATGGGACGGTAGACATGTTTTTTTTTTTTGGGGGGGGGGGGGGGTGTAGGGGTGGGGGTGGGGGGGGTGGGGGACTTTTTCCTCCCCGGAGAGGGGTGGGGGTACTTGAAATTTTCGGGGGCGGGGGTAGAATTTTCTGGGAGGGGGCGGACACTGGAAAAAGTATATAATTATATTTCGTTGAATGGGACGGTAGACATGTTTTTTTTGGGGGTGGGGGATGGTGGAGGGGGGGGGGGGGTGGGGTGGGGGGTGTGTGGGGGGGGGGGTGGGGGGTGGGGGGTGGGTTGGTTTCAGTGTTTCTTTCAGACTTTTTCCTCCCCGGAGAGGGGTGGGGGTACTTGAAATTTTCGGGGGCGGGGGTAGAATTTTCTGGGAGGGGGCGGACACTGGAAAAAGTATATAATTATATTTCGTTGAATGGGACGGTAGACATGTTTTTTTTTTGGGGGGGGGTGGGGGGTGGGGGCCGGTGTGTGGAGGGGGTGGTGTGTGGGGGTGAGGGGTGGGGGTGGTGTGTGGTGGGGGGTGGGGGTGGTGTGTGGGGGGGTGGGTTGGTTTTAGTTTAGAGAAAAGAGACAGCACTATCAGCCTAGCGCCCGTTGTACCCTTCCTCAACGGGCCATTTTTCTCGTTAGATAGATTTGTGGAGTAGCAATACAAATCAAACATAAAATAATAAAATCGATTTGTGAACTTCAATACAAATCAATCATAAAATAATAAAATCGATTTGTGGAGTAGCGATACAAATCAATCATAAAATAATAAAATCTATTTGTGGAGTAGCGATACAAATCAATCATAAAATAATAAAATCGATTTGTGGAGTAGCGATACAAATCAAACATAAAATAATAAAATCGATTTGTGGAGTAGCGATACAAATCAAACATAAAATAATAAAATCGATTGGTGGAGTAGCGATACAAATCAATCATAAAATAATAAAATCGATTTGTGGAGTAGCGATACAAATCAAACATAAAATAATAAAATCGATTGGTGGAGTAGCGATACAAATCAATCATAAAATAATAAAATCGATTTGTGGAGTAGCGATACAAATCAATCATAAAATAATAAAATCGATTTGTGGAGTAGCGATACAAATCAAACATAAAATAATAAAATCGATTTGTGAAGTAGAAATACAAATCAAACATAAAATAGTATAATCAATTTGTGGAGTAGCGATACAAATCAATCATAAAATAATAAAATCGATTTGTGGAGTAGCGATACAAATCAATCATAAAATAATAAAATCGATTTATGGAGTAGCTATACAAATAAATTATAAAATAATAAAATCGATTTATGGAGTAGCTATACAAATCAATCATAAAATAATAAAATCGATTTATGGAGTAGCTATACAAATCAAACAAAAAATAATAAAATCGATTTATGGAGTAGCTATACAAATCAAACAAAAAATAAAATAAAATCGATTTGTGGAGTAGAAATACAAATCAATCATAAAATAATAAAATCGATTTATGGAGTAGCTATACAAATCAAACAAAAAATAAAATAAAATCGATTTGTGGAGTAACATTACAAATCAAACATAAAATAGTATAATCAATTTGTGAACTAGTAACAATACAAATCAAACATAAAATAATAAAATCGATTTGTGTAGTAACAGTACAAATCAAACAGCAAATAATAAAATCGATTTGTGGAGTAGCAATACAAATCAAACATGGAATAATAATATCGATTTATTTGAGAAGTGCAATACAAACCAAACATAAAATAATTTTAAAAAATAACAACGTCAGAAACACAAGAACAAAATTAGTTATCAACACAATTATACCAGAACATACACTAGTAATATGTTGTTGTTGTTTTTTTAATTTAACTTCTCATTAGAATTTTTTTGATCTTATCCCAAGAAATGGAGTTGGAACATAGAACGGTCAACATTTACAGAAATAAATTTAAGGTATGTTGTATTAGGCTCTAGAATTTTCTGTTTCTAACAGTCCCATGTGAACTCATCTGTTGTTATAACATCTGCTGACGAGTGAGTGGTATAACTTGCTGTTTGTAGTCAGCTGTCTTTTTTTTCCACCACCACAAGTATGCCGCATCACTCAGAGATGGGTCAAATCCGGGACCTTAAACAGATATGCTAAGTACCAATAAGGGCTGAATGAACTCCGTGACCTTAAACAGATATGTTAAGTACCAAAAAGGGCTGGATGAATTCAGGGACCTTAAACAGATATGTTAAGTACCAAAAAGGGCTGGATGAATTCAGGGACCTTAAACACATATGCTAAGTACCAATAAGGGCTGGGTGAACTCAGTGACGCATCTACGTTCAGTCTTAAACTTACTATACTTCCAATGTACAAATAATTTTTTAAACTTACTATTCTTCCAATGTACAAAACATTTTTCTAAAAAGGAAAACATATCAAATGTATTTATACATTATTCTAAAATTAAATTTCAAAAACACTATATTGAATCTAACGTCCGTATTAAAAAAACTATTTTATACGTATTCCGCCTACTAAATTAAATGATGTAAAATACAGAAGATTAACTTATTTGGTATGGTTTATGAACTAGATTGTCCAGGTTTTGCTAACGTTCATCTTTCATGACTCGAATATAATGTAAGACGTTTAAGATTGCACTCATCTATCTATGTGTGAGAGGTAGCCTACATGGGGCAGTTACAAATCAACTGTTTTTATACATCCGAATGTAATAATAAACATCTGGATATCTTCAAGAAAAAAAATACCTCTTTCGTGATCAGTGAAGAAATTGTAATTTCTTTGTAATTAATACTGTTAATTAATTACATTTATGTAAAAGCAATATTACAAAAAAAAACCACTATAAAAACTAATATTTTTTTACACAGGTATTTTTTATGCTTGCTGCTGTTTGTCCATGGAACATAAAAACAAAATCCATCACTAAAAATGTCTGCACATTGGAAAAGGTCATAGAGAGTTTTGACAAGCTACAAACAAAGTATAGAAGTTTGATCGGTGGGGTAAACTACACAAACATTCCAAAACCTGACCCAAACAACGTGCTGGAACAAAGTCCATTGTGTGGTCAAACTTTAGTTGACCAGTCGGAGACTATTGTCATGGGCGAGGAAGCTCCCGAGAAGTCTTGGCCCTGGAATGTTTATATTGAAACACACGTTCCTGAAATGGGCATGGCATTTTGTGGGGGTGCCATCCTTAACGAGTGGTGGGTTCTCACTGCCGCCCATTGTTTACTTCATAGAAATGCTACACTGCTCGTTTACTTTGGGTTGTACAGCAAATCTAAAATAAACTCTACCCATTACATCAAGGCTGTCAAACGTATTCACAACGCAAAACTTCTTGAAGACGAAATGGTACTAAATGATATAATGCTTCTCAAGCTTGAAGCTCCAATAACTTTTACAGATGATGTACGACCGGTCTGTTTGCCTGATAAGGACATGTCCGACTCTAAGACCTGTTTCAGTATTGGATTTGGAAAGACTGGAGATTATAGACCAGATTCCAACAATTTGATGCAAATCAAGACGAACCCCATGAATCAAAATCTGTGTATGTACATCCTTAAACTGTATAACTCGACGTTTGATTATAACACCTACATTTGTCTCGACACCGAACCAGGCCAGAACATCTGTTCGGGTGATTCAGGCGGGCCTCTTCTCTGTAAGGAAAATGGAAAATATTATGTCGTTGGCGTCATTGTTGCAGGATTATTGTGTGATAACGCAGATTTTCCTTCAGTTGCAGAATCCGTGTATGCTTTTCTTGATTGGATTTACACGGTAATGAAGTCTAATTAACAAAACAAAACATGTTGAACTGTAATACTCACACTAGCTTGATAAATCAACAGCCATAGCTTACTTCGTTACCTTTTTATTTTCAGTCCTTCGAATGTTCCTTATTTTATATCTAATTTGTTTAAAATCAGTTTATTATTTCGCTTTCAATAATACTATATTAATTTAAGATTTTAAAATAAAATTCTAATTACGTTTTATTCTTTTTTGAAACGTTGGTATTGTTTTGATTTTATTAGCTCACGAATTCGACATGCAACAATTCAAATTAAACAAGAACAAAATGGCACCTGCAAACAATTTTTTCAAACATAATTTTGCTTTTCTAGTGATGTAATTCTACATTTTGAAGCAAAAAAGAAAGTGTTTTGCCTTTATCAAAGCATATTAAACTGCTTTTAATTTCTCGTATGCGACATAATATAGAGAAAGTATTGTAATCGTACACAAGTAAAATCGATATTTGGTGGAATAAGTGGAATTTATTCTAATTTTGGTTTTTTAAAAGCCTATAACTTGAGTACTGTTTCTGATAGATGAAATTTCACATGTAAGTCAAATATTTAATACTCTGCTTTCTTTCAAATTTTTAGTAATATCCGTCGTTTTTTATTTTAGGTGTATTAGTAAGTCCGTGGATGGAGAGAGTTTATGTTTATGTTAGTGGTTAAGCTCGTGGTGAGGGTTGATTCGTGTTCATGTTCATAATTGAGGTTATGGCGTGAGTTTATGCTTATGCGTATGAGTATGTGTATGCGTATGCGCATGCCTATGCGTATGCGTAGGTTAATGTTAATGTTAATGTTAATGTTAATGTTAATGTTAATGTTAATGTTAATGTTAATGTTAATGTTAATGTTAATGTTAATGTTAATGTTAATGTTAATGTTAATGTTAATGTTAATGTTAATGTTAATGTTAATGTTAATGTTAATGTTAATGTTAATGTTAATGTTAATGTTAATGTTAATGTTAATGTTAATGTTAATGTTAATGTTAATGTTAATGTTAATGTTAATGTTAATGTTAATGTTAATGTTAATGTTAATGTTAATGTTAATGTTAATGTTAATGTTAATGTTAATGTTAATGTTAATGTTAATGTTAATGTTAATGTTAATGTTGATGTTGATGTTGATGTTGATGTTGATGTTGATGTTGATGTTGATGTTAATGTTGATGTTGATGTTGATGTTAATGTTAATGTTAATGTTAATGTTAATGTTAATGTTAATGTTAATGTTAATGTTAATGTTAATGTTAATGTTAAATGTTAAATGTTAATGTTAAATGTTAAATGTTGATGTTGATGTTGATGTTAATGTTAATGTTAATGTTAATGTTAATGTTAATGTTAATGTTAATGTTAATGTTAATGTTAATGTTAATGTTAATGTTAATGTTAATGTTAATGTTAATGTTAATGTTAATGTTAATGTTAATGTTAATGTTAATGTTAATGTTAATGTTAATGTTAATGTTAATGTTAATGTTAATGTTAATGTTAAATGTTAATGTTGATGTTAATGTTAATGCTAGCTAGGGCTAGGGTTAGGGCTAGGGTTAAATTTAGGATTAGGGTTAGGGTGAGGGTTAGGGCTAGCTTTAGGGTAAGGGTTAGGGCTAGATTTGGTTTTAGAATTAGGGTTAGGGTTAAGGTTGGGTTTAAAGAAATGTCTAGAGTTGGTTTCGATTTTGTTTTATCTTTTAGGCTGAGGTGAATGCTTAGTTTTTGGCCCTATTTTAAGGTTAGGATTAAGGTAATATATAGGTATAGAATTTGAGCTAGAGTAAGAATTCTAGCTTGATTAGGGGGGGGGTGGTAATTGATAGGGGGGTAATTGACACGGGGGTAATTTCGCCGGGGGGTAAATACTGGGGGGGATGTCCGGGAGGGTTAATTGATGGAGGGGTGTAGTGTCCTGTAACCATCTAGAACATTTAACGGTCAACATTTCTAGAAATAAATTACAGGTATGTTGTTTTAGGCTCTAGAGATTTCTGAGCTCATCTGTTTTTATGACATCGGCTGACGAGTGAGTGGTATAACCCCTTACCCTCTATGCAGGACGCCCTATAATGGATACCAAGTGCTAAGATAGCCGCTCTGGAACTCTGGGCACCAAGCCGTGTATTGACGAAAATCGCACATTCCCGGAAGCCACCCATAAGAAATAATTTTTTTTAGAGAAACCATCTCGGTAGTATTCTCATCAACTCCCCAAAGTTTATTGACACTTGCATGAACGGTGTCTTTCATACCATATATAGAGAAAAATGGCAACCTCCCGAAGCTACGCCCTTGAGGAATTGAAAAAAGATTTTTTTGCAATTATTCCCATTATCTCCCCAAAGTTTCATGGCGATCGGATGAACGGTGTCGAACCGCAATCGATTTTTATTTTTATAAACCTGATATAAAGAAGAATCAAATAGCGCCCTGCCGGGGTGCCGTCCCTAAAATTTGAAATTTTCGTAATATGCAAATACCTCCCTAGGAGTATTCTTAACCATTTTCGAACCTTTCAGACTAAGGGTGTAGTAATGCATAAGAGAAAAACAAACAGATACACACATACGTTGATTTTATGTGTCTAGGACATTACCCCCACCCCCCGCTAATTATCCCTAGCACATTTCACTTCTCCCTCCCGTATTTACCCCCTGTCAATTACACCCCTGTCAATTATCCCCTATGTAATTATCCCCCCTCCCCCCTTCCATCCAAGCCCCCGCTAAAAACTTTATATACAACATAATCTAAATGTACAAACATCAATATAATTAAAAATGAACAATATAAAATATTTTTTAAAAAATTATTTTCTGAATCAAAAAACAAAAAGGAAAACTTACATAAATTCCAAAAATGTATACCAAAAAAATCTAAATATATTAACATAAATAAAATGGAAAAAAGAACAAAATCTAATATATAAAGCTCAGTTCTGTATGTAAAAATAAGTTTGTTTGTTTGTCGTTGACATACTTCGATGGATTTAAGTGTTAGATAATTAAAGTCCTTATGATCTAAATTTATGAGTTAAAAAATTAATATTAAAAGTTTTGGGAAATAATTTTCATTTATCAAACTGAAAGTAATAATTTTCGGCATGTTCATTAAACACAAGTTTTAAAAAAGCATCACCTTTTACAAAAATTCTAATTATGTCTTTATTTAGTCCTATAGCACTTACTTCCCTTTGATAAATTAGGAAAACACAATTTCTTCCCTTTATAAAACCATTGCATTAGTGGAAAAGAATTTACTTTTTAATTACTTTGTTTTGGTGTTGGGAAAAAAATAATTACATAATTAGCGGGGATTGATCAAGTGTAAATGTTGTAGGTATTTTACGGATAAGCTTGGAGTATTATAATTGTTCATTAAATTGAAACAGGCGCGTTCGTTTAAGTGAGTGCAAAAGACTATGAATAAGTTGGGGTACTATAGTCGTTTATTAAGCTAAAACAGGTGATTCCGCCCCGGGCGTTTATGTTCGCGTTCGTGTTTTCTTTGTGTTTAGGTGGGTTTGCGTTAGTGGTTGCGTTTTGATTTGGTTTGTTTTTGTTCTTTCTTTTTTCGTTTTTGTTTGTGTTTTTTTCTTTGGGTTTCCACGTATTTGTGTTTTTGGATTTGGTTTGTTTTTGTTTGCTTTTTCGTTTTTTTTTTTGTGTTGGTATTGGTGTTTGTGTTTGTGGTTGGGTTTGTTGTTAGGTTTTTGTTTTCGTTTGCTTTTTTGTTTGTTTTTTCTTTGTGTTTGTATTGGTGTTTGTGGTTGTGGTTGGGTTTGTTGTTAGGTTTTTGTTTTCGTTTGTATTTGTAATTGTGTTAGCGTTATGTTTGCGTTTTGTTGTTTTGGTTTTGGTTGGTTGTGGTTTGGGTGGGCAATGCCGGGTTTATGATGATTACTAAACACACAGGTAATGGTCTTTAACAGAAAGGTTTTTCACAGAAGCCAGAGCAGGGCCTGGCCGGGACGGCTAGTACAATATAAATTTCTGAATTAGAAAACGGAGGAAAACTGATAAACATTTAAATTTGAATATTGAAAAATATTCCTCGTAAATAGTCTATGTGATTTCTATTTGCATAGTCATTAACGATGTTAAAAATACGAGAATTCGTGTTACGTTATTTTGTTCTTGGTGTTCTACTGGTCGTCCGCCCAGCCGCTGACCGATGACCACTTTGTGAAAACCTTGCTCGCGTTTGAGAATATTGATGAAGCGCCGGATATTTAGATGGTCAGCAGCAACTGCAGCTTGCATTTTACGGTGCCAACCCTCGACGCTGTTGTTGGTGCGAGGTAACTCATTTCCTACCCGGTGGTGTATATTCCAGCCACCCGGTGGTGTATATTCCAGCCACCCGGTGGTGTATATTCCAGCCACCCGGTGGTGTATATTCCAGCCACCCGGTGGTGTATATTCCAGCCACCCGGTGGTGTATATTCCAGCCACCCGGTGGTGTATATTCCAGCCACCCGGTGGTGTATATTTCAGCCACCCGGTGGTGTATATTCCAGCCACCCGGTGGTGTATATTCCAGCCACCCGGTGGTGTATATTCCAGCCACCCGGTGGTGTATATTCCAGCCACCCGGTGGTGTATATTCCAGCCACCCGGTGGTGTATATTCCAGCCACCCGGTGGTGTATATTCCAGCCACCCGGTGGTGTATATTCCAGCCACCCGGTGGTGTATATTCCAGCCACCCGGTGCTGTTTGTTCCAGATGTGAGGCTCATAAAGAGGAACAGCTCGTCCGCGACGTCCTACTCTTCCAATATAATTATCCGTATGTTCTCGATGTTCTTCAAACACATCTCCAACGTCTGCTATTGGCACAAAACCAAAGCACATATCATCCTTACCATGACGGCGAAATCTGTTTCATCCAAGTACATTGTCTGAAATCCAAGAGTCTGAACTTTTCTGTATAGGCTCTGTGTTAAATGATAAAAACAGCCAAGAACGTGTATGCCTTCATAACATT